CCGTGCCCCCAACAACCCCCAGAGCCCCCCCCCCCCCTGCCCCGACGTGTCCCCCCGCGGCCCGGTGGGGGGGGGGGGCCCCGCCCCCGAAACATTGGTGGACTTTGCTCTTTGCTGCTCATCCTTGGTAGTTCGCGCGACCCGCTGTCATCTCCTGGAGGTGGTATTCTACATATGCTACCGCACCACATGTGCACTAACAGTACGAAGATCGCATGGCGGTGGTGAGTGTGCATAATCCCCGAGTTGCTAAAAGATGGGTTTACGTTATATTCGAAACCCTTTACGTGTCATTATAGACGCTTCTTTGAGAGAGTAATTTAGGGCCACGCTCAACTACCTACTTGTTATAGTACAGTAAGTCTAGCATTACCGGGAACATCAACGGGGTTTGCGAGTAGTCTAGATGCGGAGGATTGGGGTGTATTCGCCTTAAAATCCCTACTATCGAGTAGCAAAAATCTCGGACAGAATCGTCTATCGGACCGCATTGCGCACCACTAAGTATACACTAACCACCTAACCTTAGCTAGGTAGATTTCTGGGCTGGTACAGACAAGTGAAGCGGTGTTGAAAACGCCAGTGAGTAAGTAGGTACGTTGCTACCCCTGGTGCATTCTGCCGCACAGGCTGATTATCAGTTGCTTATAGTACAGTACATGTATACAGTCCCTGGATGCAACGATATTCCCCGGACGCTACGCCTATGAGTGACCTAGTGCGCAGATAGTGCGGTATTGACGTCCCCGTCTCGGCCCTTTGGAGCTCTTAAAATGAAACCGGGGTTCCTGGACGTTGTCAGTCCGCCCTGCCGGTTCTGCCTGTTGGTAGATCACGGATCTCCAACCGGAATCCTCATCTCATGGGCAAGGGGGGGATATCTACTGTTCTTTCTGCTCTGGCATCTCATAAGTAGGTACCTTTCCTTGCATGTACTTTTGAACTGATCAAACGATCTCATTCAGAGGATAGTTCTAGTAGGGATTTGCCTCCATAAAGAACACTAGGAGTCAACAACTAGTCGAAGAGGCTGATAAAGCCTTCATCGTGAGACGAGTCAGTATTAACACCTAGGTAGGCCGCCAAGGTAGGCCGCCATAACTGCAGGCAAAGGCCTGTGCGCACTTTAGTTCAGCTCAATGTGAATCTGATGGCAACGGGACGACATGCAGATAGACTAATCTCCGGCTACCTCGATTGAGGCCCACGTTCTTGGACTCTCGTTGCCATAATCCTGTAATTTGGTGATGTATGCGTAGGTAACCAATGCAGCTTGCGAGCATGATGACAAGCCACCCAGACTCGCAGCCCCAACCACTGATAAGAGGCTAAAGGGTATTCCAGCACCACATGTATCTTAAGCATATGTACATTGCCGGCTTTTCAGAATTGCGAGACCCGTATTTTCTAAGCTCGCTGCAATGGTGGGAGTAGAGGTGTAAGCAGTGTCGTGGTAACTACACCATAAGCATTTTGTAAGGGCGCCATCAAGATGGTCGTCCTACTGTATAACCCATATGGCAAGAGAAAGGGGATAGGAGAAGAAAGAACGCGAGTCATTCTCCCACTCCTAGCAGTCGTAGCAGAAGTTTTGCGTTACGCATAAGTGCCGTACTAACAGCACACATTGATGGGTGAGTGAATGGAACAATACACTTATTTCGCTCTAGACTTGGGAAGGGCAAGGGTATACACGAGCAGTGGATCATTTGGTGAAGCTTCGAGGAGAATAGCCTGCGCCGCACGCACTAGGTGTCTGAACTTGCATCCTGTAACTAACAATGAGAACCAGGGTACTGATATCATTCGGCCCTGTTCTGCGGAGCAAGTATCTAGCTGAGTTCCAAAGATGGAGACCGCATTAGCATGACAGTAGCAGCATCATGGCGTTTTCTGTACTGGTTCTGGGCTCAGGCTTGCCTACATCACCTCTCTTCTCTCGCATGCTTTGAATTATATACTCTTTCTCACTCTTTTCTGCTATCTCGACTATAATCTATCTCGTATGGACGCCCCATGAGCAAAGATCCTCGATGGCACCCCAAGACCCAAACGCGCCAACCGATACTAATGGCCCTAGTCTTCTGGTTGCTGCCATTGTCACACTTTCCATTTCCTCGCTGTCAGTCGCCTTGCGAACTTACGTTCGCGCTGGGATGACAAGGTCTTTTCAAATAGATGACTGGGTGATGCTAGCTGGTCTAGTAGGCACTCTCTATATCTCGAGTTTAATTTCGGTGCGCTAACCATTCATCTGGACAGGCTAACTTCACTGTATCATGTTCTTTCATCTTTGCAGGGTTCTCGTACGGCTTGGGTAGGCATAACCGGTCGCTTTCCCAGCGTGATGAGATTGAGGCCTTGAAGTACCAGGCGCTTGCAACTGCGTCTTACGTCTCCAACATGTGGCTGATAAAGTTGAGCATTGGTCTTTTCCTCTTCCGTCTAGCCGATCAGAGATATAAATGGATTTTGGGGATAAGCATTGTCGTCGTTGGGATTTGGAGTCTCACTTTATTTTTCTGGAATATCTTCCAATGCAGCCCTGTTCCAGCGCAGTGGGACTACACGATACTTGCACGCGACCCCGAATCTCATTGTGTTTCGGCAGATGAGATCGTAAATGCTGCCTATGCGCTCAGCGCGCTGACTATCTTGTCGGACTGGCTATACGCATTACTACCTATACCTATGATATGGCGGGTGAAGATGACAACCCAAGCAAAGATTTCGGTCATTGCTGTCCTCTCATTAGGAGTCTTCGCTAGTATCGCCACTATCATACGACTTAAGTTTTTGGCAGATATAACAGATGTGACGGATATCCTTCGTAAGTTGTCTTCTTCGTGACGTCCTTGCAAAAGCTTGAAATATCGTTGTTTTGGCGTCCTAGATGTTTACTGGTCGCTAATGGTGACGCATACGTTAGATGCAGGGACAGATGCAATGATTTGGACACTTGTTGAGCCGGGAATCGCGATTTCTGCTGCTAGCCTGGTGACCATTCGCCCACTTCTTCGCCGATGGAAGATAAGAGGTTTCACACATAGCGAACGTAGTCGTGGGACAGGCGCGCCGAGTCAAGACCAAAAAAGAGTGAGCAAAATGCCAGGTTTCGGTCCACAAGACGTGACGTTAGTCGATATTGAACTTGCACCTACACATGCCCTGTCGCCCGCCGTGGGAATACCGACACCGAAATTCACTGCACAGAAGATATCGCAACTACCCAAGGTTCTCGCCCCGGCGCCAGACAGATACGACTGGGAACACTCATCAGCTTTCCGTGATCAAAGTAGCAAAAAGGGAGAAGCGAAGAGCGAGACGTTCATTATTGACAGCTTTGAGTCCCCGTCATCGGTATCAGACGCCCACATAACGGGCACATGGCTCGACCAAGAATCTGACAGCTCTTCCATAGAGCTTACCGGACCTGGTAATGCGAGCCGGTATCCGCGGTCATGACATTGGTGCGGTGGATTGATGACAAACGAAAAGAAGAAACACATGCCAATTTATAGACACGTTCTGCAAAGAAAATTACGTCTCATTATGAGGATATAATTATCCGCGTCGCAAACGGCCATTATTCGCTTGATGCTTCTCTGTTTAATAGACGCGGACGACGGTATCACAGCGGTGTTATGATTATGTAAAAAATTGTGTATAAAAGGCTGGATAGAGGGATCAGGGGGGTCAAGAGGCTAAGGGATTTTTCAGGTAGTTGGGTTTAATAAAGGTTGATGAGAATCTCGCGTCATCAAAATCTGGGATAGGGCGGATGATAGGCTAGCTTAATTGAGTCTTGTTGGTTCTCGGATAAGCCTGACTTAAACATGTAAATATTTGAACTGGAACGCTTCACACAAGAGTTGACTACACACTCATCCACCTTTCTAAGCAGACGTGAAGGCGTTTGGGATAATGCGTATCCATTATCTGCAAAAGTCAGCATGGCATACTACTTTACTCATCCCTAGGCGTAGGATGATTGAGTTGCTCATACTGAAGCAGTCCCCCTAGATAATGTAGCAACCCTCTTTGTTTAACAGAGTTGTTACTGCATCTATGAGTAGGGCAAGGTGGGACTGTTCACTTTCACCGTTTCCTCAGATGGAGAGATGATTTTCTCAGTGGACCCATATTGACGATACGGCTAGACTGATCCGGGCACGAAGCGGATAGAGACAGGAAAATGTGTGCCGTGAAAGTTTATGACATCCTCAACTATATTGTGGATTGATTATCAGCGGCGCGCATAATGTCTTCGATGTTGGGGTCCCATTCATCCTCGTCTTCACATGGAGGCGCTAGCACAAATTTGCCAAAGACTTGACCCATGCCATACGCAAACCCTGCTGTCTCTTCTGCGGTCTCCACATTCTCCTTTTGCTCGATAATCGTTGCAGTTGTCAAGAAGTCGGTTTCTGTTTCCATCCCCAGGTTGAGTGTGGTACCGCCCCAGTCAAGTTCAACTTTGCCAGATTTACGCACATTGAGTCTCCCTATAAATCCTCCTTCAGCTGGAAGACCTGCGGACCTACCAGGAGTTGCTGCAACGCCGTCCTCGAGCTTTATCTTTGAGCCAATATCGGTCGACACGATATCGATTGTTTCGGGTTGCCCATCGAGGCTCTTTGAGGGTTTGGTCAGAGGTGGAAGGATAGGTGGCAACTGGAAGATGAAGAGTTGATCATCCTTTCCTTGACCTTCTTCGCTCTCAGCTGGAGTAGTGAGGCTGAGACTACGTAATAATGCCTCCACATCCATCGTCGAGTACATGAATTCTGGGTCCTCAGCTATCTTCTTCTCTTTGCGTCTTACCTTCTCGGTATTGACATCTGTAGCTAGACCTTGTTCATCCAGAATGGGCTTCTTCTTTACTTCCGGAGAGGGAGGTGCTTTCGGGGCCTCTGGAATATCGGCCATATCAACATCGACACCGTCCTCTTCTGTGATTGGCTCGGTCTTAACGTGCACTTGGTTCTTTGGCGCCGCATGCCATACTTCATTGTCGTTATTCATTCCGATGTCTCGAGGGTCTCCAACAGGTGCGTCAACAAACAAGTTCCCTTCTTCATCAGATTCCTGTCGGTCCTCTGCCTCGAGCTCGGCCTGTGTCTTGACCTTAACCTCGGGGTTTTGATGCAAGGTTCGATGTATACCAATGGGTAGGTTACCCGCAGACTTTTGGGTATAACGGTTTGGCTGGTACAGCAGGGAACCGTCTGCGGCGTGGCCATCTGTGAGACCGTTTAGAAGGTCGATGTTGACTCTAGATTCATGCTCTCGCCTAGGCTGGTAGCGAATGCGGTTCTCTGAATCACGTGTAAATGCATCCCCTTTTCCAAAACCTGAGCTAGTTGCCCACCCACCGCGGCTGGCATCTGTCTTTACGCTCTCTGCATGCGAATTAGTCCATAAAACAAGAAGACGGGCGCGCATAAGACGCACCTGATGCTATGGCAGAGAATGGTCCGCTTGCTGTGACAGTGCGTCTTATCAGACCTCGCGACATGCCTCCCCTTCCCCGTCCCCGCCTTGCTCTACGCTCTTCTGCCCGCAGCTCACGCTCCTCTGCTTTTATCTTGGAAGCTAGATCGCGACTTCTGTCTTCCTCGAGCCTCTTACGCTCAGCCTCATCTCTTCTGACATTTTTCGGCTTGAAGCGGCTAGTACCTCGTGATGATGTAGCTGGTGTCTGCGAGGTTCGTAGACCAGTAGGTGTAGATCGACCACTTCCCAGGGGAGCCTCTGTCTTGCTGCGGTGGTCTAGAGCATTGTCATTGATGTGTGAAGACGTCTCCGATGAGGGCACTGGGTCATCTGAAGATGGTCTTGGCGCAGTGCGATGGGAGGCACCGAGGGCTCTGCCACCTCCGCCTCTAGTGCCTCTTCCAGCCTTCTCACCTCCACGCGATCCGGGAGGCATTTTTTATAACATCAGGCTAGATATAATAGTGGTTATAAATTTGAGATTCCCTTGAAAGGGCTGGGTGTAACTCATAACATTGTAGACTACCGGTAGAACAAAAAAGTTTATGGTGGGGATACAGAATGCGCGGGACGTTGGTGGGGCACGACATATACAAGTAGATAGGTACACTACCTAAGTCCCTGAGTAAGTACCTATGTATATACTAGGTACTTACTGTGTACCTACACAGGTACCTACATGTATGTAGTTGGCCAAGTATCAAATACTGTAGGTACTCACATAGGCACAGTATTGAATCTTGACTATTACCTACCTAGGCTAGGTAGCTAGATACATAATGTAGGTACCTGTCTATTACCTTACTACTAGCTATGTATGGCAGATTTCGCGGGTGACTTGGTGTTCATTGTGCTGAAAGGAAATAAACTATACACATGCGTTTTGGATGGTTATTTGCTCCTTTGGATTCTCAAGCATTATCTAGCAATGTTTTGATGAAATTGTCCTATCCAAGCAATTCTCTAGCAAATCAACAACGTTGGTCGTCGTTCCATGTAGAGAGGTAGGCAGGGTAAGAGGTACATATTACATATATCAAATGTCGAAAAAACTGTAGCCCTTCTATGTGTGAAAGCAGTCTCTTTATATGTTTAGGAATCCATCATCGGATGCACATCAAGGCCGCCTCGCCAAATTCTCGCTCGAGGCTTCCTTCCTGGAGCAGCATGGAGCCAATCCAGTTGCGTCCAGCTTCCACGTTAGCTGCGCCAAACTTGACAATGACGCAGCCGCGAACACTGGCTGCGGACCATAGTAGATTAGACTCTCGCTCCTGTGCGAGTCTTGTTGCCCGCCAGATTTCTATGGGTAACTGAGGAGTTGCTGCCTCTTTCTGACGGGTCTCTGCACTTCGAAAGTCGCGAGCACCCAGTCTTGGTAACACAGTAAACTCGGAGAGGAAGAAATCGCCGAGTTTCTTCATCTTTGGGCCGCGTAAGATGAGGGTACCCACGACGGCATGCTTGTACATGGACTCCTGGAGAGTCTGTAGCTGAGTGGATCGCTCTTTGTCATCAAGAACGATGGCATCGCGCACGAGGAGCCGAGGCCTGGAGAGCTTCGGAGCTTCAGACGCCCATATCTCATTACGACCTACCCATCGTGTCAAGCTCCAGTTCTCACCTCGAGCTGAACGACCATGAGTGACCCAGTCTAGCAAGCATAAGGACGCACCAAAGGCAACGTTGAATGTTTGGATCTGCTCGTACACGCTGTTCTCGAAAGGCTGTACGGGGTCCGGAAGCAGGCAGAGTGCAGCGTGGCTCTTGAGCTCCACTTGTAATGTTTGTCTCGTGACCACATGGGGACTGCTAGATTGGAAGATCTTGGTATGGCCCTGGGTCACAATGCTGAGTTTTGCCCTGGGCCGGACTTCAACAGAGAGGTTCACTTGATCACCTCCGACGAGGCCGCCTCCGTAGGAAAGGAGGAATACTAGGACGCTTGGTTGATCCGTCTTGGGCGATGGCGAGATGAGCTTTAGCGGGTATTGGTAGCTAATGTGCTCAAGCGTAGACAGATGATTTGGTAAAAGATCAACGATGATGCATCCCTCCCCAGCAGACGATGAAGACTTTGGAAAAGGAGATTCCATGGTAATATTGGCTTTCAGGGAGAGAGTGTGTGTGCTCTTTGGGGGCCTCAGGCCATACCTACTGATAAGAATTTTGCAACTAGACTCTGCGGGACAAGAAAGTAACCTTTTTCAACCAGCTCCAAACACATGAGTAGATGTCAGAACGGATTTTCCCCTTTGAAAAGGACTTGTCCCAGAACATATCACGGCTTCGCGTTGACAAAAAGTCACGGAGGAAACAGCTAGACTCAACTACCTCTTGTCCACATCTATAAAGATAAGCAATTGCTGTATGAGGCTACCATTACAAGTGAAGCACGATCTTCTAAATACTCGCGGCATGTAAGGCAGAACTTCGGTGATTTACGAACCTGCATAGTAGTGAAAGAGAGCGAGTGACTGTAGCCAAATAAGTGGCTTGTTGAATAGGGTAGCTACCGTACCTATGTAGGTAGAATTGAAGAGGGATTCCAGGGCTGCCAAGCCATAAGTACTCATACCCACTAGGTAGGTACCTAGGTATTCTTATATACCCTTGCGGTGCCTCCCTAGCAGGTACATAATCATATACGTACATCATTAGGTATATGTCCTCGACTAGGTACGCCTACATCGAGTAAGTACTTCACAGATACCTACCTACTTAGGTATGTATGTATGGTGCCAAATACCGCCCGTAGTAAGAAAAGTACCTAGGTCTGCTAGGTACGCGGACGCTGTTCAAGCACATACTGAAAGCCTGTAAGTATACACGCACGTAAGTGGCACCTACCCATTGTGATACGTACATGTATGTATATCTGCATGGTCCTGGTACTTATAGATACCTACATCATGGATGTGGATGATTGGCGCTACTTCCCTGCTCCCTACTACGTAGGCAGGTACTATCTAGCTCCACGCGTTTAATCTGTTTGGATTTCTCCCCACTATGTACATACGCAGTCTACAGCACTCAGATTCAGCGAACACACGCGCCTAGCTCCCATCCTCACCACCACACCACACCACACCATTCCGCATCGCAGCCACCACCACGCTCGCTCTTCTAACCTTCTCCCCCCTCCCCCTCGTGGACTCTGGCATCGCCTCTTTGGCAGGATGTTCCTGTCGCCTTCACTGTAAACCCAAGTTACGGTCCCGATTGCCTCTCATGGAGACCTCTGATAATAACGCGAGCGAGTCGCCCGCGCCGCGCCGCTCTGGACGCGCTAGAGTCGCTCCTCAGAAATTCAGCCCAGACCCGCGTCCGTCGCAGAGTGAACATGCTTCCTCATCGAAGCGCAAGCGTGGCCAAGACAATGGCGACGATGTCGAGAACGAGAACGAGGAATCAGAAGGTTCAGACCAGGATGCGCTGACGGATGAGGAGCGCGACGAGGACAACGATATTGACGATGTTGACGCCGATGATGAACCGCCCCGGCGATCCAAAAAGTCGAGGTCTGGTCAGACTTCACGTTCCAAAAAGCCAGCAGCAAAACGTACTAAGATCAATGGTACTGCACCAACTACCACTCATGGTCCTCTGAGTGTTCCTGCCGTGAAGCTGCCAAACCGGCCGAAGAAGACTACGAGCAAAGTTGCTCCGGCAAGCCTCGCACGACGCGATAATAACGATCTTTACTGTGAGAGCCGCCTCTGATAACTAATATATCTCTCTTTCAAGCTGATTCATTTGCTGATATCTTCTTAGCTGAAGTATTCGGGTCTGGCAACAATTCTGATGATGTAGCCGGACATTGGTTCCAGCGCTACCAGAACGATGACACGAAAGCCATGACCGAACTAATCAATTGCGTCCTTCTCGCCGCTGGGTGCGAACAGCAGCTTACTGAAGACGACATAGGGGACCCCGAAAACTCTGCAAATAGGTTGACGGAGCTTGAAGAAGCGTATGAACAGGTACAGAATACTTCTCCCCCAAGCCTCGAAAGCGCCTATGTTGATCTTGCCTGATAGACTAGTATCTCTGACTACCCGCTTATTTCGAGAACGAAAAGCAGCAAAAATTTCCGTGAGCTGCTTGTTGGGTTTTTTGACTCTCTTATCACTTTAGTTCACCAGACCGATGTCATATACAAAGACGAGGAATTTTTAGAGAACATACAGCGATGGGTTGGAATCATGTCGTCTTCGGCGCTTCGACCTTTCAGGCATACGGCGACAACAGTGGCTTTATCCATGCTCACGTCGTTGATCAACGTGATGAAACAACTCGACGAAAGAATCACGAGATTCAACCAGTCCTTACAGACAGAGTCCAGCCGGCGTGGGAAGAACAAGGGACTAATGGATGATACCCAAAGAGCAGTGGAATCTTCCAAGGCAAACCGTGAACTTCTCGATGCTAAAGTTAAGGACCTTTTTGATATTGTTTTCGTCCATCGCTATCGTGATATTGATCCCAAGATTAGGGCAGAATGTATTGAAGCTCTTGGGACGTGGGTCTGCAATTTACCAACAGTGTATATGTCACCGGAATACTTGCGGTACTTAGGATGGCTGCTCTCCGATGTCAATGTCACAACCCGTCTGGAAGTTCTGAAGCAACTCGCGAAGGTACTGAAGAGAGATGCCGAGAAGCTGGCCCACTTCATTGATAGATTTCGACCGCGACTTGTCGAGATGGCAACTCGGGATTCTGAGGTCTCAGTGCGTGTTGCTGCCATAGCTGTTGTCGATGTTTTGCGGGGTTCTGGAATGCTGGAACCGGAAGAGGTTGACTCGATCAGCAAATTAGTCTTCGACTCCGAAATCCGTGTCCGTAAAGCAGTCGTTGGCTTCTTCTCTGAGTTGGTGCAAGAGTTTATCGATAACAAAATTGACGAGATTGGTGGGAACGATTTACTGGATGAACTTTTTGGAGATCAAGAAGATGACGATTTTGAGTCGGTCAGAAAGGATTGGATCAACATCAAGGCCTTGGCAGAGAATTTGGCAGCTTATGATTCCCAGCTAGATGCTGAGCAGGATGAAATAAGACATGGATTGGATGTGGCCGCCGATGTAGCGAATGCGGCTATGCCCGAAAGTCGAGTTTCTTTGGCGGCGCAGGCCCTGTACGAGAAAATGCCAGAAATTTCCAATTGGCAGGTGGTAGCTGGTTATCTCCTATTCGACCATACCACCAGTTCAAAATCTCGATCGTCGAAGAGTAATTCAGCGGAGGTTGCTGTTAAGAAGACAGTAGCGCCGGAACCTCGGGAAGAAGCTATATTACTCGAAGTCCTTGCTACCGCAGTAAAGGAAAATCTTGCGCCGTCAATGGAGCACGATAGAAACAAACGACGGCATCATAGGCTTGACCATGATGCCCAGGAAGACGCTGGACTACAGCTTGCTGGGTTTATACCTCGTTTGTTGAATAAGTATGGCTCTGACCCAGCTATGGCTGCTACCGTCCTTCGGTTAGAGCATTTCCTGGATTTAGAAGTCTTTCAGCAGCTTCGGCAGAACTCGGCCACGTATAATCAGCTACTCGAAGAGATAGCTACCCAATTTAACAGGCATGTTGACCAAGCTCTTCTAAACGAAGCGGTCGCATCTCTCCTGCATGCCCGGCAGTATTATGAATTAGAAGAACTGGTTGATGGTAAGATGGCAGGACTCTGGGAAGATTTAATCAATTCACTGCGAAGCGTAGACAAGATCTGCGAATTGTCCCTCCGGGGTAACCTCGACAGGTTGACGCTCACAAGTTTAAGCCAGACTTTGATGAAGATTAGCAAGTTGGTTACCATCTCAGACTGCATCGATGTGCTGGAAGCCCCTGGAACATCCATCGACTCAGAACAACCACCCATCAAGATCCTAGTTGGAATTGTCGCCCGAGGTCGCCTTACAGAACCAGATGATGAACTAGATGACCCCGAGGACGAAATTGTGGCCTTTGCCATCAAGTCCTGCCTTTTCTATTTCATGTGGAAAGTGCAGCGATTACGGAAAATCATCGATAACGACGAAGATATACCTAATGATGACATAGACAAATTTGTTGTCTTACGCAAAGACCTGATTAATAATCTCATCCAGACCTTCTCATCGCGTGGATTCAACGATGATCTCCGTTTGTATGCCGTCGGGGTTGCCTGTGACATCACTCAACTTTTCATCTTTTTGAGGCCGCATACAGACGGGCCTAAAGCAGGTAAATATAAGACGCTACGTCCCTTACTGGATGAGATGCCAGCAGGCCTGATCACGCAGGAGATTATCCCAATACTCGACGCTGCGGAGAGGGCTTATGCAAAGCGCATAAAGAAGACACTCAATGACCCCGCGGACGACGACGAACCCCTTGATGATGAACTGCCGCCTGAAGACGATGAAGAGGAAGAGTTGACGGAGCAGGAGCGTTTTGCCGCCGAGTTGAAAGCGGAGAAGATTCTCTGCGAGCTAGCCGCAAAGCTGGTAATGGCTATTCTGGCCAAAACTATCGACAACAACGGGCCAGACGCCGGTAAACTTAGGAGGCGACTGCATCGGAATAAAAATAAGCTCGGGACAAATTTCAAGGACGTGGTCTCGTACCTAGATGAGGACTACCTACGCGAGTTGCAGGGCGGGAAAAGAAAGGCTACGGCTAGGAGCAGAGGAAAAGAAGCTCCAAAAAAGCCGGTCCTGAGTACAGAAATCGTTGTCGACAATGACGAAGACGAAGATGACCCTTTCGAGGAGGTAGAGCCTGAGGAAGGCACGGCTGAAGATCTCAGGCGTCGCGAGTTATTAGATGATCCTATCGAGGATGATGAAGAAGAGCCTCCCGCGACTAATCAGGTAGAAGAGGACGATGAAGTAATCGGTGATTAGCTGTGCCTTTGACGGCTACCGATTTGTTTTTTTTTTCTTGCTAGATGGCTGGGGATGATTGGGCGCTAGAGGTGCTCCTATATCTAGCATTACCCGTACTTCCAGAGGAGGGTTGCACTAACAAAATCATGGAGATGATTATGGATCGGGGCGGCATGTATGATTTAGGTGTCTTGTTACGAAAGCTTTCCTAAAAGATTCTTAACATGCGTAGTGCTTTCATACAATACCAAGTGTTTTTCTTCATCATCTCTATTTCTTTCCTCCTAATAAAGTATTCCGTGATGTTGTCTCTCTCTCGGAAGGTCTGGAAACTACTCAAGAGCAACAGGCTTCCAGGTTTTGTTTCTTGTGTAATGTACGAACAATCCAATGCCACACCAAGGTTAGGTAGTTGTAACTCTTGAATAAGTGATTACTATTTATGAATTAGGTATTCGATATAAGTTTTAGCTTTCATAGAACGCTAGGCGTTTGAGATGTTGATGGACATTTGTGTAATGACTTCTCAAATGCTGTACTAGCCTTTGAGTAAACCTGTTTCATATGTATATCTAGAAGTACTCGGTATTTCTTCTTTATACACCCCTGAAGACACGTTTTATGACTCTAATTCCTTAACCCCTTGTGTGCGCCCACCAATACCTCATAGTGATTCTGCATGCAATTGCCCTTCGATGTTGTCTTGAACGGTCTTAGGTTTCAATAATCCATCCGGCTACTATATAGGCCTACTCAAGTACAGAACCTGGAATATATATTTCGAGACATGAGTATACTCACGTGGTCGGGCAACTCTTTATTGAGACCCTCCCCAATTCCGGATTTCATGGTACATTCTCCCGCTGTTTCAAAGAAGTTCTAGGAAGATCATAGCGCTCCGTATATGCCTGCTAGCTTGGTGGGCGGCTAGGTAGAAGTTAGGTCAATATCTCGGTAAATTCCATGACTAGAAACAATCCCCTCCCCCTATGAGAGCAATCAAGATATTTGAAGCTCTTTAGTCGGGCAACTTGTTCTTTCCCGATGCTCCATCACTTGTTTCTCATATTAGACAGCCTTCAACAGTACAAGGGTATATAAGAGTAATTATAGACAAGTACAGTACAAACAGCAACAGTTGAGCCGAAAAGCATCCCATTCCTTCAAATAGGCGGCACCGCGCTTTTATGAGTATAAAGAGGGGGAAAAAAAAAGAACCAACAAGTAGCCCATTTAAAGGAACCTAATTTAATGGTGAGTCGAGTGTGAAAGAGTGGATCTTGGTCCCAAAGAGCCCAAATACCCTCGCCCATCGACGGCCCTCGCCAGCGTCTGCGCGTTGCGGATCAGGCTCCCGTAGGCTCACACCGTACTGCCGAATACAGCATGAAAATGGTTTATTTGACAGTCCAACCCCATTATGGCCCTTATTCTTTATGTCGTCAGTTTTTCGTTGCGAGTATGGATAATCGACACACACTGGCGAGCTTGGGGGTGGTTGGTTGGCTGCCACGCGTCGCAGGTTTGTGATTTGTTGATTCTGCTCGTGCCGCTTCAGCTCTTCGAGATTGCCCCATAGCCTAAAGAGTTGTTCACGAAGGGAGCTTAGAACATCTGGATCTTTTCGGAGACTAAATATATGTAAGTATAGACTAATTCTAAAGAGGATCGAATACCGGACGTGAGGTCTTTGAGGCGATTCTCTGGACAGGTAAACTTACTCGCAAGCGTCCAAGCCGGTTAGCAGCTGCCCCTCGACGTTGTTGACAACTGCCCAGAACTTATTGTTCTCTCCTTTCGATTTCGGATCTGCATCCTCGAGTTGTAGCGCAAACCGCCACTCCCAGATTTTCTCCCCCCAACCCTGGGTAAGGGAGTCGTTGTCGCCGTCAGACCCCGAGTCTGAATCGCTGCTGCAGTCAGAAAGCACGTCATACTCAGTGCTCGCGCGCCAGGTTGCGAAACTTTCTAATTTGGGTGGACGAAAGTCAACAACACGGACGTTAGTACGATAGTTAGCACATGTGAAAGGGAGTGTCAACGTCACTTCCTCGCCCTCCACTGTGGTCTTCCAGAGTACCGGATCAACTATGGAGGAGACGGCGGTCGTGGGCTGTTCACTGTGTTCACATCTGACTAGACCATGTTTAGTACTGGTCATAGGTGAAAACGGTTAGGCTACCCACTGAGATCATTCAAGCCGAGTCGCTCCTCAGCCTGCTTATCTAGTTCCTCGACTTCCTTTTTTGCAGCCGCTCGCTTCTGGGTCCGTCGTTTCTTCGAATTCAGCTTTGGTGTCTCACTGTTTTCTGCCGTCCGCTTCATACCTGCATCTTCTGCACGCGCATTTTCTGCAAAGCTATTCATTTGTTTTTTCTTGAGATTCTCATAATCTTTTTTTCGCCGAATGGCATCTTTGAGACGCGGGTCACAATCGTCTCTTCCTTGCCATTTCAAGACGTCGATTTGCCGGTGGGCGAACTCGCCGCCAGAGTGTAATGTACCTTCCAGGTTGAGACCATTTTTCCCAAATTTGATGCGTAAATTTCGAATCCGAATCCATTGATCTAACTGCACTTCTGACTTGACTTGAGAAGCATGCGGTTCGAAACAGGTAATTTGCATTGAGCGTTTTCCAAAGGGGCCGGCCCATTTGGTTGCTGTGTGATAATCTGTAGTGAGGTAGCCATCCTGGTCTCCCAGCGCTTCCAGCTGCTGAGCACCATCCCAGGAGAACTTGTGGAAAGCACTGTTCTCGGTATAATCTGATACCCAGAAAGTGGCCTTGTCCATCTGATCAAATGGTGCCTTCACTACATTTACAATGATGTCGCAGAACTGGTGGTCTACGACATTTTCTAGCTTGCAGAATTTGTCTTTTGCGCGGGCCGATTGATCAACACGATTCTGGAAGGTTTCCTTATCCGGAATTGACTTTTTGTTGGTGAAGTGATACAAGCAAGACACATACTCGTGGTCTTGCGCGCCAAGGGCTCGAACATGCTGGGGAGACTGAAGAGCACCTTCGGCAGACTGTGGCGGCTCAGGGATTTCTAAAGCTGAGTAGATGTAGAACGTCGTTGTTTTGTTAGCGATTAATGATATGGTGTCACGATACGACTGGACCTTGACCGAGTGAATGACTAGGACATCTCCAGCTGTAGGCCTGGGCATTTCACCGGGTTGACGAAATATGCTAATGGAAAGGCCAACTTGGTCGTATTCTACCGATTTATCGTAAATAGTGATTGTACATTTGTGATCTTCAGGGTGTCATATGTACCAAGTCAGATGCTAGGTTCGGTTTGGGATGGCTAGATCACTACGGTAGAGCTCTACGGTAGGAGTACTCACGATTTCCATTCGTCGGGATGGGAACTTGGTAATCCTTTACCAAGCCCATGACGCTGATGAGTCGGCCTATAGGCACCCTCCCAGCAAGTATATCCACGATGCTTGTGTATCTCGAAGGCAGCTCCCTGTTCCGACTTGCAAACTGCCCTGCGCTCGAAGGTTGGTAGACAGCCATGCTGCAAGTCGACGGGAGTACGTGGTCACGCAGAGATGACGCGTGTGGTTTGGTTGCGATGATGTTTTGCAGGTGTTTTTATTGATTGAAAGCCACTATTCTGGACCTATTTGAGGTACGCGTTGTGAGGTGGTGAGGTTGTAAGAGGTGTAACCTACGGTACCTACCTAGGTACGCATTAATGATATCGGTTTTAACGATACTACCGGTAGCATAGGCGTCGGGCAGGTGATTCGCGCCCAGTAGATGCATAAGTTCCTACCTACCTAGGTAGGTACTTTAGGTAAGAACTTACCTACCTATAGGTATGTCACCGTAGATATTTAATGTAGGTATCTGCTTTGCACCTACCTACGACCTTGGTTCAATGGATTTTTCAATGGATTTGAGTGGCCACTTTTATGTTGTACAGTATTAGTATACATGTCTTTTCAGGTGATTAATTGGCTTGTGCGCACTACCCCTCCCCCTCATCCTCCTACTCGCAAGGAGTAATACGCATGCGGTGGTAGATGTATAAGTAGTAGGCTCGGAGCTCAAGGAGGATGGAAGAATGAATCAGGTGGCATATTCTTGGCATATCGTACCGACCCATCACAAGCTATCATGATGATGGATCTGCTGAATAAGGGCGACCTGTCATAATGTGCTTGCATCTTGTTCCATGTTACCTAGTCTAGTACCTAGTCTAGTACCTAGTCTAGTACCTAGTCTAGTACCTACCTACAAGTAGGTACTTCCTTTGCAGCATGGAGAGAGACCTGAGATAGGTACACACCTTATTTACTGTAGGTACATGGTAGGTACCTGCCTTTTATCGCTTTGGGCAATGCCTACATAGCTGGATGTAGGTATATATAATAATAATAAAAAATGAATAGGATAGTAGGTAGGTTATTCTACCTACATACCGTAGTAGGTAGGTAGAATGGCGCGGCCAGGGCCCGCCTCAGAGCTGCCGCTAGCAGGATGAAAGAACCAGGAAAGAACCACCGACCTAAACCATCCAATGCGAATTCCTGTGCTGTTTCCAGCACTCCAGCAGCAATTTCAACCCTCCCGCTAGAACCCCACAACCCGAACCTTCTCTCTGTACCTATAGAGTACGGTAGGTAGGCAGGTACCTACCTGCAACTGGCTGCTACCTAGTACCGTCTGTTTGAATTTTTCCTCGTCCGAATCTCTCCTCCCCTCTCCTCTCCTATCGACAACCGCCTCTTTTCTCTTTCTATCTCTCTCTGCTATTCTATTCCTCCCTTCCTCCCTCTCTCCCTCTCTTTCTTCCCTTTCCTTCCCCCACGCCTACCACTACTGTTCATTCATCAGCAACGCCGAAACCCCACGTCACCCTGAACCCTGCACGGCCGATTCCACACACTAGCGGGTTGGCTTGTCTGTCTGCCTGTCCATCCCATCTGGTATCGATACAGCAGCACAAGCATCTGACTTTCTTGGCACAATTTGATTTTGGGGTCGTCAAAACATATCACCCCGCCCTGTGACTACTCTTCCTCCTCTCCGCCAAAAACAACACCACCCTTAGATAATACGACTTTCACCATCCCTACCCAGCGTCTGTCATCGACAGCCCAGCCATCGTCACCATGTCTGACAAATACATCCCCGAGCATCGCCGCAACCAATACAAGGCGAAAAGCACATTCAAGCCCGACGAGCTGCGTCGTCGCCGCGAAGAGGCCCAGGTCGAGATCCGAAAGGCCAAGCGAGAGGAGAATCTAGCCAAGCGTCGAGGCATCGGTACAGGTGCTGATCGTCCCGGCGCCTCGCTCGGCGCAGCCCCCGACAGCGATGATGACACCGCTCCCACCGAAAGTCAAGTAAGTTCACCCATCTCGCATACCGTCTCGCGCCTTTGTTTTCGTGCCAGTTTGTCAGGCTCTCCTTTCCCATGTCTCACGCAGTAGCTACATTGCCCAGTCCTTTCGTGTCATACAACACAAGCAACTGTTGCGCTTCGAGGGCAAGGCTTTTAAAAGCTGAAGCTCGCCCTGATTCTGTCCTTTTCCATTTGTTCTAAGACGCTATTGGCGAAATCGTTGGACATGCGCTCGATCTGACGTGTTTTCTTATCTAGCTCAATGAGGACCTACCTCAGATGGTCCAGGGTGTTTTCTCCGACCAAATAGATCTGCAGATCCAGGCCACCACCAAGTTCAGGAAGCTCTTGTCCAAAGAGCGCAACCCCCCTATCGAAGAGGTTATCAAGACAGGCGTTGTCACCAGATTCGTCGAATTTCTTCGATCTCCTCACACGCTGGTCCAGTTCGAGGCTGCCTGGGCTTTGACTAACATCGCCTCAGGTAGTGCCGCCCAGACCCAGGTCGTCATCGAGGCCGGCGCTGTTCCTATCTTTGTGGAATTACTTGCCAGTCCTGAGCCTGACGTCCGGGAACAAGCTGTTTGGGCTCTTGGAAACATTGCTGGAGATAGCCCTTCATGCCGAGACTATGTTCTGAGCTGCGGCGCCCTGAAGCCTCTACTCAATTTGCTCGGCGACAGCCGCAAGCTTAGCATGCTGCGAAACGCGACATGGACCCTCAGCAACTTCTGTAGAGGCAAGACTCCTCAGCCAGACTGGGTCACCGTGAGTGATCCTCCTCAAACTAGATGCAAACCAGATGAATATGCTAACAAGGCTTAGATCGCACCCGCACTTCCTGTCCTCGCCAAGCTTGTCTACTCTCTTGATGACGAAGTCTTGATTGACGCTTGCTGGGCCATTTCGTACTTGTCAGATGGGTCTAACGACAAGATTCAAGCAGTCATCGAGGCTGGCATTCCCCGACGACTGGTCGAGCTCCTTATGCATGCATCAACTAGTGTTCAGACGCCTGCACTTAGATCTGTTGGCAACATAGTTACTGGTGATGATGTGCAGACCCAAGTGATCATCAACTGTGGTGCTCTATCCTGTCTATTGTCGCTGCTCAGCTCTAACAAAGACGGTATTCGAAAGGAAGCTTGCTGGACCATTTCAAACATTACTGCTGGGAACTCACAGCAAATCCAAGCCGTCATCGACGCCAACATCATCCCACCTCTAATTCATCTGCTCTCCAATGGGGACTTGAAGACTCGGAAGGAGGCTTGCTGGGCCATCAGCAACGCTACAAGCGGCGGTCTTCAAAAGCCTGAGCAGATTCGATACTTGGTGACCCAAGGCTGCATCAAGCCTCTCTGTGACCTCCTCGCGTGCCCCGATAACAAGATTATCCAAGTTGCATTGGACGGCCTAGAAAATGTTCTCAAGGTGGGTGACCTCGACAAGCAAGCGGCTGGAGACGGCCCTGAATCGATCAATCGCTATGCCCTGTACATCGAGGAGTGCGGTGGTATGGAGAAGATTCACGACTGCCAAACGAACGCCAACGAGGAGATCTACATGAAGTCGTACAATATCATTGAGAAATACTTCTCCGATGATGAGGAGAATGCGGACGAGGGAATGAATGCCCAGGCGACATCCAATGGTACATTTGGCTTCGGCACTCAAGGTACTACCACTCAGGGTGGTTTCAACTTTGCCAACGGCGCCGACTCGATGGACATGTAAGACACATGTGCGAAGATAGCCACATGGATCTTTGACAACTCCAATCACACTCAGTCTGTCACCAAACATTTGACAGCAACCTGAGCAGTTCATAGTCACCTCCGCAGGCAAACTGCAAAGTCATAGCACTCATATCCCCACATCCACCCCCTTAGTTTTGCACAACACAGCAATGCCATACCCCAAACAACTGAGTCCCAGCACGAAATGGAGTTAGACGAGTTAATGAGGAGCTTAGTGATGCAGCCCAATTTGAGGAATTGCAGGCGCCTTGGTAGCTTTAAAGCTCCAGCGCAAGAAGAGAAAGCACGTGGAAGATTTATCGTTTAAGAGGGTCACTAATGGTAGCTTGAAAGCTCCAACCCTCGTCAGCAGCAGCAGCAGCGATAGCCGGGCTCGAGTAGATGACATCTCAGAGGCACAGGCTACGACGAGCTGAGCAAGTAGGTTTACACCTACTCAACAACGAACAGAAGTCGGCGTTGGAACTGTTTGTCCCAAGTGGGTAGAAAAACAGTGTTAGCAATTTGAGGGCGGGTCGACTCTACTACCGAAGTATTATGGCCAAGTGGTCATTTGATCCTCTATCACATGTAGTATAAGTTCAGATACAACACAAGTTTTCTCGAGAAGATTCAGAAAGCTTGATCTCAAGAGGAAAGAAAAAAGTATTAGTCACAATTCCTTGAGTGACTAAACCCATGAGTTACATCTATCATTGCAGACGTTACGTGCCATTCAGACCAAATAATAGTGCCTCAATACTATATATATTACCCCTCCTCAATAACATACAACTTCGGTTTCTTGATAAGCCTAGCTGAAACCTTGTAGCGACTCGTACGAGGCTACTTGGCTATCTACCTACTAGCTAAGGATAATCATCCAGTCTATTGTCTTCAGTCTTCGTCGGCTATTTTATCTCTCACCGCGTCAGCTGCCGCGTTTATCACCTTCTCCGGAGGCCGGTCGAAGTTGAGGCTCTTGGGTTCGACAGGGGTCGAGATTGCGGGGTCGGGTAGTAGGCTGGGTGTATCAGTACCGCCACGGCTTTCGGGGACAGGGATGCGGATATCCTCGGGCGAGCCGGGGACGGTGTTGGGGTCGAGGCCAGGGACTATGGTAGAAATTTCATAGGTTAATAATCTTATGCTTTAGAGAATCCTCATCGGGGTTATGTTTTAGAATTGCGCAACGCTACTAGAGTAGTTTCCTAAACGAGGGTCTTGGCTGGTAGGCCGAATGGTTTACCCCATTGGGAGACAATTCAGGAGAAGAAGTATAGTGAGGCAAGGCGATCTTATTAAATAATACTCACTGTGAATACGCCTAGCCTCGTTTTGATAGGCTGCCGGGATAATCTCAATGATTTCGTCCCGAGGAAATTTGAGCTTAGGAATATCCATCGTGCTACAATGCATGAGGTACGCGTATAGAACACGCAGAACACTTTCGTGAGCAATAACCACGAGATCGTTCTGTTCGCGCTCCAGCTCTAAAATAATGGGCTCCAACCGCACTGCCAAATCATGGTACGATTCGGCTCGCGGGTACCGGTGATGGTACGGATCAAGCTCGTGCTTTTCAATTTCTTCCGGGTAGAGGCGACGAATAGCACGCTCGCTCAGCCGCTCACAGACGCCTGGATTGATTTGGGACATTTGGGTGCGCTGGCGAACTTCGAATCCTCGATCTTTAAAGGCGTCGGCCGTCTGCAGGGTTCGTACTCGCGTCGAACACCAGACTGTAAGTTGGCGCATGGGGATGTTGCCCCCCCCTTGCGAAACAAGCTCGGCATGTGCCCGCTCTCGATGCTTTATCAACGTCTCGGCCATGACTTGGGCATATCTGATGCCTTCCGCAGAGAGAGGGGCATCTGCCTTGTAGCTCTCTTCTCCCTGAGCTGCGCCAGCTCGGACAAAATAGGTAGCGCGTGATTTGATGTGAGTGTTGGTAAGATAAAACACGATACGATGGGAAAGGTAATTGAAAGACACATTGTTGTAGAAGAATTTCTGCCCTGCATTGATCATTTTGATATAGTTTAACTCCTTCTCGTTCATGGTCTCGAATATGGGTATCTTTCTTCCCATCCGTTCGAGGTACAATTTTGCTGCTTCGTCTGGGTCTATGTTGGCAAACTATTTACGTTAGTGACTCCGCAGAGAATATTGAAACTCGGGGGCAACAAACATCAGGAGACCCAATCTTCACATTTCGGGCATTTTCACGAAGGATGTTATCGTCGTCGACGTATGATTCAAGAAACAGTGTCTGGAAGTATATTAGCAGAGGCTTTGGAGTAAATCGGGGGCTAGGAATGACAAAGCATACTTGAACATCGTGTTTCGCAAATTCTTTGGCCAAGGATCGACGGCCTGTGGCTGTCGGGTTTACAGCGTCATAGATAGCCACCTGCCCGTTCTCATGATTAAGCCAGGCATAAATATCCTCGCGACACTTCTTGAGGATCTTCTGCCGTAACATAACGGACGCAGGCGAGGCATCCGGGTAAAAGTAATCATCAGGCACATCATTGTTTTGACCAAGGGTCGCACGACGATAATCTCCAAGATGAAAAATCCGGGTCTTGACGCCTAGCCTAGAAAGCTGGTAAGTAGGCTACTATGAAACCGTATATCGGAGAGCAGCATACCATTGCAGATAACGTGCCATAGATACGGATATATGACTACGACTCGTCAGAAATCGCATGAAGAGTTCGTGGCGGTTGGTGTCCCATACGTTTTACCTCGGGCTGGAAGCCCAACCATGATTATAGCAATGCGGCCTGAATGGAAGAGCCGTCCTGACATTGTGCTATACAGCTGGGCAGGTGCCCTGTTGCCATCTTCAGGGACATCGTGGATCCCGTCAAATAAAGTGCTGCTCTTACGCCTATAGCGAGGTGCATTTGCAGCAATCTCTGCGGTGCTGGAAGATTGATCAGTATCTGGATAGAATGGGCAACGTCTGCTGCCAGAACGGGTTGGTTTCTGCATGAGTGGCGATGCGAAGATGAGATGGAAGATGCTTGTAATCGGTGGCAGCGGAGCAGAAGTTGATTCAGCCGAGCCGAACAACACGATAGATACATGGTTCTAGAATGGCTGTTCCGAGATAATAACCGCACCACCTCGCTATTGGGCTCATTGCCTGGGAAGTTCACATCGCCGAACCCTCAAGTCGAAAGCAGTGAACCAATCGATTATGCCCCATTACATAGAAACTTGGGGTGCAGCCGTATTAAACAGGCAACGATATCAGATGACTTACAGTAAGGTATCCATGGTGACCGGTACTGACTTCCGAATGCCGGTTCTTTTCGCTCGCCGCTTTCCGTCTTATATCCCGGATGGTCGATAAAAGGAGCTAGGCAATGCAATGCGTATATAGATATACAGCGTTAGAAGGGATGGAATTTTTATAATCTGGCTGATACCTCAAGGTTCAAAGCGCCGGAGGTCACTAGATGAAGAAACAGGACTCTTGACACGCTGAATGCCAGGACGCAGGGATTTCCGGGATTTCTGGACGCCTCTGCACTGGCTGACAAGAGAGCCAAGTTAATGGGATATCGTTTAGTGTTCCCAAGGGTCGAAATGGATTTTAACAAAATCGATGAAGACTCTGGCTCAATGGACTGTTTGTGTTGATTAAAGTTCGGAGTATAACAGGGATCCAACAATGTGAGGTAGCGGGGGCAGAGTGTAGATGTTCCAGTGTGAGTTGTTGGTACCGGTGTTCGTAGAGGCCAAGGCTGTGTAGTTTTCTTAGATTTAGGGTCATGAAACTTAGAAGGAGCAGATGATGAGCTGTACTTGTAGTACTCACATGAAGATGAGGCAGGCAGGCAGGTAGGTACTTATGTAGATAGGTAGGTAGGTAGGTAGTAGGTAGTAGGTAGTGTAGTGTCTACTCAGTATGCAGGTGCTGAGGAGTGATAGACGGCCAAGTGCATCCACACAATGCTCTGTCTCTTGGCCTTTCTTTTCTTTTCTTTTTTTTTTCTTCGTCTTCGTCGTCTTCTTCTTCTTCTTCTTCTTCTTCTTCTTCTTCTTTGATGTTTGAATTTGGCCGTCTGTTTCTTCTCCGTCTCCGCCTCCTTGTTCTTGTTCTTCCTCCCGCTTCGCTCTCTTCTGTCTCTCCGTCTTTCCCGCTGTCAAGAGTTGCGTCAAGGGTTGCAGGTGACAAAGGAACTACCTAGGCATGTTATTATGCTAGGTATGGGAACTTTATGTAACGGCGCCCACCCGAAGTAACCTCACGAGAAGAACTTGAACACTGGCAGTAGGGAACAGTACACATAGGTCGGTACCTGGTGTGCAGCGCAGCGCAGCATCTCCGATACTTGACCCAAAGAAGCTCGCGGGCGTGCAGTGTACAGTACTGTACTATGTAAGTATGTACCTATGTAGTACTTAAGGATGCGATTCGATGCGATTGCCCGGAAAAGGACCAAAGGAAAATACTACTAGGTAAGTATCTATACCTCTTCGAGCCGCCTACCTACATAATATGTACTGAGCCTGCACGAGGGAAGTCCTTATACTACGGTATACTATGTACCTACCTGCTACCTACTAGGTACCTAGGTAGGTACTACCAGACTACTACTACCTAGTATGTACAGCAGAGAATTCTTCTAGCCTGTACTTTCCTACCAGTCACTTCCTGATGCTTGAAGCCTATCACGTCACTCTGCTGCTAGCCAGATCCACCGTCCAAACTTACTTATAGTACATAGTATGCGAGAGGAGATAAGGGCCACACAACATGCACTTGAGGTCTAGTGTACTGTGATAGCCTGATAGGTACATATCGAGCATGCCTGGGTATAGACTAGGTACCTGCGTGATGTAGATAATCTGCCTACGATGTAAAGTACCTTAGACCTCTACAAGGTACTGCTGAGACATGATGATGAAGGTCACTTTTTTTTTGGAATGCAAGTGCCTCTCCCTCGCCTGTCCTTTTAAGCTGCTTATATGCATAACTCTTTGCCGCCCCATCGTATCTCTCTACCGGTGTTATAGCATAATCACAGACTCCCGTCCCCCATCCCCCAGCGACCTAAACAGCGGGATGGGACCTTGTGTGGATCCATCAGCCAGGATAATGAACTCACAGCGCAAGGCCCGTGAAATGATTTTTTTCGCTGGCCTGTCTTCCTTTACCGGTATCACCAGGATAAGCTAACGTATTTCCTCATACTTCCCCATTGTGCAGTGTGCAGTGTGCGTGTCCTTGGGAGCTCCAGATCGTGCTCTACCCATCCGACCGCCGCCCTAAACCCTCTTCTCCTGTCTTCTCCTGTTCGCCGGCTTGTATTATCAAATACTGAACCAACAAGTTCTGCTGACTCTGTTCTGCTGCACTTTTCCGCCTCGCCCTTGCCCGCACTCCTCGCCCGCATCGGCGCCCGCTCTCCAACGACTACTCTTCAACTACACGGACAGCACATCCTTGGCCATTTGCGCAAACCCCGTCAACCATGGCCTCTAGCCAGGACATAACGTCGGCATTGCCCTTTGGCTTTCTGACCGCCAACCCCTTCGCAAACGCTGTCAGTGATGCCTACCGATCCTTCTCGGATCGCAGAGCCAAGCTCGGCCTCACAAACCCCGGCACTGTCGAGGGCATTAGCAAAGAGGTCCAGCGTGAGGTCTCCCTTACCAACTATATGCATACCGGCCTTCGAGCCGATCTCACAAAGGCTGTGAGCCTGTCGCCCTTGTTCCAAGTATCACACCAGTTTGCCATGGGCGAGCACATGAAACCATATGCTTTTGCTGCGCTCTTTGGCACCAATAACGTGAGTTGCTGCGCCTAGCCCATTACAATCTCGGAGATCTGTTGACGTTGCTCATACTCGTCTTCTCCAACACTAGGTGTTCTTGCAAGGCAGCGTAGACAATGATGGCATATTGTCGACGCGTTTTAATTACAGGTGGAATTCTGCGCTTGTTACCAAGTCTCAGTTCCAAATAGGCTCCCCTCAGGATATGACATCGATCGAGCACGAATATACCGGCAGCGATTTTACTTCATCTCTTAAAATGTTGAACCCCTCGTATCTTGAGGGTGGCTTGACAGGTATCTTTATACTCAGCCATCTCCAGGCTATCACAAAAAGACTGTCTCTTGGTGTTGAAGCTGTCTGGCAACGCGCCGCTTTGAGCCAGCCTCCCGAATCCGCCACATCCTATTCCGCTAGATACAAGGCTGAGGATTGGATTGCGACGGCACAGCTCCATGCTGCTCAAGGCGCATTGAATGCTACATACTGGCGCAGACTATCTGATAAGGTACAGGCCGGCGTTGACATGACTCTCCAGGTTGCCCCTAGCCCTGGTGGCATGATGGGTGGCTTGCAAAAGGAAGGTGTCACCTCGGTTGGTGTCAAGTACGACTTCCGCATGTCTACATTCCGTGCTCAGGTTGACTCCAAGGGCAAGCTTGGCTGCCTCCTCGAGAAGAGGGTGTTACCTCCTGTCACCATGTCCTTCTGCGCCGATGTTGATCATATGACCGTGAGTGATGATAGAGACCTCGAAAGTGTCTCGCTTTTTTGTGCTAATAATTTGACAGCAAAATGCCAAGGTTGGCCTCGGTATAACCATCGAAGCTGGAGGGGAGGAATTACAGGAGCAACAGGAAGCTTTGGGTGCTCAAGCGTCTCCCAACATACCCTTTTAATCCAACCCTCACCACGAGATCTCCCCTCTTATTAAGGTAGTTCGAATGCACGCTGGAGCGGTGGGATTCTTTCAGCTCTCAGCTGGGCCCTTAACCAACGAGCATGAAGCCTCGAAATTTAGGTCAACTACTATTTTCCCTCCACCTTCTGTGTTAATAACCGATTCGCCAATGTTTTCGTAAGGCGGGCCACTCCATCCAACCATGATGAATATAGAGTTATATCTCAGAACTGAGTCACAATTCGATCTGGGCTAGGGCTAGGGCTAGGGTACCAGGGTGAAACAGCTGGGTACTGTGTACAATAAGGAAACGGCAACTCTAGAAGGGGCAAAAACGGCTGCATGTCTTGGTGGTCACAGATAGCAGGTTTGGCAGGCTGTTTTGCCTGCGGCATTTGATTCTTAAAACTAATGTTGAGATGCGCTATAGGAAGAAATGTAATCTACCTACGTACCTGGGTACTTGTATATAGCTAGCTACCCTGTGTGTATAACATGAAATGACCTGAACACTCGCGGGACATACCCTGCCATGAAGTCCAGTTGTCATCCTTGTTTCCTACAGTACGGATGGCTAGTGTATAACCTAGTTTCCTGATGGGGATTTGAAATTGTCACGAAAAGCGATGCGAATTTGGATATAATTATTGCAGAGGATGGACAACAATGATGTTGGTGAGCAACCTCGCGTCAACATTCGAGCGGCCTAGTCACCTATGACTCAAATCGCAGTAGAGACCGACGGCCCAAGCGTTACTTCATAGCGTTATTCTAGAAATGTCAAAAATGCAAATGACCAACCCTGACGTTGTCTTATAACATGTGCCCTTTTTATTTGAAGCTAATTAAATATCTTAACTTTCTTCTCCATCTCGTTATACATAGTATGTACCTAGCAGGGAGAATGAGGAGGAAAGAGAAATATATGAAGACAGGTTGGGTGCGAAGCCAGATGTCAACAAGTCAGTGTTACCTAATGCTTTAATACTAAAACACCAACGAAATACACTCTATACTCATCCGTTAATATAAGATCTCACTGCTGCTCTGACTTTGAGATTGCAAGAAAGAAACAAACCATGCGGCGAACATTGGGTCACAAACACTAGGTAGGAACAATATGAATAAATCGTTGCCAAGAATTGCTGGTAGAGTGCTGACCAAGATAAGTAGCCGATAAGCATACCTACCTATGTAGGTACCTACTCAAGGGACCCCAGACGTACCCCAGCTCTCAAGACCAATTAACTAGCTGACATATTTGTAGGGACGTCAAACGTGGCCTTAGAATAAGGAGCTCTCTAGGCGAAATATCTACCAGAACAGACTTTGCCGACGACGCATTTACATACAACTCAGATATCGAGTACCGACAAACGAATTGACGACCGACCGAGAAGTAGGAAGGAAGAGTGTTCGCTGTCGTAAACCCCGGCCAACACGCCGGGCTTATCTCGCCTAACATGTACAACTCTCTCAATCGCCTACAAACCGTCTTTGGCTTCTTCACAACGGTAGCCTTCGTCGTAGCTGCTATAATAGCCGCCTCCGACTTCACAGCCCCACGAACACCGAGCGCCACGGTCAAGGCGACTAATGTACAGGTGTACGTAGGCGACAAGCAGCCCAGCCCAACCCAGCCCGTTGAATTGCATCAATGAACGAGTGAATGAATCTATAAATTTGATAAAGTGAAACGAGCCATGTCCCCAGTTAAGCTAATGTTTGCGCGCGCGACGCCGCCATGAACAACAGTGTCAAGGGCCGGCCGCATTATTACAGCTCCAAGAAGGAGGAGTACGCCATCATCAAGTTCTCGCTAGACGCCGACCTGTCGTCGCTGTTCACGTGGAACACCAAGCAGCTCTTCGTCTACGTCACGGCCGAGTGGCCCGCGGCCGCCAGCAGCGACACCAACCAGACGAACAAAGCCGTCATTTGGGACACCATCATCACGAGCCCGAGCTCCGACCACCTCGCCAACATAGGCCCCGCTACCTTGAAGAAGCTTCGCAAGAGCGCCGCTGGCAAGAGCGTAGATCCGAGCCGGTACGCACAAAATCCCGCTTCTCGCGGCATATACACTTTCGCGCACAGATACTTTACTGACATTTTGACTACTCCCAGAGGCAAGCTATCGCTCAAGAACCAAAGACCCAAGTACCAAATCACCCATCCGACAGGCAAAGTAGCCAACACGGAGGATGTGACTCTTCATGTCCATTATAACGTGCAGCCCTGGGTCGGCATGCTGACATGGAATCAAGACTTTGACTTCGCCCTATGGAAGAAGATGGCCAAGGGCATCAGCAAAGCCTTCGCGCTCCCCGCCGTCGCTCCTAAGAAGAAATACTAGGCTTAGGCCAGCAAATTTACATTTAATTAGGAGACAAGAAGATTTATATTATTATCGCTTGTGCAATATGGAGACGGCGTTCTAGGATCCCGGGTAGTGAAGCTGAGCTCGTTGTTATTACCCCCGTATTTTACCCTGCGTAAGCCCTGTCTAGACAATTCGGCGGATCCCCAGTAATTGCCCATGTTTTGAACCATAAAATCCTACCGGTGTCGTAAGGACGCACATTTTACTGCATTACAGGAAACTGCAACCCGTGCGCCCTGCGCTGGGTGTTCTGAACAGGGGTTTCGTTTCACGAGGTTGTTGCATCTGATACGATACATAAAAAAAAACAGTCTTCCAAGTAGTGATATAGCCAAACACGAGCTAAACCACGTACATAGCCGATGGGAGACAAAGCCATGCCCACATTGCTGAGTGTGATCTACCCACATCAACTTTTGGGCAGATACAAGTTGGGGAAACGACTCTGATGTCTGACAACATGAGTGATCTTGTTTCCGTCTAAGGTATGCCGATAACGCTCTCATACACATGTCATTTCCTGCTGCTAAGATAGGGGTATAGCTGGAATAGCAAGGGGAATGAAAACAATGAAATGCACCAGTTGGCCCGCCTACTCCGTCTCATGCAGATTCACATTGAAAACTCTGGTGTTGTCTCCATAACTGTGCAAATAGAGCATTGATAGTCGTGATGTTCTTGTGTCATACAAGTTCCAATAGAACACTAAGAAATAGTGAAAACAAAAACAGAATATCTCAATCCCCTGAAAGATCAATGATATCGTTTTCAGATTTGCCGCGCACCTTCGCGGCGACAACTCTGTCTCCATCTCCTCGGTTTAGAAAGTAGGAACTTTGTTGCTCTGTTTGTTTCTGACTGTGTATCTTACTAGTCTCTTGCCCTGGAGACCGACCGTGTATGCTCAGCGACGGAATTTCGACTACTATTTGGTGTCCCATTTGACCCCTTTGGTATTCTCGAGGGTTCTGCCGCGACACATCCCGTTTTCTGCTCGCGTCATCAACAACCACTGGGTCCAGTGGTGTTGCACCTGGAGAACCTTTAGACGACGGTGTATCAGACGTAAGTGGTGGGAGAAAGTTAGCTTGGAGATTACTACTGCCTTCTGTCACCGGAGATGTCGAGTTGCGTTTAGCTATCTGACCCTGGACTGGAGAATTAGGAGAGGCACCAGCGGCCTGATAGGAGATACGATGATCAAATGTTGTCTCAGCTTCACAAGGTGATATAATCACGTTTGGACCAGCTTCAGAGCTAGCTTGCGCCTCCCCGACGTTCCAACAGTGCTGAGCGTTTACTTGTTGCGTAGTTCTCTTACTGTCGCTGTGGACACCCGTAAGGGACTGCTGCGCATTAGTTGTTGACTGCTTCACACTCTTCTCAGAATCTGGAAGTTCCGCTAGAAACATCACGCCTTCGATGTCCGCACTACCACGCCTAGGCCCAGGCGGGGGCGGGGGTGGTAGGGAAGGAGGGCTTTTGGATTTATCTACTTCATCGCCCCGACGGTCTTGGGTTGCCAGTTCTATTTTAGAGGAAGTATCGGAAAATCTCCTCGCTGGGGTCGCTGCATAGCCCAGAGCCTCTCCTTTCTTTATCTGTTTGCTGCCCATTTTAGCCCACCGCTTTCGCTCATGCATTTCATCCTCAATGGTTTGTTGCTTCTTTTGAAGGTCGAAGATGAGTTCTCTGATACTGTTGCGTAGACTCGATGGGCAAAAGTCCCAAGTAATAGTACCATCACGCTGTAACAAGCGTTTCACAAAATCGTCAGGGTCGTAGAGAAACTGTTGAATATACCCTAGCAAGAACAACCCGCAATCACAGTGGTTTGTTTGTTCGGGAAGACCCTTAGCCGTGGTACCTAGAATATTTGGAGGCGCTATTTCGATTTCCTTTCTCTCTCTTCCTTCCGCTGCGAGATATTGCTTCAGATAGCTGCAGGTTGGCGAATGCGACGAACCCAGAGAATCTAGTGTAATTATTCTTGGCTGTTTTGGGTCATTTTTCCGAGGCCCGCCAGCCGGCTTCTTTCCCAGTTTCTTGTGTCTTTGTGGGTTGTCCGTGGTGGCAATATGCTCTACCTCACCCTCCGATCTGTCCGGGTTTTTGATCTCATACACATCATTATCAAAATTGAGGGGAACTAAGTCAGCTTCTTCCCCCGTGTTACCGTCTGCCATTTTCTTGGATACGCTAGCTGAATGATCAGAGTTGTCAATTGACATTCGTCTCAGCTTTTCGACAACATCCTCTCTCGTAAGCTGTGACGCTTGTTCGCCGTCCATAGTAACAGTTGGAATTTTGCTGTCTGAAGGGGTAACAAGGTTTCCTTGGCTTATTTCAATACCATTGATGGTTGAGATCACTTCCTTTTTGTTGTGGTTATCTCGTTCACGACTGTTGGAGCTGGCAAGTAGCCTGGGTGCATTGCAGATAATTGCCACATACCAGTGAGTATACTCATTGATAGGAACAATGATATAATCCTTGGAGAAGAGGTCGACCTTAGTGGTCCAGGTCTTAACACTATCGTAATTGATTCCCTGGCCATTCTTAGTGGGCTTTAGCTTGTCATAAAAGAAGGTGTTCTGGAAATAGATTCTTTCTGCCAAATCGGGATTGTTCTTCTCTAGTTCGTCTTGCAGATACCGAAGGTAGAATATAATAAGGTTGTCGTTCAAGAATTGGCCGTCGTCAAGGCGTTGAATATCATCCTTATCAACAGTTGCTCGATTTTTTCCCATTCTGGGATAAACGAGAGAATTCCGCCACTTCTTTTCCCAGCCTGCATTGAGTGAAGTCCAGCCTTCGGGAATAGGCTCAAGTTCAGGCGACTCCGGTGGCTCAATCTTCACTGGCAATGAACGGATTGTCCGTCTCCGAGAGTACACCGAAGCTGCTTGGTCATCTAACACTCGGTTCGAGACAATATCGCCACCACTGGACGTAAATATAAGGGAATTCTTCATTGTGTCTCTCAACCTAGGTTGGCATGGGGATTCAACGGCAACATCATGGTCTCTCAAAGATCTGTTCTTCTGATTCTGATGCAACAGTCTGATGTCCTCTGCGATGGGAGTTTCTATTTCGTCATCTGAAAGTATCTTAGGGAACTTGGCTCGTTCCATCATTTCGTTGAAATCTTTCTCGAGTTTAGCTCTGTCAAATTATTAGCCGCCACGTGAAACCTTTTCCTTGCCTATTATTCTTACCTGCTACAATCCTTGATAATAATTGGAGCACTGGAGCTGCTGTAAACACCAACCCATTGTAAAAACTTATGGAACTCAGGTTCAGACGCAAATTCTACCATTAGTTTAGGGCCAGCACCATTTGCTACATTTACACTGTCGAACATAGTGGCGACTATGCAACATTTTTCGTCCTCTTTACTGCGTATGACGGTTTTCGTCTTCGTGATATCAAGTGTAAGATATCTGTGTTGCTTTAGAAACTCTTTCTTGTCATCAACGGGAAATAAGATGTGGCCAATCTCGCGAATGGATAGAGCACAGTAATCTGGAACGTCGTTTTCTTCTGCTTGATACTGGTACTGCCCAGAAACACCACGCACAATACGTAGACCATCCCTAATTATTGTATGCGCCTTTCCCTTCAATTCGTCTACTAGGCGGTGTTTTGCATCCATTGAGTTGGATGCTCTAGCAGCAAGAGTGCCCTTGAACCTTGTAGGTTGAATATTGCCTCTGATCGATAGACTGGAAGAGTCTGTCTTCGGGCGCTTAGCGGCTCGAGAAGCTGCAAGTTCCTCTTCACTTGGAGCTAGTTCATCTGGACCCGAATCAGGTGCGCCGCGTTTTACCCGCTTGTCCGCGTTATCAATGACTTTACGGAATATCTGTGAAGCGTTGGAGTGAGCTGCATTAGTGTCTCGTTGGAAACGACTCGCAAGCTTTTCTATAGGGTGCTCTTCTGGTTGCTTGCGTTTGAGCTGGTGCGAAACTACAGGCTTCTCGACAGGGCCGATGAGGTCAACTTCATCTTCACCAGTAGGTTCCTCGCAAGGGATAGATCTCGATGCAGGGGAGTCTATATCTTCACGTTCCGAACACTTCGAATCATCCCGACTTTTCCGGAACCGTTTCGGTTTGCGCCATCTATCAGCATGACGGTACTCGGCAACGCCATGGCGAGGAGGGCTCTTATTGCTCTTATTCGAGGCAGCCGAACGAAGAGAATCGGTAATAGATTCAATTTCTAAAGACCGCTTTCGGGGGTTCGATTCATCCAATACAAATGCAGCGCTGGAATATTCGCCGTGCGTATGGCTTTCACCGAGTTTTTTATGTTTCGCTGGAGGGGAGCTGGAAGGGCGGGGCTCAGGGACGGATAAAACCCCCAAAGGTGTTCTCGAAGACGCACTGTTGTTGGAGAGGGTGTTCATGGGCTGAGGAGCACCCAAGTTTCCAGGCTTGGTCTATGAAAAGTCAGCTGTTTAACAAGGAAGCGGTAGGTGGGTAAGCAGGAGGCAGAGACTGACCATATCGGCAGCCCTTCGAAATGGGTTAACCGATCCCAGACGAGCAAGCAATGGCTTCCCAGCTTTCGTGAGCAACCCGGAAAAGGTAAATACAGAGGCAGCAGCTCCGTTGCTGGTCTCAGTAGACAAGCGGTGTTGTGAGGATGGCATGTGCGACACAAGCCAGTCGACATGCTGACCACTAAAATGCTTCCCTGCTTCTTTGTCGTGGCACACTACGGTGAAGTTTCACCACCGGCATATGACTAGATTGCCGTCTCCAAACGACGCATGAACGAGCGGATAGAGGCTAGGATGACCATTCAAAACACGATTCAGAGGCGCAAAGTCTGTCAAATTGAGATCTGGGTGGCTGCAAAAGGATGTTAGACGCAGAGGGACGTTGTCACAGGTTGCGCATAGAAAAGATGGCCGTTTGTGCGACTCTGGCTTGTGATCAGTGCTGCTCAGTCGGATAGGAGGATCAGAAAAATACTTTACCCTAGGAATACTTGACAGGCGTACGCAAGGTATGCTGTGTGGGTGTCTTGATAATGCGTTGAAGTTAGAGGAAGCCAAAAAGTGCAGCTAACGAATGGCCGCAGATAGTCACGAAAATGATGTAAAATGCAGTTGCTGTTAAGGGCTGGGGGTTGACTGAGCACCTGCCTAGGTAGCCTACTATAGGTACTACAGGCCGCCGTAGCCTCTTGGTTGAGTGTCCCAATTTACGGGGTACATGTACCTAAATAAGAACCTAGGTATATGTACTTACGTCTTGGCACAAGCACCATACTACAACCACTGGTAGACAAGCGATGTACATGCCTAGGTACTTACCTAGACACGTCTTTAGGTACATATGTAGGTACCTGCCGACTTTTGAATTAAAGCATCCCTCGTAGTTACAAATCCGTGAAGCCGGCTTGAAATAAGTGCTCACAAATATCTGGCCCATGCTTCCGACTGCCTCTTGAATCGCAATCGTTTCGAAAGAAAGATCACCATAGTGATTGTCTTACTTAGATAGGATAACTATAATCATTGAAACTGTGCCCGTTAGAGAGTAGAACCACTAAATCAAGACTATCCGCAGGCTTGCTGTATCCCCGTTTACCGTGAGGGTATCATCATTTTACATTCAGCCGACCATCTTCGCTACGGTTTCCAATATGTGTGAGTTACGGCGATGGTTTCTCATAGGCCCCCGTCTTACGGCTACGTAATTATCCGTCTACTTAAGGTACGCCTGTAAGTATGTTTAGACAATTAGATGGGCGGTGACGCTTCAACATTTCTAGCTATAGTCGTAAGCGAGACTCCATCGATGAGATGATATCGTTAAGCTAACGAAGTAGTATTCATCTCGGCTGTAGTCCAAAGGTAATCCAATGATAATATCCAGTGTGGGCACAGATGATATATCAAATCGTATACATTAGATAATCTACACGAAGAATAGGTACTTACCAAGCCTCAAATCCTAGATCCAAATATCTTTCCCTGGTATCTATGTCCATACTTCAAAGCTCGGTAAGCATATAGCTATTCCATATCGATTAGCCAATATGGATTCCCATGCTCCTCGTCTCAAGTTCCATCGTGAAGTGAAGAAAAGTCCAAGACCAGATTGCCCTAGCTACGTAAAACTCCTTTTGCTATGCTGAACCAAAACAGCAGTGTCATTTCCTATCGAAAAGGCTGTCCTCACATGCTCATACATATACAAACATCATTACTCTTCCTCCGGCGGCGTATCAGGATCTGTGGGTGTCAACTCATATACACTTAATCGGTTTCCAGAGCCACAAAGCTGCGTTTCATCGGCCGCACAAGCCATGCTACATTGACCGCTAGGGGCAGCCTCGGAGCCCTCGCCGAGTTCATCACCGCAGTAGCATTCGCTGCCGTATTCAGCGCCGAAATACTTGAATCCCTCACAGAACGTCGCACAGAGATCGAGAGTCATGTTGGCGGTAACGAGGGCTTTGCCTGAAAGCGCGCGGACCCCCGTACCCTCGGTTTGACATCCGTACCAGGAGTAGTTGCCAACTACGAGGGGCTGTGATGGTCCGGCTGTCGTGTTAGAGTAATAAAGTTCCAGGCGGTTACCAGCGCCGCAGTATTCCGTAGGGTCGCCCGCACAGGGCATGTTGCAGTCAGCCAGGTCCGTCTGGTTACTCGAAGCGGCAAGAATGTCACCACAATGGCATTCGCTTCCAAATTCGGTTCCGAAGAAATGGTAATCTTGACAGAAGTCGGCACAAGACTCCAGCGTGACATTTCCTGCCGTGGATTTTGAGTCGAGAGCTCGCACACCATCGCCTTCGGTCCAGCAACCCTGAAAAGCATAGGGAGGAACAGTGGGCTTGTGCGTTGGGGTGATAGTAGGCGTTGGCATCATCGAGGTCGACGTGGGTGGGTTGATGAGTCTGTACATTTCTAGCCTATTACTTCCACCGCAGTACTCCAGCTCGTCGCCACCACAGGTCATGTTACATTCTGCGTCGTCGGTGACGTTGCTCCTGGGGTCAATGAACTGGCCGCAGTAGCATTCAGTGCTGAATTCAGTGGCGAAGTAAGTGAAGCCAGCGCAGTTTGATGCACACATCTCCAAAGTCATGGACTCGCCGGGGAAAGTAGCTCCCGTGAGGGCACGGGTGGGAAGCTCCTCATAACAGCCGATACGCAGATAGGGTGTCACAGTGGGCTTGATGGCCAGAGTACCAGTAGGAGTTGGGATGGGACCTGTGGTAACGTATAGTTCCAGGCGGTTGCCAGCGCCGCAGAATTCTGTCTCATCGCCGGAGCAAACCATATTACACTCATCCAATGTAACGTTAGTGCTGGCTGTATGGACCTTATTACCACAGTAGCACTCACGCCCATACTCAGTGCCAAAATAATAGAACCCTGTGCAGTTGGTCATGCAGCTCTCAAGTGTCATCCCATCATAAACATAGCTAGGACCGCTCAGAGCCCTCGCTCCGGCGACTGTTGGCTCCGTGTTGCAACCAACTAGCGTGAAGTTGCCCAATGTGTCTCTGTGGTATGGGGTCTCTACTGCTGCCGTACTCGTAACTGTTCCTGGCGAGGTCACAGTCGGGGTTACACTAACCGACGTCGAGGAGGACTCGACTGGAGGATCATCAGCACGTGAGCAGAGCGAAGCTGGCGGCGCGTCGAAGGCGGCGCATCTTGCCCCTAAGCCACTGGCTGCTTTGAAAGCATCCTGTGAAGCCGTTTCACCAGTTCCGGTAACCACGTCAAACTTGGTAGCATAGTCAAGGTCTCCCAGGCCTTCATAGGTACCCGTAAACAAGGTGTAGAGGCCGACACAGTCACCCTTTGTCATGGTAACTGTGGCATTGTTAAGAGTGGGGACTGGGCGGTTTGGGTCATTGACAGGCGTCTTATATGACACCTGCAGTCTGACGGGCTGAGAGCCAAGGTCGTTGCGAACCTATGTCAGAACGTCAATATGATATAACCAAGGTCAATAGAGGTTCAACTCACGGCAGCCACAACTTTCAAGTCGCCTTCGAGCAGACAGCTTTGGGGTTTTTGCATGATGACAGCATCCTGCATGGGGTACGAATTTCCATTGTTGTCATATTCTTGAGACACTCCACTAGCCATGTTGACAGCCAGGTTGAAGGAGGAGATGCCTGAAGAAGTTGGAATTTGAACACTGATAGGGAACCACTATGGCTAGTTGATTAGGGACAGAACTCAATACATTTGGAGTCAGTTTCATGTAAACTCACTACGAACGTATCGTCAAACCCCTCAGTAGCACCTAAGAGGGTAGCCGTAGACGTACAGCCCAATGCACCACAATCATCGCCGCCATTTCGGTCCTTGTATGTCAGCGAAACACTCTCGGCAGAGTCGGTTCCGAAATCAGTGGTGCGAACGCGGATGAACCCAGACAATTGCATGGTTGAGGCTCCAGGGTTCAGTGTGAGCTGCATGTCAACTGGTTTGACGGCATAAGGCTGAATAGGTTCGGTAAGAACAACACCATCAGGGACAACCTCAATCATCTTGCGCAACACCGTAGCACAAACGTTTGTGAAGGTCTCGGGATCCGCCAGAGTGGTCATTGTCGCGTTTCCATCCGAGTTGAAGACTTTGAAATCAGCGTTTCTCGTGGCGCGGATTGATGGACCCACGACCATAGGGTTCGTTGTATTGCCTGATAGATACTCTGTCACAATCGTGTTATCGAACTTGGCCACTGTAGAATCCATTGGTGCCTCGCCCTTTTCTGTACTGCCTACTGGGACGATTTGAGGGAATTCGGTCTCGTGGACCCCACCAATAGTATGGCCACATGCAACGACTTGAATCATCTCGGTTTTGCTGAATCCCATCCGTAGGAACTGGTTTTCAAAGGTGAAGGCCGAGTTTTGGGGCAGAGGGACGCCGATAGGGCCAGCTGCTGTAGCATCAACTCTACCAGCAGCGATGGGGACGACCGGGCCACCGCAAGACCTCACGGCATAGTACACACCCAAGGCTAACAGATCGGCCACGCCGGATTTACTTGTATAATAATCAGCCATAAAGGTCAGCGTTGTCTTGAAGGCGGGGCCGATGTTGTCTGAACTTGTAATCTCATATTGTAAAGAGCCGTCCATGCCACCCTGTCGCGGGCCACCTGCAATAGTGGTAGTCGCCATATCGTGAAAAGCGGCTCTTAACCACTCAGCAGCGTTGTGACGTCCAGGGCCAGAGGCTTCACTTGAGCAGGGAATAACAGTTCCGCCAAATTCGCGGCCACGATAGCCTTGCACTTGGTACATGATCTCTTCCAGCTCATCAATCTGAGATGGCCATGTTGGGTCTGTTCTTGCCAGCGTGCTCAGCGAGAGCAGCGCCGACAAGAATTGTGTAGACCTGCGCATGGCGAAGAATTATCCTGAGGACCGGAACTATTAAGAATTAATTATGCTGAACAGAAGACAGCCAACCATATATCCAGCCCAGCCTGACTGGGTTGAAGGTACCGGCGGAGACAGAGAGTCAACTGGATCATATCCAACACGAAGCAAAAGAGAGGACTTTAATACCATGGTATACATAAACTGATTATACCAGTATATTTTTGCCTACTAGCCGTCATTATCGTTGTCAAGTCTTGTCAACCCCAGCTAAGGTGCCACAGTAGCGGAGATGGAATACGAGATCTGACCAAAATGGTTAATAGGCAAGCTAGGATTGGACGAGTCTTCCACCTGTGCATCCAGCCGCACAGGTGGGACAGACGACTAATGCAAGCCAACAACAGGAGCGGATGGAGACCGAGACAATCTACTGTCGTCCCCTGCATGGTGGTGTAAAATGTAATATGCACTATCAAGGAGCAGAGGCGCCATGCTACCTGATGATCCACACGTGGATTTTCAGGGCCCACGGGACATACCGAGCTAGCAAGATCATTATTCCAATCCAGGTTCGACCGAATCCCGGTGCCCTGTTTATCGAAACTACCCTATAATATTTGTCGCAGTCGTGCGAAGTTCTATCCGATGATATCTAACTTAGAGACAGTAAGACGTGACAATAGCTCTCTCGAAGCTATTCATCGAGAAACGTAAATATGACATTACATCATTTTCAGAGAGCTTCGATGAGCTTTTCAGCTCGGCGCAGGGCCAGAGGGCATGGCGTTTCATGGCTTTCTATAGGTACGAAAGGCTGATGTCTCGCTTAGTATTGACTATAGGAAGGCAACTCAAGAAGTGGCCAGACCTTCGGTGTTCTGGATTCCTGCCTATTCAGACAGCGGTACGCAAGGTGAGGAAATAGTCGTCAGGTGGTGGTAATTGCCCCCAATCAATAGTGTCTTTTCAGCTTCACGAACTTGCATGCCAATGTATGGCCCAGCAGTGCACAGGTAGTGTGTCTGATGTCGCAGTGCATTGTATGTATATGCTAACCGGATTCCTGAATAACTGGAGACACGATAGTCTTTCAAAACAGTCTCCGACTTTCTTGATATTGGAGGATTGCTATTTACGACCTTTGCTATATTGCTTAGACATGCCAACACGTTGGTAGACTAGTATGACGCTGGTATCCGTCTTCATTCAAGGGCCGAAAGATGTATGAAAGTGATCGGTAGTTGAGAACTCCTACATGGGTATTAGCAAGTCGAGCGGTACCTGGCACGTAAATACCTAGAGGTAACCACTTATTTGCAACATCACATAACTTCGAACCTCATACATACTTACCTATAGAGCCTGCCTACATACCGTATATGTGTACATGGCATGTAACCCAAATTGGTACTCAATGCAGACGAAAATCCCAACGGGTAGCCGCAATTTGGGTCTCGGATATGCATGCATGTATGTGTAGGTACCTATGTACTACGTATGTATGTAGTCCGCAGCCGGTGTAGCCCCGCTTGCCGTTGTGAGCCCGAAGAAATTTTCAAACTGACTCGAGCGCCAAGGTGAGCGAAGTGATATTTCGTCGAATCTGGAATGGTATCGTGAGATTGGTCTGCTTACTGGTACTTACTTGGAGTGTAGGATAACTGTGACCTACCTACCATAATCACAACGGTGCGCGCATACACACATGCATATACATAGTATGTACATGTACGTCAAAGACACATTGGATGTTCTTGTAGCTGAAGGGTTGCCTGCTCGATGCCCACTTAGCGAGGGCTGTATAGGTAGCGCACAAACGAGCAACTAATGGGTTCATCTTCCGAAATCACAATAAACCTTGTGACCTGAATGTAAAAGTCTGGAACGCTGCTGTTGGCCATGTGCTTCAGGGGCGCTGAGACGGAGCGATGCCGGTATCATGAACACATACAATGCTGCCGAGACAGGTCACAACTAGGTAGATTATCAGACGACAAGGTGGCCAGGGCACACTGGTGGCGTTAGACCACATACCCTTAGGCACCTCTAAGGAAGGGCAAGACAGAATCTTACTGGTAGCAGCCCGCAGGTGCCTTCTCACGATATCTTCAAGCCCTGATCTGCTACCTAGCAACATTCCTCAATATCACAATACTTGGTGGTTGTAGTTGCATTGCTGCTAGTCACAGGATTTAATGGTATGCAAGGTCATCCTAAGCGTACATTGTAATCAGATAATTAGATGTCATATGCTAGAATGGTCGACTTAATGTGCATCCAATGTCTACACCCTCGGGTCATCCGGGCAGCTTCCAACTTGAGTCTTCATCCGAACAGCCTCGTGTTAGCGACTGCAACGTTCAGTTAGCAACTAAAGGTTCTTAAGGGAACCAATGGCGGAAAATCGGTGTAAGGTTACTGGAATTGTATGTTAAGCGTGCCGGACCCGACTTTCACAGCATTAGCCTACGTACCACCACAGGCGACCGGTTAAGCCGGTATCGTCTTATCATGCTAGTTAAATTCGGCAACTTGCTCGATCCTTGCGTGCCTCCCTAGGTAGTCTACATCTAGATATAGTAGTAAGTACAAGTGTGTACCTATGTCTGCACGATGTCTTTAGCTAGGTAATGCCTCATGGGGGAGAAGATGGGTAGGTAGCTCGACCGACTTAGATACGGTCTGGACTGCGTGGCAACAACACTATTGCAAGTTGGTGAGGAAGAATCGGTGTTAGTTACCTTCCTAATTGATTGTCAGTTTTCATTCTAGAGGAAGTGACTGTAACGGTTTGAAAGTGATAATTCTCCCATCCATCTTTATTAATCAGTCTATAATAAAACACCAGTAATCTTCTATATAAGCGATTAGAGGGGAGGGGCATGTTATATAATGCTATATCTATGGTATATATATGGTATTACCTACTATATACTTCGAGATCAAAGAAAAGAAGTGAGTTATATAATCATCTCGCCTGCATACATCTAGCTAAAGCCTAAATAATAAATAAGAGACTGGAAAGAGAAAGAAAAGGGAAAAGTTAAGAAGGACAAAAAGTAGAAAACAGCTAAAAGTGAGTCCCAACTCCGAATCGGGGAATCGAACCCCGGGCTTGACGGTACTGCACAGATGACCAGAGTCTTCCATATTGAGAGCGTCAAATGTTAGCCACTACACCAATTCGGATTGATGCGGTTTGAGCTTTAAACATTGTATATATATTGTCGCTTAATTGTGCAGCTTTCATCCAATTGAATTTTCAAACCAGGTGGGGTACAAATCCGCTAGGATGGGTGCCTTTACTTACTTCGTACATGTAACTGTTGGAACTCTACTTCCGTCACCAACCTTCCTTCGGGCTCTCCCCAATGGAGGGTTGGGTCTTTAATTCGATAATGACTAGTCAACTTGATAAAACTTGGGTACTTCCAAATAACTGCAATTCCTTCAAAAACAGAAGTAGCTTTGCGTAAACCAATTCCACTTCACATAAAGATTAAAGACCCCAAACCTCCTTGGGGGGAGCCAAAGTACGCAAGGATTGGCATAGACTCTTGAGAAAGGAGGGAGATCTGTTCGCCCACGTGATGCACAGACAACTTTCAATATTGAATTCTGGTATGAAAAAGCATAACTTCTCTTGTTTCTGAGCCGTTCTAGCACAGCAATTGGCGAGGAGGCAAGGGGGCTACTAGTATTCTTGGTAGTATTATTATCTCACTAAACTCCAGCCATACCAAACCTCGGAATTAGGTATCTCATGTAAGAAGAGTTCACTGCCTATCGTAGACACACACGTTCCTTTCGTGGGGACAGTAAGAGCTTCAGTTGCCCAGGGTCATGTCATGGCTGCATAAATAACTTGAGGTTCTCGATAGACATCTAGACCAGTGGACTCTGAAGCCTTCTCGAAAGACGATGGGATAAAGTAAGCCTTTCCGCACGGCGCGAGTGTCTAAGACTGAGGTAGGCTAACTATAGGTAGTCTTTGGCATAGTATTCAAGATGGAGTTATAACGATGGCTTGGGTTGTAGTTGTTGGCAGGTGCGGTGGGCGTGGGCTATTACCCCTCACAGTGGATTCCTAGCAGACTAAATCTTCTACGAAGTACTCCGTACTCTACAACATCAATACCAATCCAATCGTTCAATACGAAGGGTGGGGTAAAGCATAGCGGGCGACCATAAGGACATCCCTAGGTACTTACAGAGCTAGGTAGGTGTAGGTACGTGCATGCGACACTCAAGCCAGGCCGAATGAGATGTCCCCGCAGCTGTCATCAGCTGCGCAAACGAATCGATTAGCCCTCCACTCCCACAAGAAAATTAATTTGCGGACTTCACCCGTCAATTTTCAACCTGAGAACCATCACCAACCGAATTTCTCCAGACCATCCACCGCAAAGTCGAGGTACGCACGCCACCCATATCATAGCATTGAGGCTTCGCTCATCAATATTCCCCTTTGCACCCCGTGTGTTTTCGATCCTGGCGACTGACGTTACTTGGAAATAGCCCAGCGACTTCAAGATGGCCTCAAGACCGACCGTCACCATCATCGGCAAAGATGGTTCTCCTTCGGGAGCTACCCACCCCATTCCCACTGTCTTCGCCTCTCCCATCCGACCCGACATTGTTCAGCAAGTCCATACCGGTATGGCGAAGAACAAGCGCCAGCCCTATGCTGTGAGCGAGAAGGCAGGCCACCAAACTTCGGCCGAATCCTGGGGAACTGGTCAGTTGCCCGCTATCTCCATGCAATGCATGAATTGAGGACCACGAGTTGAGAGTAAACGCGGATGGCAAGGGAATTAGGTTGCTAGAGACATGGAGATGTGCTGACGATGTGATGCTCAGGTCGCGCTGTTGCCCGTATTCCCCGTGTCTCTGGTGGTGGTACTCACCGTGCTGGTCAAGCTGCTTTCGGTAACATGTGTCGTTCCGGTCGCATGTTCGCCCCAACCAAGATCTGGCGCAAGTGGCACATTAAGATCAACCAGGGACAGAAGTAAGTGGACCTCCAATACTGTTATGAGGGAGAAATTGACAATATAAAGGCGATTCGCTACTGCCTCTGCTCTTGCTGCCTCCGCCGTTGCCCCTCTTCTCCTGGCCCGTGGCCACCAGATTTCAAACGTCCCTGAAGTTCCCCTGGTTGTTGACTCCGCCATCTTCGAGGGAGGTGCTGCTGCCAAGACTGCCAACGCTTTCTCGATCTTGTCTGCTGTCGGTGCCTCTGCCGATGTGATTAAGTCCAAGAAATCCAAGAAGCTACGCGCCGGAAAGGGCAAGCTTCGAGGCCGTCGTCACCGCCAACGACGTGGTCCCCTCGTCATCTACGACCCCGAAGTCGACGGTACCGAGCTCGTAAAGGGCACCCGCAACTTGCCGGGTGTCGAAACCTGCTCTGTCTACGCCCTCAACCTTCTCCAGCTGGCTCCTGGTGGTCACCTGGGACGATTTATTGTTTGGACCTCGGCTGCCTTCAAGGCTCTTGACAGCATCTACGGCACTACCACCACACCTTCTGAGCTCAAGAAGGACTTCCTATTGCCTTCCAACGTTGTTTCGCAGGCTGATCTGAGCCGTTTGATCAACAGCTCCGAAATTCAGAGCGTACTGAATGCCCCCAAGGGTAGCTCGCTGACCAAGCGCTCTGGCATTCAAAAGAACCCTCTGCGCAACAAGCAGGTTATGCTGCGCTTCAACCCTTACCACTCGACATTCGTTAAGAAGGAACTTGGCCAGCAGAAGAAGGAGGCTGCCAAGCCCCCCAAGACCCCTGAGGCCTTCCTCAGTGTTTTGAAGGAGGACTAAGTCAGACTAGCTTGGTGAGCAGCTTGTCTCAAAATCCGGTTAAGAGAGCATTGGGTTGCAATTGTCATGGGCGTAATGGGTTCATAGGGTCTCGTGAATCAATGGAATTGTCATTATGATCATATTTCCGCCCTAAATTCTGTTCCTCACAAACGTCTAAATGCTGTATTCGGTGACTCGCTGCATTACCTGTATTTCTCATCAGTAAAAGGCAACAACACTGGATGAGTATGAAGCGTGACGTTGCTTAGTAACAACATTAGACAAAGCATTACTTATTAAGTAGCCTTAGCTACTTCCAACTTTTGCCCGTTGTAGCGTTTGCACTTGATAAAACGAGTCACTCATGATGCCTATCAGTCTGCAGCGTATCAACTGGAATGATATTAGTAGTCCCACTACTAGGGTGAAAATGAAGCTTTGTAGAAGTCGCCTAATGTTGAGCACCTGACTTCGACGTCTGCCTAGAAGTTGTTTATACTTTCAGAGATAAGGTCGTGGTGTATAATACAAAAGCAGGCGATTGTATAGATCATCTAGTGTGCATGCACGTTGTTCCAAGATGCGAACCCAAACACTATATTGTTCAGTCAAAATGTGTGGTCTCAAGGTCGTAAGACACATTTCCCACTTTGCTCACTTAAATCATACATCCGCCGTCTTATTTGTATCGGGAAACTAGCAGCCCATAGCCATCATAATCTCAGACTCCTCAACCTCGAATGTGCCTGCTTCCTCCAACAGAGCCTCTAGCTCCTCTATCTTCTTAACCCGCCAGAACTTCTGTACGCCGTGCCCAAACCGTACCGAGCAGTCACGATTCATTTCATCGGTCTCGGCAGCAAAGCAGAGACGGAAGAAAGACCAGCCTTGCCGAGCGGCGATTTGGGGGCTGGCGCTGAACATCATGCCCGGGCTCGCGAGGACAAGATATGGCTTGTGCGTCAAGAATACCATGAGCGCTTTAGAGAGCGCTGGTCCGTTGATAACAGTACCCTGAGTCCCTGTCGCGCCGAACAATGGATGATTCTCCAAGTGCACTTTAACCCATAGAAACATGCCTCCCCGGGGCCACCTGAAATCATATAGCTTGGTCTTTGTAATGACGCCCCAGTCCGAATCAGCATCACGAACAGGCGTCGATTGCTTCAATTGATACGCATTTTCCTCCAGGAGGGTGCACATCTCGTTCATGCGCCGTTCGTATTCGCCACGCAAGCCCGCGAGCCATCGTACCCATCCTTCCGTCTTCCAGCCGGTAAAGGTAGCTTGATCTTTTCGCGATCGTGACATGAATGCGGCAGTGGCCTCAGGTTGCGGACCCATAATATTTTCCGCAATCATTGCTTGGACAAAGCCCGACGGCTGGGAGGTACCAGTTTCCGACACGGCTATTATACGTGAGCAAATCTGGGGCGTGGCCGTAACCCAGCCAAGCCGACAACCTGGTGCAACTGTTTTCGAGAATGTATCCAGTCGGACAACACGGCCATCGACGTCAATGTTGAGAAATGAAGGTACTAGTGAGTCTAGGAAAGGATAGCCCGACTTCTTAGGCAAGGTGTTGGCGGTCTTGGACACGGGAACCGGCATGTTTCGTGACTTTGCTTCCTCGATCTCTGCCGACGGAAACTGGAGATACCAGTAAGGGTCATCTTCAACGATAATCACATCATACTTGCTACATATCTCATACAAGTCTTTCCTCCGCTCCAGTGAAAGTACGCCGCTAGTTGGGTTGTGACCCATTCTGGAGTATCATTGTTTTAGTAAAAAATATGTAGCTGTTTATGTGGAAGATTATATATGTTCAAGAAAAAGGCCGAAAAGGGGTAAAGAGAAAAGAATAGAGAAAAGACTAGAATTGAGATAAACTTACGAGACAGTATATAGTAGATGGGGTCGCTTTCCTTTTGCGTCATCCCAGTTTGCTAAGACATCTTCCAATCCACCAGGGCCATACGGTGCCATGCCGTCGTCATCCATTTCTACAGGGCATATCTGGACACCCCTGGGCCGAGCTTGGTTCATAACACTAGGGTACGTGAAGATATCAACCAACATGCCAGGTCGCTCGCGAATATCGTTCTTCTCTTCCACCCAAATGTTAGTAAAGACGTCGAGCACCTTGGCAAATCCGTCTGTTGACCCTACGGTTAGGGCAACCTCAGCCCCTTCCCTATATGGGACATTAGGGTGCAGGCATTCGCGAGTAAACTGGCGAATATACGAAACTAGAGGCGGATAGCCCGAGGCCTGGCCATACTGCAGGGCAGTGGCAAGATCAATCTTCTTGGTGACATCAGGGGTATCAGCGTCATGGGGAACGACGACGTGGGAAGCCGTCTTGGGACCCTCAGACGACACTTTTACCGAAGTCACGGCAGAAGAGAGAGCATCATCGCTGCCAGGGCGATTTGGCGTTGGTGTCCATCGCTGCGGGCGCGCTGACTGAGCCTCGAGCGTATCGAACGGGAAGAACTGGGCATTGGGAAGACCTGCTCTAGGTAAGTACAAGTGGGCGAACGAGGCACATCACACCAAGGCATGATGTTGTCTATACGAACCGCCAGCCAGGTTGCCGATACCCGGAATGGTGAAAAGCTTATAGAGCAACTTGAGCGAGTTGGGCTTCCGTGCCTTGGTGACATCGGAGTAATGGTGGCTCAAGTCTTTTGGCAGGGGTTTGGCCATGTCGGCATCGCACGGCATTGATTGGTCCATCTTGCCTTGGGTGAAGTTACTGGTGTCGAGAAGCTATGACGAAGTGGAATACGGGATCGTATTATAGCCCAATCCAGCCAGCCTTGACTTGGAGTGAATGGATATATCGTAGTAGGTAAGAGGCGAGTTCTGTCTACATATGTCTTGGCTGGAAGGAAATTACGTATAACATGTACTTAGGTAGGCAGGTACTTAGCAACCTAGTATGTGAGTTACAGTACCTACCTAATATCTAGGTTAGATGATATAGAGGAATGTGGGCCGCTCGAACAAAGGTGAAGAAGAAGCGGAATGAGAAGAGGGAGAAGAGAGAGGGAAAAGAGAGGAAAAGAGAGGAAAAGAGAGAAGCCAAAAAGCCGAAAAAAGAAGAAAGGATGCTAGGTGGTTACTAGCCCGGGAAATATATATGTATGTACATGATGATTCTTACTGCGTCTTTAGATAACAACTACCTACCTAGGTATGTAGATAGATATATGTGTCTGGTCGTATACATACATACTTACATGGTTGTTTTCCGCAGGGCGTGGTGCCCGGAGTTTTGGTATGCCTCGGTATGCGTACACGGACGACTGAGAGGCCCGATTACAAATCGCCTCCTTCTCTGGTGTGCTGTGTGACCTGTGGATGATAACCACGGACGATAACCACGGATGATAACCATGGATGGTGGATGGCCATGGGTGGATTCATGACTTGGACATGGGTGTTTAGCGCAGCGAGCTGGCCGAGCCTCCCGCCTCGGCTCTCTTTGATAGGTCTTAGATATAAGTCTGCTTCCTCCATGATGCGCAGAGGCTTGATGGCTCAATGTCCTCTTTTTCTTATCTCTTTTTCTTATCTCTCTACCACCAGTCTCTTTCAACCTAGCAGCACCTACTAGGTACTTCGTAGGTACTCAAGGTAGGCAAGGCAAGTAAGCCACTGACAGCTACCTACTTAAGTGCACTGAGCACTGAGCACTAAAATATGCAGTGTGATGCCTTTGACCTGGTCAGGAAAGTCGGTACCGTGGTATTGGTCCTGGACGTTGCGACTCGGCTTATTGAATGGAAGCCGCGCCCACCATTCGCATCATTCGCTTACCCATCACTATTCGCACTCCGGGATTTATTCCTTGCGTCGAGGCACAACTTCGATCCGACCGTAGTTTAGTATCGGTAGATCTTGGCTTCTTGCTCTTGGCTCTCGGTCTTCTGCGGTCTTCTGGCCTGGGTACCGGTGCACTGTAGTCTGTAGATACCTAGGTAGGTACCTAGTGGACGTAGCAGGCATGGCGCCGGGGGTTATCTCGGTAAGTTGCTCCGGTCACGGATCAACGTCGGTAGTTGCAATCGACACCAAGTGCCTACCTAAGTAATGAATTGGAAAGGACCAGTCGCCAAAGCAGACCAGCAGACCAGCAGACCAAAGGACTGCCGGCTAGAATTGTCATCGCCGGTCACGAGATATCCTGTTGACAGAATATAACACGGAACTAGGCACCCATTGATAGGACCACCGTTCAGCGATTGACTATGTCGCCCACCTAGAGTCCCCAGACTGGCTGGTTCACTCACCTCTTTGCCCCGCCAAAAGGTTGTTTTCACTACCTATTTACACGATACTTGCTGCTGCTTTTGCTAATGGTAGTACACACCATCCGCCCCAACCGCCGTCTCGCCCTTACAAACAACCGTCGTGCTCCTGAATCCTTGCTAGGCATACTTCGCTACCGAAAAGCCGCGTCGTCTACAAAGCCCATACCAGGCGCATAGCCCCATAGCCTGCCTCCCTTCACTCCCCCGCTTCACATCTCTTGCCTCTCCAGCACTTGCCCATCATGGATAAGATTACGGACAAGATAGCCGCTTTGCCGGCCGACGCCAACTATTTCTCCCTCGAATTCTTCCCGCCCAAAACCGCTTTGGGCTTCTCAAACTTGCGCGACCGTCTCGATCGAATGGCACGCGCCCTGCGGCCGCTGTTCGTCAACGTTACCTGGGGTGCAGGCGGCTCTACTGCAACCAAGTCCCTTGAATTGGCCGAGATATGCCAGAGAGAACTCAATCTCACCACGTGTTTGCATCTTACGTGTACCAACATGAGCCGCAAGATGATCGATGGCGCATTGGAGGATGCTAAGGCTCTCGGAGTACGAAACATACTGGCTCTAAGGGGCGATCCTCCCCGAGCCGCCGAATACCGGGATGCAAATGAAAATCCAGAGAACGCCATTGATGAGGGGTTCGTATGGGCTATCGATCTCGTCAAATACATCAAAAACAAATATGGCGACTATTTTTGCGTCGGCGTCGCCGCCTACCCGGAAGGGCACGCGGACGAGAGCCATCCGTTGGGTCAGAGCCTAGAGCATGATCTCCCTTATCTAGTCGAGAAGACTCTTGCGGGAGCTGACTTTCTCATGACCCAACTCTTCTTCGATACAGCTGCTTATGAGAAGTTTGAGCGGACGTTAAGAGAGCACCCCAGCGCGGCTTTCAAGACGATACCAATCATCCCTGGCCTCATGCCCATACAAAGCTATCAGATGATCAAGCGGACAACTAAGTTGAGCCACGCCAACGTTCCTGATGACATAATGGCGCGGTTGGATGCCGTCAAAAAAGACGACGAGAAGGTGAAAAGCGTCGGCGTCGACATTCTATGCGAGATTATCGAGCGAGTCAAACAAATCCAGGGCAGCATACCAGGCCCTAGGGGATTCCACTTTTATACATTGAACCTAGAAAAGGCCGTTTCTTTTATCATCGAACGAGCGCACTTGATATCTAGTACGCCTGAGGACGCAACTGTGGATGATAGTCCGTTACCACATATACCGGGCCTCGCGATCAACGGCTCGTCGTCGTGGGAACTTCACCCTCCCGGGACGTGTCAGTCACGGAGGCAATCCACTGTTGGTTCGGAGGCACGTAACCGAGTTATTGTGTCGGAACGTACTCCATCGAATCCCGAATACGAGACTTCGCAGGCAGATATAGGGATACGGGGGCCAATCAATACCCGTTCCAACACTCTTGCGATTTCTGAGGGTGAGGGTGTCCTTGGCCGCGAGGCTACTTGGGATGACTATCCTAATGGTCGTTGGGGCGATGCTCGGTCTCCCGCCTACGGCGAGATAGACGGCTATGGACCAACACTCCACGTAACACGAGCACAGGCCATATCGCTTTGGGGCTATCCCAGGAGCCTTGAGGATGTCAGTACACTATTTGTGCGCCATTTGAAAGGAGAGCTCACCGCAATTCCCTGGGGTGAAGAAGAGGTACATGAAGAGACGGAGACAATAACAGAACAGCTGATACGACTAAATCAGCGGGGACTTTGGACAGTTGCTTCGCAACCTGCCGTCAATGGAGTTCGCTCGGAGGATCCGACTTTCGGCTGGGGTCCTCGCTACGGCTTCGTATTTCAAAAGGCATTTGTGGAATTCTTCGTCTCAGCCGCCGCATGGAAGAGGTTGCGCGAGAAGTTAATGACCCCTGAGATTAGCGGCAAGGTGACATACTACGCCGCGAATGCGGCCGGCGACTTTGTATCATCGGACTTCTCAAGTGGTGTCGACGTCGTGATGAGCAACACGAACAACAGCAGTTACGACACGGGCGAAAGTAGTACTAACGCTGTGACCTGGGGCGTATTTCCCGGTAAAGAGATCTTGACACCCACGATCATCGAAGAGGTCAGCTTCCGCGCATGGGCCGAGGAAGCATTCGGAATTTTCAGCGAATGGGCGCAGGTGTATGGGAAGGGACACGACAGTGAGAGGCTTCTTGAAACGGCACGTGCTGATTGCTGGTTGGTTAATATTATACATCATGATTATATGGATAAAGAGGCTCTGTGGAATTTCTTGTTGGCATAATGCAGCAAGATTAATTGAAATAGAATCAAGAAGTTACATAACTAGGAAAGCATGAAAGCAGATGGAGGGATCAAGCGAAAACTCAAGAGTCGAAAAATAAACTATTACATCAGGTTACCGAACCCGAGTTCTTTCCCTGATATCTACCTATTGATGGATATGTGCCATAACACAAAGATCTTGAATACACAGCAATTAATTAAACACACTTTAGGCTAGAGATAAAAACAGGTTCAATCCAATATGTTTATGACGCCGTGTTCGGCCGAATAGTTCTCGTGTATCTAGGATAGGTGTCTAGCCTCCGATGTCTTGGCGACACAATTTCGACGCCGGGTATATATAATAACCTCAATGGATCTCGAGTTGAACGGCGCATCATAGACGGTATTGTCTTGGCGTACTTGTAGACATGATACCAGTGTTATATTCCAGATATTCGATATATACGCGTATATTACGTTTATGCTGCTTTCACAGGCTGCCTCCTATTCCATACAAAGGAGACGATCAAGAACATCATCCTATTCTCTTAGCTCTTGGAGATAGATGATCTTGTGGGGAAAACCCCCCAATGACAATGCTGAAGCTCTTATGGTAAGATGAAATATCAGTGCGCAGTCATCCTCCTGGAGTCAAACAGAGGGAGAATAGTATTCGATGACGTTGTCTTTCTCTCCCCATTCACAATTTACGTGAGTCTCGGGGTTTAGACAATGTACAAAGGATAAGGCACAACAATAAACGTTCACTGGGACAGGCCCTAGGCTTAAAAACACAACGCAAGAATTAACTGACTAGGTAAGGCAAGGCGTAGCAGCTACGGTAGTGCAAACGGTGCCTAGGCCCTGTACTAATAATCGTGATGGTAGTACATTTGGGGGGTCGTGTTGATACCCCTCTTTGGCAAATCGTGAGAAGCTCGTTTCGCACACAAATGTCCGGAATCTTCCTATCTTCATAGCTTGCTTGTATCCCTACCTATTTTCATTTTTCCCTGCAAAACTTGGTTTTCGCCATATCACCTGTTCTACTATTATTTTCCCCTTGCGTATGAATCCAGATCCATACTAAGGGAACAATGGCCAGTAAATTGTTTCTTTTTCCTTCCTTTCTCTTCTTTTTCCCCTTCTTCCTTCCACGTATGTATTCTCCGCATTCAACTCAGGCCGAATGTAAAGAAAGAGAGACTGATGAAATTAGAAACCTGCATCGAATTGTATCACATGATCAAACGCTGAACCGATAGAGTCTGTCTGTTTTCGACTGAGCATGCTCGTACACACATCGGAAATCCCCAAAACCCACAGACGGGATAATGAAAATGAAAGTCTGGGGTGATCTGGGGTGAGTCGTGAGTCATATGATGACCCCCCGGAGAAGATAGTGTCAGGTTCCATAGACAAGAGGCGAGTTACAACTAGACCTCGCCCTCCTCCATGTTGTCTCCTTGATCGTAAAAGCTAGCATTCTCGGCGCCCAAGAACGGATTCGCGCCAGTTGTGAATTCCTTCTTGATGGTGGATGGTCCAGTGACAGATCTAAGGTCAAAAACCTCGGCGGGGGGCATGGTAGCCGGTATATCGGCACCATTGCCGAAAATTGAAGTGCTAGCAGCACGAGAAGCTGCTGCAACGGTAGGAAAAGTATTAGAAGCGGCAGCAGTTGCGGTCTTGGGTGTCATGGTAGCTGTAGGCCTAGCTTTCTTGGTGGGGCGCTTGCTCGGAGTCTCAATATCACCATCAGAACCATTACCTCCGTTCTCGTCAGAGGAGTCTACCGGAGGTAGGGTGGCCACTGCTTGGCGCTTACGGCTTCGTGCGCCTGTGACAGGAGTGCTCGCTGCAGACCTTTTGTTGCGGCCAGAGGGGGTACCGGCCACTGGGAGTGTAGCAGGATTCTCGCCCTTCTTAACAGCTTCTTGCTGAGCTTTGCCGAGGTTCTTGATGTCACGAAACTGCCACTACAATGTGATGGAGTCAGTAAGTGCTCTTCTAGGCAAAATGAGAGCAGGTTCTCGGGAGTGATATGGTTCTAAACATGCTCGTAGCTGTGCCAGGCAACTATAGCTTCCACAAGCGCCTAGAATGGGAAGAAAATGGCTCCACGGGTAGCATACCTCAATACCGCTGGGTGTCGATTCGCCGAACAGTTTCTGGATTTCTGTATAGGGTCAGCTTACACTCATATAGTGATGGACTCTAAGAACCTAGAAACTGGGGTAATAGAGCGGAATATTGGCGTATTGATAAGCCAAGTACATTGGCTATCAAATGCCAGAAGAGAGTTGCGTGTAGAAGAAGCAGAGATTCACCCCCTCCCTTAGCCAGTGACTTGCTAGCTTTCTCCCCCTTTTGCTTGGTCTGAAGCCGAGCAGCGAATTCATCAGCTAACTTTTTGATGGGACGCATGCGATGCTCCAAGGCAAAGTTGGTAGTGCCCTCACCAACGAGCTCGGCAAGTGCTATTCCGAATCAGACGACTGCCCATACATGGTGAGGAGGATAGAAAACCACGGTCAATGGCTACCAAACCAGGCAGAAATAGTAACAAGAGGAAAGAAAGAAAAGAAACGATCGAGTAAGAAATACATGACGTGTTAAGACAAGGCGTAGAGAGTATTACCTCCTTTGTCAGCGGGCAAGTCGCCAGGATCCTCTCCCTTCTTCACACAGGCAGCCTGCATCTTGGCTAGCTGCTTGATATGTCGAAGTCGGTGATTGATCGCGTCCTTGCTTGCCCCGCCGCCAACATGTTTCGCGAGCTCTACCAACATAGGGACAATCGGGTTAGAAGACAATTCAAGGGAGTGTGTGTAAGGTACATATAAGATGGGTTCCAGCTAATACATAGAAGGTTAACAACTTACCGACGTAGTCGAGCTTGACATTATTGGTAGCGATGACGGCGGCGAGCAATCGGGTGCTTGCCTCGTATGTCTTGAAGTTGGTTTTATTTTTACCAGGAGTTGCCATGTCGGAAGACAAGTTGCGTGATTGAATGGCTGGTGTTATCGCTTGTCAAGTGTACTGGGTGGCTGATGAGGTGAGTCGTCAGGATGTGCTATTGTGAGGGTGTCGAGAGTGTATGTAGCGAGCAGTGGAACGGGGTTAAACCGAGGGAGGGTATATATCAAAATGATATGAAGGGTGAGGAGGTTTATAAGAAAGATAAATTGTGTGAGAGATGTGTTGTGGTTAAAGATTTGTGTTCGGGGTGTGCGCTGAGACTCGCGGTTGCCGTGCATGGACGAGTTGTTGGATGTAAACAAACACCGAGGAAGGCAACTGGGCAACAGATCCCTTGGAGCCAACAACAACAACAACAACAATAATAATAATAACAATAGAAGAGGAAGCCTAGGTTAAAGAATCCCAATGCACTTACCTGCGCTCTTTCCTACTATGAGTGGAAAGGTTACCGGGATGCCTTCTGGAGAAAACTTCAGGTCGATGTTGAAAATTAGGAACTGTGGTCGCGATGCGGTTGAGAATGCTCACGGGTTGTTGCGTCAGGCTGAAGGAGTTAGTGTCGAGGGCGTCAAACCTGAGAACTGGGTGTGAAAAGGGTAAGATACAATGGCAGGTACTCAAGTATGATGTGAGATGTATCAGGTACTGCCAAAGTCGAATGCTATCTTATTCTTTTCCTGACTGACTCTCCTGACAAGCTGCAGTGCCTGATATCCAGCAGTAAACCTAGGAGTGTCCTAAGTCAGCTTTGCAATTCTACACAGCTAGGAAAGTCTCAGTGACTAATGATATTGTAGTCCAAGTTCGACGTGGCAGTGATTGAGATATGGTGTTTTCTCAACCAGGAATACTGTTCTCCTCAATCAAGATAGCTGAGATGGAGAGGTGCGCAGTAAGTAACCTAGAGTGTGACAATACATGCCGTACTATCGGTTTCTCAAGAGCAGATGGGATGTTTGAGCATACCTAGACGGACTTTGGTATTTCCTGAGCAAAAGGCTCAACGATTTGGAGTAACTTGGCTGAGTAGGTACTCGACGCAGTTTGGGAAGCTGCCAGTACTTCCGAAAATCAAAACAACCAACAACTGCAGAACCATCAGAGCACAGAAATCCCTGTTGTAGAAGTGAGAACTACTTAATCGTCGATGTAGATAGATGTTGGATGAAGGGCCAACTACCCGAAAGATCCCTTGAATAAGGCACATGAACCTCCAAAAGCAGCATGAATGTATGTGCAAAGTTGTTAGTAGTGAACTCTATGCCCAAATTGAGACCCCGGCAATATGGTCAAATTTATTTCCTCTCTTCGGAATAAGTAGTTTTCAAGGTACTTTAACATGCACATTTCATTGAAATGAGGCTTTTCTCCTTATGAAGCACTGCCAAAGTATGGCTGGCTTATACCCAAGGCAATGCGTCTTTGTACTCCCTAACACTAACTCACTAGCAAGGCACAGCATTTGAGAGGGCAAGTTGCTAGCCTTAGTCAGCTTTAAGTCTTGGCAATCGAAATCTCGCGTGGGAAGAACAACCCATTTCCTATTCCAGTAAATTGAATGTCAATTGCCGAATTGCCAAGAGTAGTCTGTACGCGCATACAGTAGATCAGGTACCGTAGTCTCTTTGAGCAGACCAGCCTCGCCAACTTTAGGTGTGACGTAATATAGACGGAGTTTCAAAGGAGCCAGGATTACAATAAGAGCCTCATTGCCCAATTTCAAATTGAGTTATTTTGGTGCTGTCATGATGTACAGCTTACAGAGACAATTGCGTGCAAATGAGCATCAGATAATGAGCTTTTTATTCATTGATATGTTTTCTCCGCCATTGGCGTTCGCCTGCCGATAGATGTTTGCCATCCATTGGATGAAGACGACTTGCCTGTGAGTTCCCAATCCTGTTGCAGTGCCTTTACCGATGGGTCCCCATTCCCATATACAAAATACTGCACACCAATTAACGCATCACAGACAGCCTGGAAGATGCCGCAAAGCTTGAAAGCCAAAGGAATCTCTGTCGTTGCTGTGAAGAACCAAAACATTTTCATAGAGTCACCTATTATCCAGCTAGCCAAGACCGAGAAGCGGAAGCCTTTGCATGAATTGGACTGTGCATTGGCGTAAAGTTGTGGGAGTGGTAGAGTCGCCTCGACTGATAGTCCAATATATCCGATCAGTGAGGAGTAGGTAGGGTATATCGAATGGAATGGCGCGATTAGGAGTTCGAGTGCCGTAAGAGTGACGAATATGTACAGCAAGAATTGCCAATAGCTAAACGAGACGTGGTGAGCCGCGAACAACTTCAGATCAAGTAAAGATTGTAGACTAACGGCTTTGGAGAGCGCCATTGCCAGAAATTATAGGGTCGCCGGATGCCCAGGATGCCGTCGTGTGGTCCAGCGAAAGGAATCGCAGCTTCACCACCCCTGGCAGGTCGGTGATCCAGCGCAATCTTCAGGAGAATAAGCTGCATGAATATGTTGCAAAAGGACTGAATAAGCAGGGCAAAATCATATTTCGCTCCAGGATAGTAGAATATTCTAGTTCTTCCCATCAGTAAAGAAGCTTTCAACCGAAGAATGCGCAAGCCCTCCCTCACCTAAACATAGACGCGACTAGCATGATAAGCGGAATGTCGAGAGAGAAGCCGGTACTTGATTTTGTTCGATGCATCGAAATGGCTTGATCGGCATAGGACAATACCGGCGACACGATTAGGAATACCGGCGCCGCAATGCTGGCGAGGCTCGTGAAGAAGCCCATCATTGCGACAGGAAGGTAGACGAATCCCCCAGCTAAAACGGCTTTGGCTGACTTGACAGCTACAGCGGGAAACCCAGCGCAATATAGGCGGCTAAGCTAATGGAGAAGGCCGTGGCATACGAGATTACATTTAAAGAATAGAAATGAATGTATGGATAAAGCCAAAAGTTTCGTCATGGTCGACCAAGCCCAAATGCTTGAAGCATCTAAGTAGATCCAATAAAGGAGACACCTTTTGCATGTCATCTCAGCCCCATAAAATCTCGATAGGCTCTATCTTATCAGGCAAAGGAGATCTTATCGATAGATTATACAATATTTACGTGTACTATGTAGTCGCTTAGGTCGGTCTTCGTTGGAGCATTTCGTTCAAAAGCTTCACCAAAGTGTGAAATATTATCATTACACGGCAACCAGGCCGAAAAACACATGTGTGCTGCCTATATGAAGGCCTCAGGCAAGCAGTACAACCTTGTTGTAATGCTAAAAGCATGATAGTCTCCTATACACCACCAGATCATAACAAACAACGTAAACGATGCAGCCACCGTAAATGACGTAAATGACGGTGAAGAGATAACCGTCATGCCGGCAAATGCGTCCATTGGCCACGCACTGGCCGATTTGCACTGAGTTGAGGTGCGGTAGCGTTGCGAGATCGCTCCATGAGTAGATCGGCGCCGCCATCCCAGCCATGATCTTTATCATTTCCAGCCTAGTAAAGCCATGATCTGAGGGGCTTGCAGTGAAGTCCAATGGCGTCCTTGATGGATACACTACTGGGTGAGTGATGAAACACGCGCGGAACGATGCCGAGGGATCCAAAGAAGCAATGTCGTCAATGCTTCGCGCGAGCAACGCAACATGCTACATGCAAATACGGTAGCCTTTTTCACAACTCCCTGCAGTGGTACGCATGTATAGTCGGCCACCAAACGGTGATCGTCATTTGCAACCGTGGCATCGCGGGGATGGCATGGTTCTATGCAGGTTAAATTTTTGTATGTATGGGTTACTTAGATACCTAGCGTTACCGAAACGAACCCGAGCAAAACGAACGAGGAATGGAGTCTCAGTGGGAAGAGCGCACCGAATTTCCGAGTAGGACAGATGCCCTTGCAGAGTACATGAAAGGTATGCCTCAATGTCCGGAGGATCCGGTGCGGCGCCCTGGCTATTTCGTATGTATCCAGTAAAGCCGCTCACGGCCGTAACGAACCTGTTACCAGGGTGTATCCACCTAACCTGGGTGCTGCCTGGGTATCTCGGCACGACCAAGCTAGATACTAGATAGACTAGGAGATGGATCTTGGATTTGGCTTATGCACGTAACACCGTCACCAACCGCCGTGTCGGTACCGTCTCTCCTTTTGTGTGTGTAATTGGTAGCACATCAGAAATTGTACTACATTCCCGCAACTTCCGCAAAGAAAGCGCCTACAGTAAGGTATGTACATGTATGTAGGTAGAGCAGCTGGCTGAATCGCAAAGCGTGATGACTTCAAAGTGTACATACCTATACATACGCACGCGACGAGAAGAAGCAGGTAGCGTGAGCCACGTCAGCAATGGCTGCGAAGGACTCAAGTACCTTGTGGATTTATAGATTTTGGGTTACCTATTGGCGGCGAGGCGAGGCGGCGAGTCAACATCGAGATGATACCTCCAGAACACACACACACACACACACACACACAAATATATATATGTAGTATAAGTCACGGCCTATTGTAGTTAGTCTAGGTTGAGTTGAATAGGTGCTAGGTAACTTCGTATGTAAGTAAGCTGATGAAGACCGGAGTGCGAATGGCGGCATCATGTGCCGCACTAAGCTGCCGACAAGAATGGGCAAAACGCTCTACTGTACTTAGTCTGGGTTAGTCACGCCAACGGCTCGGCTGGGCCAAGAAGGGGCTGAAAGTGCTCTTTGGTACATGAACGAACACATGGGCCTCTGTGGGGGGTTTCTGGCGGCGAGGTGGGGGGACGAATGAGCGGAGAGCCATGTTTTGTGGCGGTTCGAAGAAGCATGTGGCGGCCACGTTGCACCGTGGGTGGGAAACCAGGTTAAGGCACAATACGGCTGCAGCCTCACAACGTGAGATCCCTTTGTAAGACTGTAGGTAGGTGTGAGCGATATGCTGTATCCAGACAGCGGTCGTGGTCGTGGTGGCGGGGATTAGACAGTCTTTGAGATCGGTGTGGTGGGTGGCATGCGCCTAGAATCCCTGCCATGACTGATGACATGACGGTCCGTATAGCATGTACTACTTGCTTACATTGCTTCCATGCTCGGTTACATGTGGTGAAGATGCAAAGAAAGGTCAAGACTCTCTAGATTGGAAGAAAGGAAGACAACACCAGTCCCGAGCATCTGATAAACTGCTTGTCCCTTACCCTCGCTCGTACGACTACTACGACTACTACGACTACGACACGGTAAGGCTGCTGCTGACCAAGATATAACATATGCTTATTCAGTCCGCCAAACTCAGGATTCGATGCCCAACTGTTACTGCACATACAGCAGGTACAGTAACATGGCTTGACTGAGATCCATCTGCAACTTCATGGATGCACATGAGGGCTTGTCGCACTACCTACAGCCTGCCTCGCCTGCCTCGCCTACCTCTACCTCCAACACATGTGGATATAAGTAATGCCTGGTAAGCGCCGAGGCATGTCGAAGAGCCACCATCGTTTGCCGGTCTAGGTACTGATTCGCCCCTAGCTCTCGAACGAAGGACGAGCAATCCAGCCAGCTGGGAGATCTAGCGAGACCTAGTCTTACCGCCGGCCTTCTTCGAGGGCTAGTGGCGCGCGCCGTATGCCTGGGTCTCGCTAGGGGCTTCTCTCTACCCAGTGATGCTCGTACAGTTACTTACATACAAGGACTGAGTATACTGGCTCGACTGGTAAGTAGTAGATGTGGTCGATAACTGGAGGCCGATACTAGGAGGGACAAGTCAAGGGTCTGGGCCATTGGCTCCGACCCATCACCACCACCAAGAATCCCAAGAACTCCAAGAACTCCGAGGACTGTCCCTGGCGAAGGTGAGGTGATTACCACTACTTGCCTACCAGTATTTATTCACTACCTATGTACCTCTTAGCCTCCCTTTTAGACACAGCCGAGTACTTAAGTTGCACCTGAGGCAAAGTACACGTGTGGCACGGTCATCGCTGTACTGAGTCGAGTCGAGTCGAGTCGTACGTATAGCCGGTTTGCTCTCCCGGCTCACACTTAACTTACACTACCTACTTAAGGACTTATCTACCAGGTTACGCTACGCTACCCTCCCGGTGCTTAAACCCCCGAAAAGTTCGTACCGAAACACGTAATACCCGGTTGCGTCTCCCGATCGAGCAGTCAAGCCCGACGAGAGAATTACTTACTGGTAATGGACAACGCCCTGGCTGCTGCTGTGTCACGTACAATACATAACGCTGCTGCACTCACTCGCACATCAGTCATCATCGCCCACTCACTGCTCATTTACCTACAGTAGTCGCTTGCCTGCCCAGCCTTGCCCGACAGTAGCGTCACCCGAGCATGAGTCGGCGGATGCGAGTGCGTATGGGCAAGCATGACACTACCACCTATGGTTACCCAGTACCTGTCCACGTACAGATACCAGCATGCCCCTTAGTCCTCAACCCCAACACCATCCACCCCACACCCTTCTGGGCCATCCGTGATTTATCAATATCCCGCTAATCTGGGTGGCTTTGGGTCTACATACAGGGAAGTAAGTCTCTCTGCTTGGACCGGGAGCTGAAAGAGAATATCCCTCAAGAAAGGTAGGCTCTTGCGTGTGTGTCTGTGTGTCAATGCGTCCGTGTGTGTGTGTATATATGTGTGTATATACCTACTACGTAATGTACAGTAGGAAGCCATGTTATACACTACGCCATACATGTATGGATGTGCGTGTGGGTAGCGTCAGACGTGTGCTGTCTTCACAATACCTACATACTGCAGCAATGGGGGCGCCGAGCATACCACCGGCCGGCCGGCAGTTCAATTGCGTGCTGGCGTTGCTTGCAGCTGGAGCTTGTTCAGTCCCGGTCGTCTCTGTCCTGCCCAATAGTCCAACTCCATCGACGCGGCCCTTGAGACATGTGTGATATCAGGAATCCCCTAATTCCGCTCTCCCTGGCCGTCGAGGGACGTACACTTAGACACGAGGAGAGGTATATGTAGAAAAATAGCGGGATGCCGGAATACCCCGTGTTCATAGATTGGGTAGGATACTGGCTGGATAAGGTAGCCCAGAATAAATATACATACAAATAAATCTGGCAATCATTTACCGATCAGTGAATTTCCTGTGTCCAGGCTAAAGTGAACACTGCAAAGCATGTGTAACCGCCCAATGCTCATATCCCCTACCGAGTAAATGCAAGATGACTCCAATTTGCCCGAGCTAACACCGTATTGTTTGCTCTTGATGTGCATAAAAATTGATAATAAACAAAGCCTTCCACAGCGCCGTCGATGCATTGAATAATTCATATATACAAAAGTTCGAATCAATGTTTCAGCCTGGTGCTACTGTATATCCTCGAAGTGCCAAGCTAGCTAATGATGAGGCTGTGCCTAGGGATTCAGATTCGTGAGATTGTTGTCCCTCCATGGTATTGCGACCCTAACAGGGTAGTCGCTGTCGTATAGATCAACATGTAGATTCGCTATTCTGCATGGTGCAAAGTCGTCTTCATAAAGCCATACGATTCCGGGGTTCGTTATGTGTTTTCGCAACGCTTTTTAAAAGGCTGATTTCTTTTCATTTTGATGTCATAAGAAAGCGTCGAATATCCTATCCCTCGAATAGTGCGATAGAATTTCCCCGAGTCTCTAGGAAGAAATCCGATTCCTTTAATGTGAGCGCTGAAGGTCCCGAACATACGGGTCTGTTTGCCATTTTCGATACATGATGTCATCCCGAATTCTAGGAAGTTCTCGGGGTTGCCATGCGGTCGCCGGTTTCATGTCCGGTGCTGACATGATAGGATATGGACAGCTGGTTGGCGCTGGCGGAGCTGGGAACTGCTCGTACGTGTACCTGGCCCGTTTGCTGGGTATGTTAGGCAATTCAGGGGAACGGCAACCCATTTTGATACGTGGTGACATAACGCTACTCTGAATACTCCTAACTTGGTCGGTTTCGACAACTCGTGTAGGTGTTCCAAGCTGGCGAGAGTCGTCCTGTTCGCCAGGTGAAGTGACTGGGGAGGTGTTGTGGCCGCCTCGAGGTCTAGGAGAATTAGCAAACAGCATATAAATAGAGAACGGCTAACTGCCACCTACGCGTTCTTAAACTTGCACACTCTTCCAAATTTTTCGCATTGCACGCAACGAGGATAGTCAGGATCACATTTGATCTTCTTCTCGCGGCAAGTCAAACAGGCGATAGCCAGCCGCTTTCTCGGTTTGCCAGCCTTCGTTACCCCCCAGTGCGCATTGACTGGCTCTCCGTCTATGACCGTCTTGCAATGAGTGCCGTCGTCGTAGAAATAGCACAATCCTTCACCGGGGACTTCAGCACGTCGGACAAAGCGAGGCAGAAAATGTGTCCCAGTCCAGATTTTTGGCCCAAGCCCATCTTTCACGAGAATTCCTTCTGGGCTAGCGCTGCTTGGCAAAGTTGGTGAGCGACTGATTCGTCGGGGCTGACTTTGAATGTCAATTTTTGCGGACTGGCTTGCTTCGTATCCAAAGTTCTGCCCAAGGGATGGCAATGGCATACGGTGCTCGCCTGTTGATCTAAAGGTTGGTGTTGATGACCGAGCAGCGTACACGTACTCTGATCGTCTATCTGAAAAGTTCAGGTGAGCCCATTTCGCACCAGCACCACTGTCATTCCGGGAAGCATGGTGCGCATGATCGTACTCGCGAATTGGAGGAGATAGCGGCCCTGGAAAGCTTTGGGATACCGAGGGCAAAATGGGCCGGTCAGTGGTCAATCTCGGTTCATAAACGGGCCGCGGTTGGTTTAATGTTGGCGAAACATTCGGAAAATAAGAAGAACTGCTGGAATAGGGCCTCTCTGGGTTCGTGGATGCGGAAGGAGGCCTTTCCGATGGCGATTGGTTTCCATACAGTGGACTAGTCCGGTCTGACAGAGGGGAATGTAGAGGACGAACGTGTTGGTGTGCTGCAAAAAGGCTGCTTAAGGAGGGCAGTTGTTGACGTGTTGGCTCGTTCTGTAGCTCTTTCTGACCCCTGCCTATATTGAAACTCTTTCCGGGAGACATATTGGATGTTCCGCTAGGCTCATGACTAGACATGGGAGGAGATATGGGCGCACCGCGGTTGAAGGTTTTGTCTCCAGGAACGTGAGACAAAGAAGCCGCAGAGAGTGGACTAGGCAACCCAAACGGCGTTACTGCACAGGATGACGATCGTTGAAGATCTAGCTCAGGATGTATACCCATTGAAATCGAGTTGACGGTGGCCCTTGGCTCCGTGACACAACAAATTCCAGATAGGATAGCGTACAGGTACGAAGCCGGGCAACTTTACGATATAAATAGTTAATAGGCAGGGAAGCACGCAAGCCAGCTGTTTCCCTGGGGCAAATCCCTGAGAAGCAATAGCCCGCAAGCCTTGCCACACAGATAGCCCGTCCTGTCGTTGACGGCGTCGAGTAGATCCACGGATCGATCTGGTCAGCTAGTCACAGTACGTCGTCGTTCCTTTGTGTGCGTGTGTATGTATATATATATATATATATATATATATATATATATATATATATATATATATGTATGAATCGTCTAGTTCCGGCTGTAATCCTGGAGTTCCGTTTTACTGCGTAAGTTTCTCGAGAAAACGCTGTATTAATGACGACGAAGTTGATATTCAGTCCACGCTTCCGGCCTTGTACAGAGTTGGTGTGCGTGGGAAGCCGGCAGATATGAGTTTTTGAGTGGTGGTTCGGTAAGTGTTATTGCGTTAATCCAGTCAGTGGCTCAGAGATGGACGATGGAAGACGGGGAGAAAGCGGACGAGGAGAGAGAGAGAAGGAACAAGAGACGATATTCATCTACCTACTAGTAGGTACTATAAACTGAACAACGAGGAAGGAGACGAAGGATTACAGTAGTGCTCGTTGACCTCCAGGGCTGTTGACGATATCGTTACACTAGCGAGGCATGGTACCCCGTACCTCGTCTCGTCACTGATTTAGTATGTACTTACTTACTTACATACATAGTAGAACGGGGTGGCTCGACTTCACAACCGTTACCCTAGTCTAGTTAGTCTAGTTAGTTGCTGTACGATCAAGCCTGGGTGCGACTAGCACCATCGCAAGCGGCAACAACGGCATGGGTGTCATTCTCAGCTGCGGGAGCAGGCTCCCAAGTACCAGAACATGGAGTCGAGTGGATGGCCAGAGATGGACCGACTACACTAGCCCGCCGTATCGCATGGAGAGTGGAGATAGATGGACTACCCACCTAAGTAAGTACATAAGTACTTACATCCTTAAGGTAGGTAGGATGTAGGTAGGTATGTACCTACTACAGCACGCTAAGTACTGGTAGTTCTACACTACCACCACTACCATTACCCGCTACTTCCCACACTTACACTTCCCTACCTACCTAGGTATGTAAGTACTTACATAGTACCTAGTGGAAGGAGAGATGCTAGTCCAGCTAAGTACTTGTATAATTCAGGATGTGTTCGACGTACAAATTTATAATTCCATCTTGTTATGTAGATGGCTTCCATTAGCTGAGGTCAGCCTAAGCCAAGCAAGCCAGGCGCACTGTAGATGTTAAGCGAGGGCTATTCTCTACGCCTACTATTACTTACTTACTGTACATACAGTAGGTATTGTAGGCTACCTACCTCTGGCGTATGTAAGCGTAGGTAGCATAACATGCCTAGCCCTAGCCAGTGTCATACCATGTAGTGTGGACTGTACCAAGTAAGTAAGTCCATCTCTTATCATCGGTATTATTACGCGAGGAAAGCATTGAAGTCTCAGCATCGTGGGTTTGTTTAGGCTAGGATTGTGACAGGTAACAGCAGCGTCATACGTCAGGGGTATGTTCCGGCCGAGAATGCGAGAGGGGGACCACGCTGGTCCCGTGGGTAGGTACTGTAATAAAGCAGGGGATGTTATAGGAGCGAGGACACTTGCCGTTACGAGTATCCTTAATGTTTCGTTGGCATTATCTCGGTAGCGGCCTTCATAAAACCCGAGTTATTAGTTATTCCGGCATGTCCTGGTCTGCTACCAATGACCATTAGCACTGCATAAAGAGGGATACCGGTAGCATGCTTCCTATTCTTGGGCTGTGGGGAATAACAGCAACGGACTACGAGTACTAAAGTAAGTACATGGGTAGGTACTGCGTAGTGTAGAGCCAGGCGGGCTAAAAAGCGCGAGGGATAATAGTGATTTAACCAGGACATGGACTATTATGAGCTATTGGCCTTGGTCGCTAGGAGCTGAAGCTGTATCGTACGAGAAAATAGAGGCCAGGGAAGCAATCGGACGAGGGGGTATAGTACGCGTTAAGCACCACGGTAGGTCGTAGATATCCGCTGTCGAGAAGAAATGGGCGGGAGGGATATACTAGAGTAAGTAAGGAGTAAGGGCAATGAGGGATCAACCCTGGTTGTAGTGGTTGTTGTTGTTGTTGTTATTGTTATTGTTGCTGGAGTTAAGCATTGCTTCGCGGAGATGAGAGATGGGTCACACAATCGCTGGCAAACGCACCAAGTCAAGGAGAACGCCACATTAGTCCAGGTGCCCATAGCAGAACCCATAGCTGCTGTGACGGTGATCGATAACGAAAGCGGGATTACCAATGCGTTGCGCCAGATCGGCGTCGTGACATCTCCCGTCAGAACTTTACACGCTACAAAGCTTCATCACGTTGCAGAAGACCACACAGCACCCATGTCGGGTGATGCAATCCCTGGAACTCGACGACGAACCGTTGATTGCTATTCCATCGACGCTAGCGCGCTCTCATGCACAGCGCTGTGTATAGTAATAGGTCGGGGCCAGTCGTCTGGGCTCACCGACCAATACCACCACACAAGCAGACGGCTTTCCAACTGCCGCTTAATGTTTCCCTGGGGTCACTCTTCAGATGACACGAGGACGGTTGGGCCGGCACGTACTACAGTATGTACTGTAAGTAGTGTAGGCATGCAGAGCAAGATGCTGCCGGCCTATGAGGTGCTGTGAGATAGGGGGGCGGGTCGAGGGTAGGGTTTCACCCTGGCCAGGTATATGACGGCTAATAAGGAGCGCGTGCGCCGGCAGGTCGTGCTTAGTGCAATACCAGTCCCCCGGGTACGCTGGCGCAGTCGGTTGAACACTCCCGGGCAAGACGCGGAGTCAGCAAAGCCATCCCAGGGCCATTCAAGGTGTTGGCAGCTTGGACGCACGCCTGCGGCACTCGTCAAGACCCCTGCTAGCGGCACCCTTGGTCCGAGGCCTGGTGTCCAGGAGGCACGCAACTGCATGGGACCTTTTACATTTGGGACAGGTACGTACAGCAGTCGCAGTGGTCCAGTCGCTGTCCAGAGCCGTCGAGTCGAGGTCGAAGTTGAGGAGCGAGTGGATGTTCGGTTTACCGCCGTAGCGTATGTAAGTAGTAAGGACAGCGCTGGGGCCAGGTCGGTCATGGGTATGTCTCCCTTTATAGAGAGATACTGAAGCACAGTAAATACCTACATAAGTAGGTAAGTAGGTAAGTAGGTAGGTAATGTGGCAGCTTGGCTCAGAGTGAATAGCCGGTTCCCTGGACCTTGACACTTGCCTCAGCGGCCCGACCAGTTGAGTATGCAAACGGCCAGCAATCAATCTATTGTGAGCAGGTGTCAGTCTCACCATGCACCCGCTTGGGTCCGCCTGGGTCCGCTTGGGTCCGCCTGGATCTGCTTGGGTGGGAGAACAACTCATCCACAGACTTCAAGTTGTTTACTTACTACTGTACTTATGTATACTGATATGTACATGTGGTAACTGTATACTTACTTACTTACTTAAGTAAGTATTTATGTGCGCTTGCACTACCTACTTATGCTGTTATTAGCCTGCGAGTCCAAGCAACAACCATCGCCAGCCCAGCCCTTCCACAGCGACCAATGCCAAGCGACCAATGCTAAGCGAAGGTGATGAAGGGCCAGCCACCGGTTAATCATCGGTTGCGTCGGTCTACGGGGCACGTAGGTACACACATTGCACGCGGAAAGGATACCTAGGCAGTTCTACATTCCGTACGTACTTAAGCGGGAGGCTGCACATGATTGCAGAGAGGTGAAGACTACTACGTAAGAACTCGAAGAAGTCAAGGAGCATACTGTAAGAGATCGTTGATCCTAGGGCTCTGGGGCGGCCAAGTTGCTAAGGCAGTGATGTGCTGTGTGTGGCCGGCTCGCTAATTCTCGCCTAGTCAGGAATAGCTGGTCAAGCAAGGCCAAAAAACATGGGCGGCGCGCCCCTCATACTCAGTCGAGTAGTGACTCCGCTTATAGTCCTTGCCCGGCATTCTGTTGCGAAAAGGATGTGCTGTTGTTCAATGGGCTTCCTTGCTGGCTCTACTAGCTCCATACACTTCAGCTGTTGTGGCTTGGAGGGCTGAACGAGATCAGCGACTCTGGTCAGATTGTGCGAGCATTTGTCGGGCGGGCAGCCTGTGTAGCAGAAACAGCCCCAGTTAACGACGAGGCGAATCAACAGCCTATGGCTGCGCTGGTCACAGCATCTTGAAACATGCAACAGAGCCAAAGTTGCTGCAGTTGGCGAAACGACCTTGAGCGCTTTGCGTACGTAGCACGAGCCGAATGTTCAAGGTCTGGTTAGGGCCCTGATCTCTAGCAACACAATATATCCTATCTGATATTTGGATTTCGAGGAGGGCCGTATGCTATTTTGAGATCATCTGGTGGCTATAGAACAGACTCGACTCAGTATGCTAGATAAGCCGCCGAAAGCAGAGAAGAGCGGTTTCTGATCGAATCAAGCGCCTTGTTGCTATCTACAAGTCATCTTCCCTTTCGCAGTCTGCGAGTCATTCCCCTGGCCATTCGGGTTCCGATCACCTGGACACACGGAGAGTCAGATGCTGCCAGCTTGGAAGCCTCGATTCTGGGTCTACCCCCAGGCTGCAAGATTATTATCTTCGACATGCTCTTGTGTTGTACATGTACATGTGTAACCGATCGCGAGTCTACTACCTACGTAAGTAGTACCTAGCGTTAGGCCCGCCTTTCAGCTGGCTAGGCTTGGGAGTAGCATAAGTAGCGAGAGGCTAACCAGGATACGCCGGAAATATGATGGCGCCAACAGCTCGGCATTCCCCGTTGATTGTATCCCCACTTCATGCTAAGTGCGTACGGAGTATTTCCGTATTTCAGGCCAGAATGAACAACCGCCGTCAGAAGTGGTATAGCTTCTGATTACTGTACGATATAACTATATGCTAAGTATTCCATTTAAGCCGCAGCCTTGTATATCACGATTTAGATGGGAATTATACTGTGCATACTATAAATACTTTACTGGTAGTATCCTGTCGCGTGCTAGGTATGGTAAATGCTGCCGAGGAGATGCTGTGGATAATCTTCAGAGAATGCCTCTCGCTTGGGACCATCAACTCTTTTTTAAGTATATATTCATATAAAGTAAGTATGTAGTTTGTAGTCGGCAATGCTGTTCTGCGAGTACTGTGGACAGACATAAGGATTTATGCGAAGCAAGCCATCGCTAGTGCATACCGGCACAATGGTAGTAATCACGGGTCATCAAGATTCAGGGGTCCAACCCTTTGACAAGTTGTACAGATCGTGTATCCTTATCCCCTTAACACACTATACATAGTACTAACTGCTCAAGCCTAAGTATGGATTTTGAATCAAGCGGTGAGACGAGGGAGGATAACTTTTTAAACAATCTGTGTAAAGAGGAGGCTCAGATGTCGTATCAAGGGCTGATGACACTGCTATTATATATACTTACCTACTCACTTAAGCACTATCCATAAGCCCGAACTCCCTAGATTCTTGGTGTCGATATGCGAGTCTAATACGAGCATCGTGCTCCATTCTTACTTTGTAGGGTCAAGTATCGACATTCATTCCCGTTACAGTGTACAGCATAATGAGCACCGATCTATCGATGTCAGAAACCTCTGCGAGGCCGCGAACAGGTGCCAACAGTAAAAAGTGCCTTCTCCACGAATACCCTCTACCGATACAGAGCAGGAGACAGATCGCTCAGTATGGCAAGATACCGTATAAGTACACGAATATGTGATCGTGACAGGGCCCACTACAGTAGCATCTGTAGACACAGCCAGTATTGTTTGCTATGCTGAATTCAAGCCTAGGGGCTGTGCTAATATTACAACTATGCAGTCGAAGCATACATACAACTCGCATACGTGCTTGACCTTCTCGGTAGGTGTTGCTAGGCGCCAACAGTCTTCCTTCGCATGCGGACAGGGCCAGCCTAGAAAAGGCAATATTGCCGCCGCACGCGAGAGTGGACGTCTACAGTACTACTTATAGTAGGTAGAGTATGTAGGCCAGTGTACAGAAAGGTCCCCCAGCGTTACACCGGGAGTTGCCATCGAAAAGAAAGACGCCCACCGCCGTAGCTGATGGATCGGTGTGACTGTTGGACGAGTACCACTTCAGCTGCTGCAAGTTGTACTGGTGCCGAACTTTGGATGATCCGTTCCCGTGCGGAATCTTCAGCGTAGGTATTTTGGTACATTTGCATGGCGATGTGCGATACCTGTATGGTGGCCAGGCGGTCTTCTTGGTCTTGGCCTTTGCCTTTGCCTCTGCCTTACTATCTATACGTCTGCTAATGTAGGCATTGGTCTCGGTCTCGGTCTTGGGTCATTGGCGCCCTCTGCCGTTTCTCCTCTCCTCCCCTCTCCTCCCCTCCGCTCCCCTCCTCTCCTATGTACTCCTTATGCCGCACCGTACAGTACCTGCACACACAAGTGCGGTGGGCTCGCCCCGGCTCCTTGGGATCCGCCTCCTTACCAAGTACATGTACTGTTGTCGACGCGCTACCCGCCCACGTAGCTTATTTCGAAGGATACCGGTACATGTAGTGTAGACGACCTCCTTCACTCCCCGTCTTTCGGGACCGAGCTTTGACGAGCTAACAGCGACCTACCAAGTCGACGCAGTTGCTAGTATAGCGTCAAATAGTCCGGGTCGTTTATGGGGAACGACGGTAGTAGAGATTAGCGCGCACTCCTCTGTGTCGGGCCGCCATTACGGGCGGTGTTGGATTCTGGGAATTGCCAGAAGACTGTGCTACCTACCATGGACGGCCCAGGACGGGCATGTTCCACACGGTGGGTGCTGCTGGTGGCTCACCGTTGTTGCTGTTACTCCCATGTTAATGATGCTGTTGCAGATGCGGTGGAACCAAGCCACTTTGTGTTGCTCGCTTCGCACAAGGATCGTTCTCCGGACGGCAGCCTATCCCAGCCGAGCCAGCTTCTGTTGGGGCTTCTAGAAGAATTCCTCTGCCCAGGCTCTGCCCAGGTCAGAACCGAACCGAACCCAGGTCGGAATCCAGGTCACCGTCCTTCCCGCTCATGTGAGATGGGCGGCGGGGCCAGCAATGACGAGTTCTTTGCGCCTGGCTAGCTTCCTCATTAGGACACCAATACCGACGCCACTGGGCGACTATCACTGTCGGGTGCCACACATAGTACTGTAGGCACTCAAATCCACCCATCGCCCCGGGACCAGACGAGCAGCGCTGTGAAGGCTATTGGCCGCGTCCAAGGGGACTGAACCGGCCTGAAGCTGCATTCATAAGCATCATCCCAGTTCGGCTCCGACACAGTTTCTCGCGCATCACCTTTTAATACTCGCGCGCCACGCTAAACCTACCATAGCAATTGTTGGGGCGGTACGTACTAGTACCCCCACAACGGTCCTTGGCACACCTAATCTAAACCTTTTCGAAGTATAACCCTTGTATCTCCCAACAGGACCTATGATAACCATTAGAAAAAAAACATCTATAAGGCGAAACAGTGGGCGTTATCTTTGACTTCGAAGGTTAGTTAAATAGGTAGCGAAGGTAGGTAGTAGAAGGGGTAGTTTCGTATCAAGATCAACAAGCAAGTTACTTTTTTAAGGCAGGTTAAAAAACAAGTCATAGGGCACTTCTAGAAGGGAACGTTTTATAATAAATATAGTAGCAAGCTGTTCGTTACAAGTGTTCTGAACTTAAGAGATTAAAGGGTGTACTTGTTGAGTGATGACATGAAAAATAACTGTTTTCATAATCGCTGTCAAGGGTATGTCTGTAAGTAACCTAATTTGTATGGGAAAACAGGGGGGTTACAGACAGAGACCCGACAATTGCTATGGTAGGTTTAGCGTGGCGCGCGAGTATTAAAAGGTGATGCGCGAGAAACTGTGTCGGTTCGGCTCGACCTAGTCATGTCGGCAAATCCTCTTACAGCACACTAGCCCTTTCCTGCATACCACGGTGGAGGGCATCGTGAGCCAATAAAGGTAAGCACTTCGGCATATCTATATATGTAAGTAGTAGCCGTAAGTATCTAAAGCTTTATACGTAGGTACTCGTACTGCCACGCGACAGTCATAGGCCCTCCCGTGTTGTACCCGTATACTTTCGCTAGCTACACGACGACGAGTCGGCTAGATGGCGTTGGTATACGACAATTACGATTGGCCAATTTCCGCGATCTGAAAATCATCCGTCGATATTGGTCAATGACGTTGTACTATAACCGATAAACATACTACACAGGTACTATGTATGTATATCGCTGTCTAAGATCAGTCCACCGTCGCACAACAACAGCACACTGAACTGATATCTCCCCCATGCTAGCGATATTCTTTATTGCATCACTGTACGCAGACAGCATCATTCATTACATACTGTAGTAGTAGAGATGGAGTAGAAGGCAGATCAACAAGCCCATGATCTCAACTCTCGTGGAGCATCCTGACCGTACTATGTATACCTCATCCTATTAACCGCAAGGTGTCTCTATGCGTGGGATGCGCTGATGACAGGGACGTATGCATCTACAGTACTTACATGCCCCTCGATGCCCTACTTACTTACTTAAGTACATGTAGCAGCAGCACTAGAACTACCTATACGTACAGGATCACGCTGACAATTCCCTTTTGAGGCTCACTCTATAATTAGCACGATCTCCAGTGCTACACGATGCAGCTAGACCTAACATTGCAACTTGCCCTGTAAAATGATCATTATGCATAACCGGGCCTCTCAGTGTCGGTCAATAGCACCAGGCAGAACCAGGCAACTTTCGTGCCATGCGATTCTAGCTGACGAGTTCCTAACCGAGAACGGCCGGGTCGAGAGAGGGTGTATTTGCCGGGTTGGGCCCATACTTTGGTGAGGTAGGTGCTCGGTAGGTATTTGGTAGGCAGACGGATACAGCACCTCGATACGGTTATTTTCGGCCCGGCCTCTCTCGCATGCCGATGCTAATACCGTTTGCGACAAGGTTACAGACTATCTATGTGCTGATCATCGTCAATCAATGGTGATATTTGAGTGCCTACGTGCCTCCCTCGCCTCCTTACTCACTTGATTAGGAGGTCAGAGTAGGTGGTGTAACCACGCAAATTGGCAGTTGGGTTGATCGGCCGATAGCCGTTCGCCGAGGCGAAGAACTATGTAACCCTACGGTGCCACGGTCAGTCCATCTCGAGCGATTCCCGGCACTAAACGACATACTCCAGATGGCAAGCGTCCGAGGCTATGTAGGTACTTGGCCCGTACCGATTGTACGATGTACACTACATCACATTGTTCTGGGTACTGACTGGTATGGGGACTTAACGAGAAGAGAGAAGGCAGGCGACTCGGCTTCTGTGCATACGTGTACAACATGACTGGGCGTGGGAGCTGGTCCTGGTTTCTTCTCCTGGTCCCCGCAGGATGCTCACCTCGTGTCAGACAGGGATGCGGCGCCCTGGCGAGCTGGTTCGGTCGGCAGTCCAGTCCAAAAACAGCACCGCTCGATCCTACTGTAAGTAGGCGGGCAGGCGGTGCGGTGCGAGAGACCTGGACAGCCGGTGATCCTGTAGGACGATAGGTACTGTAGACGACGAATATGTGCACGCTATCACATTATAATACTATAATAATGCCTATACTAATGTGGCGGGTGGTGCATATTGTGAGCTGAGTCTTGACTGCTCTGTCACGACTCAAGGCGTACCTACACTATTGGAACGCATCGCCTCTCTATCACGCTACCTAGGTAGTTACACGTTTTATGTTTGCTTGGTATCAGCACCTACTCACTCGGTAATACGTCCAGTGCCTGGAAGACGGCCCCTTTTCTCCAACGGTATTCTGATTTGACCTCACCTGCGGGAGCTCTACCGACGCAATTTCGTCGTGCAGCTGGCGTTCCAGACTCAATGCTTGGTAGATCAAGTAGCCAGGCTTATGCCAGGCTCGACATCCTCATTCTCCCTTGTAGGATCGAGAAAGCCCCGCAGCTGAAACTCTGCCCTGCAGAGTCGAGACGGTCTGTTTGCTGGATTGAGCAGAGTCACCTGGTCTTACTCAGGCACCGTATCGAGGTGGCAGTAAGCAATACGGGCGACGGCTCGCATCGCCTCGAGCCTCGCAGCTGTGGCAGCGTGGGTAAGTAAATAACGGTAACACACCTAGGTACCCTTTCTTCACCGTTAAGACGATGTCACGGCATAGCAGAGCAGGACTAGGTAGGTATCAGTAAGACTGCGGTGCTGGATCAGCACATGTGTAGCGCAACTGAGTATGATATGTATCGTGTGTTGTCCCAACTGGAGACCTAACCGCTCCCCATATTATACCAAGTATGATACACCGCTTCACATCTTCACTATTGCTGCGAGAATGAGCATCAGCTGCGCAAGACACGTCTGGCTCGTAGCTACACTAGCATCGCTCTATAGGCTACCTAGTATTGCCCTCTTTCGGGGAGCGAGACACGACGACGAACAGGTTATCCTATCCGAGACATTGTCAGTTGGCTGTTCTGTGGCCGGTTACCGTAGTGTGAAGACTGCTCATCACACATCGCGCGCGCCAACGAGCCTAGCAGGGAGGATTGAGATTCGACAAGATGATTTTCACGAACTCTTGGCAACAGCGTAATGCACACACTACCTGGGGGGTCCGCCAACCTTAAGTCATCGTCTTGCATGGAATACCTACCTACATCTTACAGTTAGGTGCCATGACCAGTCTCGCCAGTCTACTATGTAGGCATATCGTGGGTTAGGTTCGATTCCTTCCAGCGCTACATGGTTATTCGCTTTTGGCTCATCTCTTATTTCCTACACTGCCGCACCAGAGAGGCAAGGGCACGGGCCGGCCAACCATAGTATGTACAGTCACGTTCGGCAATCTCATAACCGCTTTTGCAAATATCTTCCAAGTCGTATCGTCATCAACGAAGCAAGTGAGCAAAAGCACTTAGAGCCAGGGGCCCAAGCAGAGGGATCAGCCGCTTGCCTGTCAGCCTCCTAGCGCAGGTAGTTGGACCTTCCCGAAATCACCAAGCTCCGGTTGCAGGCCTTGATGGACTGAGGCCGCAGGGTTGAGGCTTGTCTGCTTATGATTCTCTCCAAGGATCCGACCTGTTCTTCCAATCTTATCATCGTACATATATTAGCCCACTTGTCGCGTGGCCTCGTTGCTTTCTTAGAGTACTTATGCCTTAGTGTGGTATTGTGTATTGTGTATTGTGTATATGTGTATACTTAGGTAATAAGTTTATTTATGATGTAAGTTTCTCCGAGATTAGTCTATATCGTATACCTATAGTAGAACATGGGCGGAACGATTTCGCGGGGATCGTCAGTGTCACCGGCCCGTGCCCATTCCTGGGCAAGCGGTTAATCACCAATCCTTAGTAACTTTGCCCGTTTGACTCCCAATAATCCCCAGGCACCCCCCAATGACTTATCTCGGGCACTGCCGCCCAAGTGAGGTGGTCAACGCAAGGGATGCCTGGACTACAATATGCGTAATAGAGTAGGTAGCGTAGGCGTTTCCATTATCTTCCTGAGTTCATATGGGTGAAGCCTGCTGCATGTTTCACCATACACACATCTACAGGCTCGGCTGTCGAGCATTGCGATTTACGGTTAGAAGCGTCGTGAACCTGGGGTCGGTTTCTTCCGGCTTTACAATCCTCAGAACTGGCTTGGCCGCCCTTGTTACCTGCAAGTATTCTACGTGAGACGCACCCTCTCGCTTGCAGCCTCGTCAAGACACTATACAGGATAAATCACACGACGTGGCCATTGAGAAGTGTATAATATCTTCATTTTCACCGTTTTCTGCATGTCCAATGCGGCATACACGGAGGCGTCATGTGTAGTGTAACGCACATGTACATGTACATTAATCTAACCGTTTATTTATATCTTGAGTTTACATACATACTACTTACTACTTAGATACCTATGGTAGAACAGAACGGAATAGCCCCGGGCGCATCGGCCCCAGTCGATCCGAAAGTCAGGCTTGGTGCTTTTATTACACTACTATTCTTAGAAATCGAATCGAAGATACAATTTGTAGGTATATAATGTGGTGTGCGACATAAATTGAACTACGTAGTAAGTGTGAACAACTTCAAGTTGTGAGATGCTTATTAGATCAAGGCAGTTGTCTTTATTTTAAAATACTTACATGCCTAGTATAAATGGCAGATCTAATACAGGCATCTTTGGAGCTGTGAGGTATCTGACGCACCTTTGTCCTGTGTACCAGGGGCAGAAGAAGCAATACCGACTAGCATTCTTTCAACCCTATCAATACACTACTACATCCCAGTATCATCCAGGCCTCAGGCTCAGGACTCAAGGAGGCAGGGGGCTCCCTGCCTTTACACGATTCCCCTGAACTCTCGCGTCAAAGAACGTGGGACATTCCGTCTGTCGCTTATTGAGGGAATAATTGCAAAGTAGGTAAGGATACGTCTGTGCCGAGAAGTTCAGCTCTTGTTACCGATCCTCCGCCGAATGATGTGGCTTGGTGCGACGGTATATGAAGGGCCCACCGTCACGGTAACCTGGAGAGTAGCTAGGGTTGTTATGTGTGACCAGAAGTGTGATAGCGGCTGGCTGGTGGTCGTTGATTACCCAGAGCAGAGCCAGAGGGGCGGCGGCCAGTGTCCTGTCTCACTCTGCGGGCCTTTGCCCAGATAGAATAATGGCCTTTTTTTGCGAAGCCCCCAGCAGTGCACTAAATCACGGTATTGTCCACGTGTTGGGACTCGTGAGCAGCCATCAGCATCCTTCTTCGTGTGTATTGTAAGACTTGGAGAGCCATTGGACCCTCTAGGCTACGCCGCACGCAGGTGTGCAATGCATTGGTCCCTTAGTAGCGCACCTAGTCTCCCAAGTTTATCATCCGTATCCCTTCTTTTCTCCCTCCTCGCCATCAGTTGCGTGATCACGGACACCGGGAGTCCATCAGCCAACTACATTGCCCGCTCGTGACGGCACCGTCTGCTCGAGCCAAGCCCAATAGACAGTCATTGATTATCAGGATCCCACGTTCCAGATGCCCGTCGACAATTGTTGGATGTGACGTCTAAGTAGAAAAACAGGTTTGATGATCCCATCCTATCCCGGGGCCCGCCCAATATATCTTTTCACTTCGGATTCGGCAAGGCACGCGTTGCATAGGCTATTCAAGCTCTTTTGTCCAGATGAGAAGGGGTTTTTTTCTAAGGCGAAAGAATAAACAAACACCCTTGCCTCACGTCTACAGTTCCAATATTGGATAATCACAGTGTCATCACATAACATAGTATAATCCTCTGTTTGCTCATAATGGGACGTCTCTGTATATCCATGCATGCCAACGGGAGTCAAGGAGTAAGGATCAGTCATATCTCCCACTCACTTGGCTGGTGTTGGTGCTTCATTACCATTTCCACGGCTTCGTGTGCGCACTCAGACTCTCCCTGGAGTCTAGGGCCAGGTGAGCGGGTATATGGGACTACCGGTAGCACTTCACACTACGGCTGACAACTACCGGAATACACAGTAAACATGCCTCGACTAAACTTTCCCAGCCTCAACCTCAACTTCATGCTTGCGGGATTCACAGCTACCTATACCCAGCACGCTAGAGGAGCAATACAACAGCGCTTGGATCCCAAAGGCTCATTAACTGCCAGGTGGCTGTCCGTGCCCTAGCCAAAATTGCATCAGCTATGCAGCCTAATGTAGGAGCGCCTACTGAGTAGGCAAGCCGTCACGCTGCTAGCGAGGGAAGAATCCTGGTGTCAAAGGATCCCAGTGTATGGCCTCCCGGCATATTGCCCTGCAAGTCATGTTGGGATGATTATTGGCCGATAAAAGCACCTAATGATCATACCCAGATGGTTACTGTTCCCTCGGAGGGAATGACACACAAGACTGGATTAGTGTATATGAGCGAGTTCTCTTTCATTGAACTTAGTGTCGCGGGTCCTAATACTAAGGCCATCGTGACCATGTAGGCGTATATGGAACGGAGTCTGCAGAGAAATGGACTGGAAAAAGTATATCACTTAAAGCATTTTGTTCGCAAGGTGTTTAGATAGAATCTGGCTCTGGTACATAGATTTCTTAGTGCCTTCCCTGACGCGAACAAGTATATCCGTCTCGAGTCGGGTCGCCTCCATCGAAGCCCTGAACCTAGACATTTGGCATACCGGTATATGGGTGAGTATGTGTATATAGAAAAACAACCTGCATTGTGACTTGCCAGGAACGTATCATGTGTACTAAGACAGATTCTTTGACTAACTAGTCTGACAGGTAACCTCTCGCTCACCTCAATCCGCGTATTCTACACGCAATACGGCCAGATAAGAGATCATATGCGGCGACATAATCGTTTGTAGGTATCTCTTAGGAGCCAAATCTAATAATAAGTATCGGCGAGAGCCGGAATTCGCCTATTGTATGTATATATGCATGTATGCTTTCAACAGACACGACACTAAAAGAATATGCCACTAGGGTGGACTTTCAAGTTCCCATCACTTGATTACTTGTATGAAGGGCTAGTCATTTCAGTCTCACATAGACCGGCTTACGTACGACTGAGGACCAAAGATATAAGGAAGGACAGAAAGAAAATAACCAACCCAAAAGGTGTGTTGTACATACTGTATCTCGAGCTCCAAGAGATTCTGACATGCCCGAGGTCGCAGTGCTACAGGATAACCAGGCCTGCGCTTCGTTGTCGTCTAGCAAAGCTTGGTCAGCGTCCTATATCCGCCTGTAACTATCTGGGCTTTCAATGCCATGATTGTCTAGGTGTTGCTACTCATTGCTTTTTGGATGATACGGACAGAGCAGCCTTAGCGTATAAAGTCATTATGAACGTAGAACAAAAGTATAATGAATTTTCTATGCCTTAAGAAACCTTTAGTAGTAGTAAATTTCGATTACAGTTTGTCAACGGCGACGACAACAACGAAAGGGTATCGTATTGGCTGCTCTCAGACGTGAAGGCAGACAAGTCTGTTTTGGCTAGAAATCTCACAAAACGCCCGTTATCCCATGCATATATCTGTTGACTGATTCCCGCAATTCGAAGCCCACATATAAAAACCATTATTATAATACAGAACGTCTCAACTTCCATCATACTAATGAACTGGCGATGCGGTTGTGATGAAAATCTTACTCCTATCAAGAGACTAATCCCCGCTCGTCCTCAGGGCTTGGTTGGCAAACAGAGTGGCATCATGCCACGCCTTTTGCGCATCTTCCATTGCACCTTGGACTTCGTAACTTTGTGAAAGCATACCATCTGCCACGCTCATCCATAGCGTATTGCCGCTTCTTCTAGCCTGAGTCGATGCTGCTTTTGCGCTTTTCAGTGCCTGGTCTCCGACGATGCTCTGGAAGAGTTTGGCTCGCATCAGATTAAGGGCAATGGACAGTGTATGAACATCAGCCAGATTCTTAGCATTACTCAATGCTGTTGAAATATGCGTCTTCACGGCAGTCATAGGCACCGGGGGGTTCGTCTGAATGGCTGCCATGACAAGGTTATACGCTGTACGGATTTCCATGTTAGAATGATCTATACAAAGCGGACGTAATTGTTCAAGCAGTTCTTGTGTGCGTTGGTCATTCCGATAATGTGGATTCTGCATGATCCATATGAGGTTGAAGGTGGCTAACAAGGCCACTTCAAGTTCAGCCGGCCTGTGGTGAGCCCCCCGCGTCTCATCAACATTGAGACCAAAGTTTGGGTGATTGTAGATATTGATCGCAGCATCCAGATTTCCGGTTCCCTGGTGAAAGACGCCAGCAAGATACATGGAATAAAGTGCCACCGTGCTCCCGGACGTGGCTACTACCATGGCCTCTAACTGCGATACACAATACCTCACCTCATCCCACTTCGTCGACGTAGCGAGGTGCAGGCCCCGTAGAATATGTAGGTAACACGTAGCCTCGGTTTCCCAGCCTACGTGCTGGACTGCATCTTCCAGGCAATGGGCAAATCCTCTTATTTTGGCCCGATCTAGTAGAGTGTTAGGTCAAATATCCAAGGTATTCAGGTCAAAATAAAACCACATACTCTTTCGTAGTTGGCTCAAGGCTTCCTCCCATAGAGAAAACAGCTTTTTGTCACTGCGGGGTTGCTGGTACAGGAGAGCAAGACCGCTGTATGTGTATCTGAATCCCGCATCAGTAACAATGTCATTACAAGAGATACTTCTCGCCCTTACGTAGTTGTAAAGGCTTCTAGCTTGCTCCAAAATGACATAACAAGATAGTCATAGCCATCACCATCATCGCCCGGACGTATTATGTTAGAAGTATCGTGGCTGACGATTTGTTGATTGGCGGCCTGCTTGTGGATTGGAAGCAGTAGCTGCCTGTCTTGAAAACCCCAATTAGTATTCTTAATGGAAGCATCCATCTTATCCTGTAGAGCCTTTAACTTTTGTAAGATCATGTGGGGTGACTTTTGTTGTAGACTGCAGGCAAGGTCTAAGACCAGCTGCAGCACGTCTAATTGCATGATAGACATGAAGTTCTCTAATTGGTACTTAGAGGCCTGCGCAATACAAGCCTGTATACGCACAATAGCGTCATCCTTCATCGCTCTCAGATGACTCAATGCCTCGAGCAAGGAGGCGACGGCGAAAATGGGACGGTCACCCCTCTGACTAGCTAAAATCATGATGGCTCTAAGGTTTTCCAAGGCATGGGCTTCAGTAGGGTTGAGAGATTGTAAGTAAAATGACGTCTTCAAGAAACGAAAGGCGTACACCCAGTGCGCATGTTTTAGCCTATCGGTGGTATCAGATGTTGTCACGTATGCGTGGTGTGTAAGATAATGAATTTACTCACACTTCAGCGTCCCGAATCCGGGCATCTACAGCAATCAGGGCTGCCTTCTCCTTGCGCTGGGAGAAGAGTAGTTGGACTTGCAGAAAATGCATGCAGTACTTCAAATCGGCAAATAAGTTCTATTTGTGTGTGCCCTGTAAGCCTGTGTGCGGTGTAACAAGACTGTGGCTGGAAATACATACTCTCTCACAAAGAGTGATGCCTTTCGTCAAGGCGGTTTCGGCCTCCATGACATTGTTTGTCTCGGTGCACAGAACACTGGCATATTGAAGTCGGGCCAGGGCTTCCAAGCGTGGGCCCAACTTGTTGCTTCCAATGGCTACTTCGAGACAAGCGAGGCCTGTCGCCACGAGCTTTTGATAGTCATTCACATTCCGGTCATCCAGCGCCACTGCAACATCTCGAACACCTCTTCGAGCTTTGGTAAAGAACTCTTCGGCTAAGCAGATCAAGAGTGACGCCGTGTCCTGGTGATGTGGGATGAGGGCGGGAGCTAGGGCAGGCGATCTTGTGGAGCTCACGCTTGGGCTTCTTGTGACGGACTGAGAAGTCAGTCGTGGGCTCGCAGATACCCTAGAGACCTGATCAACGCGGCTGCCTACCCCAGACGCCCTGTGTTGGTTATTTGATGCAGCATGGGGCGGCAGGTGAGGCGAATGAGGTATGGCAGGCGAGTTGGCATGCTGTTGACGTTGGACCTGTGGTGAATGGCCCACCACGGGCGAGCTGATGTGTGATAGAATGTGGGGTTGATGCTGAGGCGTGGGCGTAGGCGAGGGTTGGGCGATTTGAGGTGTTGAAGGCGAGGGTGAGGCAACAGACCCCGGGGGGGGCATATGTTGCCAATCCATCCGTTGCTGTTGCAACTGTTGTAGCTGTGGTTGCTGCGCATAGTGATTTGCAGATTGCTGGATGGGTTGGATCATTGCAGCAGACGGGTGCATGCCGTTCTGGGGTAAGGACTGTGTATAAGGCCGCTGGTCAAGGGAAGCATCGTAGCTGTGGAACTGGTAGTTCGCATGTTGCTGCTGTTGCGGTGGCAACGATGTTGGCAAGTGTTGGTGTTGCCGATGGGGTTGGGTTTGGGATTGAGGAGGAAGCGGTAGCGGCGGGCTTGAATTTGGATGTGACAGTTGCGGAAGCGGAACTCCATGATGCGGTGATGCTAACGGGACTGGGCTCGAGTGGAGGGGTCGAGGCTGCTGTGAAGTCGGATGCATAGTCGGCGTAAAGACTACGCCCACGCCATTCTGGTAATGCGGTTGCTGCTGCTGTTGTTGTTGTTGTTGTTGTTGCTGTTGCTGTTGGTGTAGGCCATTCGTATGTGCGTGTGGCTGCGGGATGGGCCAGGCGTTATGAGAGTCGGCGCCATACTGCGGATGAGGGTGCGGATGAGGTTGGCGATGATTCTGCTGGTTGAACCCCAGCTGTTGACCATGGGGTAGGGGGCCGGGATAGGTCATAATTCCGTTTCCACGACTGCGCAAGCCATCTATACTATACAATACTACATACCATGCCCGACCGAGCGAGTTGCGCGAGTGCCCTTCAAAGGTCCACCGCGGGTGATGTCGTGGGCTCACGCAAGCGCATACGTCGTGTAGAGTTGCGTCGTCGCTTCACCTGTGTCCGAACCAATTGGTCCAGTCAGACGTCGCCAGCCAGGTCACTTGGTCGTGCAGAGTGCAGAGTCGTGCCTCTGAGAGTCGTGGGAGGTCGCCTTGGGGGTGGGTCGAGGCACGCCGCGCTCCGCCGCAACAGAGGGACCACCACCCACCCACTAGGTACTTGGTCCCCCAGGATCTGCCAGGAGTCATGTGATTACCTAATCACGCCGACCCGACCGACCGACCGACCGATCAACCGACTGACTTGCATCCTCGATAAGCAAGCATGCCCGACAAATGCTTGGACTTCCCAGGGTACTCAAGCATTTATCCGCCGCCAACTCCACGCTCTCTGGCCCGGTCTGGCGCCGGTTCTGGTTAGTTTCATGGCGATTATGGCATCGTCATGTATATTTGCATGCATGTCAGAGATGACCGCCGCGGCCCGCATAGATAGCCAATGCGGCCGAGGCACAAAAGGCAGGTAGCCCAGTGGGGCCGCCGATAACTGCACACGCAGCCCCCGGCCATGTTCCACCGACCGAGGCAGGAGATGTCGTCTTCGACTGGGCATCCCAGACTGAATCTCGAGCCTTTTCGACACGGCGCCGAGCGTGTTTGCTTATATTTCGTAATAGACATCGTGTTTCCTTTCATCTACACAGAACAGTAGACTTCCCTTCCCACCGCAAAACACCTAGCTGTTCAAGATGGAGTGGTTCGGGCGCGCTAGGATCCAGTTCACGACAGCTCCAAAGTCATTGGCGCTGAAGGACAACGAAGGAAACACGACGAGTCTGCTTCAGGTGTGCCGGGACACGGTTCCGCGATGCCAGCTGAACCCGCTGCTCTTCAACGGGCACCTGCAGACGGTATGGACCGCGACGGCTGAACACGGTCCGCACGTGCACTACAAACGGCGCATCTTTGAAGCCGACCATGTCCAGTTCAAGGGCACCTTCGCCGTTGACTTCGTGACGGCCCCCTCCGGCGACTCCGATGAGTCCCTACCGCCTCGGACCACCTACTTCAGCAAAGAGGAGCTCGCCAACATGGGGTCGGACGACTCTCGCCCTATGCTTGTCATCCTGCATGGTCTCACGGGGGGCTCGCATGAGGTTTATCTGAGATATGCCATCAAATCACTCATCGATGAGGGGAAATGGGAAATGTGCGTCGTTAACTCGCGGGGCTGTGCCAAAAGCAAGATTACGACAGGGCTGTTTTACAACGCCCGTGCAACTTGGGATACGAGAACGGTTTGCCACAGACTTCTTCGCTTGTTCTAACCCTCAGCTCATGTCATGAATAGGTCGTGAAATGGCTGCGAAAGATGTATCCTAATCGTCCCCTATTTGGCCTCGGTTTCTCCCTGGGGGCCAACATTATAACAAACGTGAGTAATTTGTCTCATCCTTGAGCATCTGAACTATACTCTAAATTGTCTAGTATATCGCCGAAGAAGGTGTGAATTGCCTGTTCAAAGCAGCGGTCGTCATTTCCAGCCCCTGGAATCTGGAGATAGGCAACAAAGCTCTCAAAAGCACATGGATTGGACACGAGATATACCTCAAGACCCTCGGAAGTAGGTAGCCATCTGTTATTGCTAAATTTCTGTCAATCCCGGACCCTACCAGAAGGCGTTGCATCCTGACACTATGTCTAGCCTCCCTCAGAACGCTAGTGGAAAACAATAAGGAGGAGATTCAGAAGTACACCGATCTAGATCTGTCGGTGCTCGCCAACGTCAACTACCTTTATGAGTTTGATAGGGCCTACCAATGTCCGGCGTGGGGATATCCGACCGAAGATGCTTACTACCGTGACGCGTCAAGCGTCGACTCGCTGCTGGCAGTGCGCATTCCTCTGCTAGCACTCAACGCTTCCGACGACCCTATAGCCGTTAATATTGGACTCCCATACAACGAGGCCACGAAGAACCCATACACGGTTCTTTGCACCACGTCCCTGGGTGGACATCTCGGCTGGTTTGAGCTTTTCGGTGGAAGATGGCATGGGAAACCCGTAAGTCTAGTTTAGCATCCCTAACGTATATCGTAGTTACTAATGCGCTTTTCAAAAAATAAATAGGTGTATAACTTCCTTAATCATATGGCATTTGAGATCGACCATAGCAGTATAGACACGAGGGCGAGTGACGTCGCGTACAGCACTTCGGTAAGCACGAGTGAATATAGCCCCCTTCGGCGAAAATTAAATGTCAATCTGCAAGCATGAAAGTCGGAGCGGTTTCAGCGCAGACAGGAAAGCATAAGAGCCATATAGTGGGCAGGGGTATAAACTATAGATTTCTGCGTCGTGTTTTCAGATTCAACCCAACGAGATATGCAACATCGATCTCGTCAGATCAACGACTTGCTATCCCGCACTATTGCCGCTTAGACTTAGCTTTATCCGCCAATTAATGAATTCCTCTGTGAGAATACTACCGTGCCCAACTTCTTCTACCTTGAACACCTCAATAGTTGACGAGCCCGCCCGCCTTCTGATCCTCCAAACTCCTTCGTCATTGATTGCGCCTCTTAGCCCTATTCTGCAAGTTAGCCATGCAACGTCGATGGCTATAGACGCTTAAGATTTGGCCGATTGTACATACAACTAAGAAAGGCACTGGCAAAATTGATACACATATTGGCATCCCAGCTACGTACGCCGCGTTTGGCAGCTGTCGCTGGGATCGTGGCTGTCTGGATCTCTTCGAGCTTGGTAAGGATGCCATCCTGGGAGCGGAAGCCAACAATAATTTTAGGCACCCCCAGAAGGAAGGACTGGATCCAAAACTTCATGAGTTTACGGTCGAAATTAGTCATGCCTCTGTTATCGCGGATTTCCGCACTTGTCTTGAGCTCTATCCAGTTGATGGGCGCTCCTTTCTGACTAGGCTTAGAGTCCCAGACTTAACACGCCGCGCAGTCAGCCTTTCTACGTCACGATACCAGTAAGAGCATCACGGATTCAAAGGACCTACGAGCATCGACTTCTCCACCCAAGCATAGTACCGTTTCCCCTATGCCTGTCCTAACTACCGAACAGTATTGGGCCTTGTTGCTGACGATATTTTCATCGCGCTTTTCGATGAATTCGCGGCTTACTTCGCCCCAGGGTCGTGGTAGGCAAGAAAGTGTCTCGAATTTGTAGCCTACAGCTTTAATAAGCTTCACAACGCAAGAGTATGGATGGGCTCTAATGGTTTTACCCCAGTATGTCATGACTTCGGGCGGGAATTGTTGACCTCGTCGGCCATTCTGTTGTCTGGTCTGTTGCTCCTTGGAGAATTGTTTGAATTCATGGTTGTCCTCGATGAAACTGTTTCGCGGTCAGCTCATCCCGATTTGGGCCATGTGCCAGCGGCAGTCATACACGCAATTCTTTAGCTTGATTGGCAAAATAATCCCTAGTATTCTTTAGTAGATACACGCACCTGATAGAGCGTAGCATTCATTTCGAAGCTAGAATGATAAAAATAAGGTCAGACTTCTCCCTCCCTCGGTACATACATTGTTTCCAACATACCCTTCCCGATCCTCGAAAGGCGCTGACATTATCTAAATGCCACTATTAGAGTGCTGTCTTTGATGTGAATGTGGTTTGAAGAACAGGTACTTAGTAGGTTAACTCACCTTGGTCATCATACCGCGCCACGTGACAATGTTGACATCAATCTTCTTTCCCTCCTCTTTTTCATGCGCAGCAATGGTCTCTAACAAGCTGTCGAGATGTTCATCCATCGAATCATCATGCTTATCGAACTTTTCAAACCCCTTAGATAAATCTGCTCCCAATCTAGGAGGATAGTACCATTGCAAGGATGAGTCGCCGAGATGAAAGTTGTGTTTCTCATCGTAGGAAAAGCATGCGATTTCCTCAACAAGCGTTAGCTAAGGTTTGCATGGCTACTCGATATCTTGTCGACACGACAGTACCTTGGGCCGTTTTACCGGCTCGCTCTGCCCTCGAAACCGCCCAATAGGCTGAATGTCGAAAGTAGATGCCGACATTTTAATGCTCAGCCTGTGGCCAGATGATCTCACGCAAGTTGGAGGAAGAAAGCCTAAAGAATTAAAGAGACGTCGCATAAAGTAGAAGCTGGCTTCAGTGATGTTGATGATGATACCTGGGTACCAGCCGGGCTATTATGTACATTAGGTAGGTACTACCTAGGTACATAGGTACATAGGTACGGAGGAGGTAAGGATGTAGATTTCAGTTGCGCACGCGAAGCACCTTGTAGCTAAGATACCGAACCCATAGTAGGCAGAGACCCACTGAACCTTAGCAGTGTCAATAGGTAAATGTACCTAGATACCTAGATAGAGCCACACAACAGACTCTATTTAAATGTTACTAAGTACTGCCATTTTCATATCCGCTTTTTTTTTTTTATTAATATGGCAACGAGAAGGATGATCTAGGAAAAGAACAAAAGGTAAAGTAGAAACTCTATTTGTATTAGCACCCAGATGTATCATGTGAACTCAGATCAGATCACCCTTTTGCGGGTTATAATGAATAATAGCAATCCCACAGTACTAACGCTCGTTTGACGCAGTGGTAGCGTGCCGTTCTTATACTTCTTCGAAAGCGAAGTCTGTATGACAGAAATGCGGAAGCCGTGAGTTCGACCCTCACAACGAGCAAAACATTAGATCAATCATTTTGGTTTTTGATCCCATCATCATATGGACGATAATATATCCCCTATCATCTTCCCACTTTATTTTTGATGGATATTTCTTCTCCCTAAATACCTTCGTTGCGCTATCTAACTTGGAGCAGGGAAAATGCAAATGGAAAACTATCTGGTATTAATCACTCGCTTACGCGCACAGAAGATTTGAACAACACATAGATGATAGAGCTATTGAGCGTGGATAGATATGTAGCCGGCAAGACATTGTGAGTTGGCGACCAACCCACAAACACCAAGCATTGACGCTGGTCGTAAGGCTGCAGTATGTACACCAGCTAGCCCATGAACGATCCAACGGAGGGAGGTAGAGTTAGGATAAAATACGAAGGAGAATTGTGAGAGAACAATGTAAAGTACATCCGTAGCTCCTCCACTGGGAATACAAGCACTGTCTGAGCAAATTGATTCCTAACACAATCTCATAGAGGTTGATGATTCTAAGCGGTTCGTAGCACCAAAGGGGATGGTGGTACTCTTCCCCTTCCCTCGAGGAAGGCTAGACGCGCCGGTCCGACCACGTAAACACTGGAAATTCATATACGACTAGAAACTCCCATTCCCACCTCATAGAGCCAGATTGTAGCTATATTCATCCTCCATATTCTGGCTAACCCATAGGACAACAGAGGAGAGACCGACGAGGCCGTTGGCGACAATATTCTCGACGCCCATGCCCATCATAGGCCAGGCAACCTGGTGCACGGCGAACTTAAGGACGAAGACGACGACACCACCCGCCATGCCGCCAGCGAGCGCCGCAAAGCCGAGGAACAGCACCACGCGGGCCTTCCACGCAACACCCGAGCCCGAGTAGCTAAATGAGTCGGCCGACAGCCGCGCCTTCTCGACCGAGTTGATGATGAGCATGCCCAACGAACTGAAGATGAAGGGGAGCCAGTCGATGAATGTCACGTGTACGTCTGACATGTTGAGTGGTGAGTGCGACCACACCGCCGCGTCGATAAGCACGTAGAAGGCGAGGGAGAACTGGTTCATACGCGAAGACGGCGCAGCGCATTAGCGATTGATTGTTTAATTTGCGGGTCGGCACTCGGGAAGGGAGATGGGGGAAGAAAATGAGGATCGCATGGGGTGTTGGACCGGTTTGATCGCGAAGGAAAACTCACCAGAGCCCCAGCTCCATAGACGCCAGCGTTGCGCGCCCAAACACTATTGAGCCATGCTGGCTTGCCAAATTTCCAGAGGCGATCCTCCTCCATGGTGTCCGAGACTGGTTTCGGGATGGGGAGTCGACAGGCAGCAAACTGAAATGGAGATACCCGCGAGATAAAGGTAATAAGTGTCGCTTTGAAGTTATTTGAAACCTCGAGAATGGAAGACAACGAAGGGTGAGATACCAGCTTGATGGACGAAGTAGATAGGACGATGAGGTTGATGATTAGCTAGCTGGATGTTCGAAGCTTAAGCTGGCCGGAGCTTGAGGCTCATGACGCTTTAGCCTTGGCAGCTTGTCAAGACACTAAAACATATATCGCGTCACGTGACGTAATACTTGCTCATCCGATTCTCTACACTACCCTCAATCATACATGCGCACGTACTAGGTAAGCTATCTGGAAGCTATTGGAGGAGTACTATAACGAATTATACGATTTGTTCAAGCAAAAGGGGACATTTACTAAATGTTATGCCATCATTATTTTTTAAAACTGATTCAATCCAATTACACGTTGCATTATTGCACTCTCAGTAATGTACATGCAGCTGTACCGACCTCGATATCAACCGACTGTATAGATATTGCTACCTCCGACGCCTACCAATGTGAGCCCTGGTGACGATTGGGAGCTATGCGTGAGATCTATGACCCGCCCATGACCGCGAGCACGAGATGGGAAGAAAAGGGAAGAACAAGCCAATAACCTCAGTCCTTTGCGCAGCTGATCAATTAAGCGCTGCTCTGGATATATTGAGCGCGTCGACAGGATACGCCTGAGCGCGAAATTAATGAAAATATGCTGGTAACAAGGCGGGCGTAATTCATGTCAAGATGTAGCAAGACAGGTCCCGGCACAGCCATAAGGATTCACCAGGGCCTCTGGGACATGCTGGCTGCATTACACTCAAACTCGTTTTCATGTGACGTTCCGTATGGCAAGCCAAGTCCAAACCCGTCCACAACCCGATGTGCGTATATATCTGGAAACAGGTCGAATATGAGAAGCCCTAGAGTACCGGTGGTGTGATAGCAGAAGAGACGAATAAAAACTTTAAAGGGCCATTGTAAAGAATGCTAATAAGCGTTTGTTAAACCCGACACCCTGAACGCCGCCCTTTTACACTTTATGATGAATATGGTCGTGGGAACATGGGCTATCATTGCGTTTCATCATCAAACACTCATCATATCTCTATAGTCTTCATCCCTCCTTCAATGTCGTCGGTGTGGCCATTTACTAGATCCGCTTCTCTTTTTGTCGACGAGATATCCTTGCCTTTAGGCTCGAGTCCGGCATCTTCATTGGAACCTGATGTAGTATTATCTTCTAAAGCTCTAGATGTTTCGACTTCAACGAGCTTGTCTTCTCTGATGCCATTGATTTTTGGCTCGGCTTGACCTGATTCTTCTGCAACTCGTGCAAGCGCGGTCGATTTTCCGAAACCAACTCGAGCAGGACTTACTAACGGCGATGGACTGCTGAGACGTTGCAACGTTCTTCCACGGACGTCCCCATGAGCATCCACAGGACTGGAGTAAGGGGAGCCACCAGGGGACGCAGCGTTGCTAGGTACGCCCGACTTGCGCTTTGCCATAGTTTTCGCGGTACGCCCATGCTTTTGATCCATCCGCCAACGCAGTATGTCAAAGTACGAGGGCTCAACACGTGTAGTTTTAAACTCTCGCAACTTTAGTTCGTTCGTATCTTCATCGACAAACCATTTGCCACTGCTCAAGTCGTCTGCGAGGATCGCGAGGAACGCGCCCCACGACTTGGCAACGACATACTTAGTATCATAATCTCTTCCAAATAAGATAATCTGCCCCCATACACCTGAGGGACCGGGTGCCAGGTCCACGGCAAGATTGTTGCCACCCCAATCTCGCACAAGCGGAATCCAAGCTGAGTGTGCATAAGCTCGCTGAATGGCCCCACCAGGGACCGAGTCTTGTCGGGCTTGAAGATCTTGCCGCCATGAACCTTTGTGGGAGCCTGGAGACCCTGGTGCGGATCGAGAAGAAGATGCTTCCCCGGCACCACCAAAAGCCTTGGAGGGAATCGTAGGACTTGTCACTGTATTTTCAAGGAGATACTGTTGATTGACTCTCCTCCACTGATCCCACTCTTGCACTATTTCTTCGCAATCGAGGAGCATGCCTGAAAAGACAATCCCCGTGGGATTACCACCGCGCTCCTGGCCGTCGTGGACCATGAGAGAATCCCTCAAGTCCTGGGGGAGCGAACAGTCGAGCTGGTGCTCCAGCTCAATTAAGTCATTATTTGTGCAGCCCTCGCAAAGCTGGTCGAATAATTCAGGATAGTTCTCTTCGGCCCATCTATCAATACGCTTCCATGAGTGGCCCACAGGCGGCGCTGGTGGTGCACCATCGGCAAACGATTGCATCTGAATGTCGCCAGGGCTGCTCACAGTTTCAAACCCATCATCTCTTGAGCTTTGCCTCTGAGCATTCAAAGATCTTAGGCCAGGAGAGTACGGGCCGTTGGACCCGGGTGAGAGTGGAGATACAGAGGGCATGCCAGCACCCATGTACGCAGTACCATCTGCCTGGTTGGATAGCCGACCTAACTCATCGTGATAAGGAGATGTGATATCGGCACGTGAGTCTGAGGCGGTAGCAACAGATGTTAATGTGCTTTGGCGATTGAGAGGCACATGACGGCCAGTCCGGTGCGGGGAATCATAATTCGAGTCTGCAGGCGACTTTTAGTAATTTGACTCTTGTTTCTTGCTCTTTTTCTTCTCCATTCAACATTGATAACCTACGTCGATCATAGCTGGTCATAGTATGCCAGAAAGAGCGGAAGGCCGACCCGAGATTACTACCAGGTTTCTGGTCAGATTTTGTGCAAACTAGTGTTTTAACAGAAACTTACGCCATGTTGTCGTCGTGACTTCCTATTGACCTATTGACCCTGCTGCACAAGGGATAACAGGGATTATATGTATAAAACGGAATCTCGGTCTCCAGAGATGGGTGGCCGTAGTGTAACAGACGAGACAAAATAGGATGCGCAAGTTGCCGATAATGTCAGTAGGAAACGCGAGACGAGTATGCCGGTAGGGATAGGAGCTTCACTGCGCAGGGACAGTGTCAAGCCTGACTACCTGGAAAGGCAAGAACGAATGGCGTGGTTCGTGCTGGGAGGCCCAAATGTAAGAACAGAAAGACAAATGTTGAAGATGGTATTCTCGAACAGAAGATCTCTACCGTTGCTCCTCTCGGTGGGCGGGAAACAGGACAGGGTGTAAACTGATGAGAGACGTATGTATTCCGGTGCTGCTGCTGCCTTTGTTGGTAAGTTGAGTGGGTGCGCAGGCTCACGGGTTGATCGCCATATAATTCGGTCGGAAGACGTGGCCGTCGTCAAACAATGTACGCGAACGCGACCGAGTGGTAGTGGTTGTTTCTCGGTGATTATTGGCGAATTGGCAATGGGCAATTTCTCGTCGGACTTCGATTGCGCTGCAATGACACCCTTTTCTGCCCTTGCTTCTTCAGGAGGCGACTGAACAGGGGTGTGCTGCAGGATGGGCAGGGCAATCAATACCTACTTTCTATTCTCTAGTAGACCGAATGGGCCAGAGACTCGGCAAACAGCAGGGGGGGAAAGTAGCGAACGAGGGAGACGAAGAAAAATAAAAGAAAGAAGAAGGGATAGACAGTGCACAAATAGGGTGCTGGAGGTGGTCTGAAGCCACCTGCTATAATTAAATTACTTCTCGCTGTCGAGACAATGAAAGGTTGGTTAAGGAGAGAGAGGCGGGCAGGAAGAGAGAGAGATCCATGGAAGAAGAATGGGTTCATTGGTACTATGGATTCTTTAAGATTGGTGTCACTTGGTTGGCCATCGGGCCAGTGCACACTACCTCTGCACCTCTGCACCTCCCGACTACAGAGTGCCTACCTAGAATAGCAGAGTACCTGCCCACATATACATACCTACCAACCTAAGGTACCGGTAGCAGAGTACCTAGCAGACACCTAGGTACCTACGTGCAAGGACGTACAAGTACCTAGATGGCCTGCAGCATCAGCCACTCTAAAAGTACTACCGGTAGGTAGGTAGGTAGTAAGTTAATCAATCCTATGATGGCTACCTATTATCTGCGCTCAGCATTTGTTTAGATTGTCAGTGAGATCTTGAACAGTTCGGTACTGCATACGCACAATGAAAAGGGCCAAAGCAGACATTGCCATTCAGTCAGTAGATAACGAACGATTCAGAGCAGGAGACTTGAAGAAGAAGGAAAAAAAAAAAAAAAAAAAAAAAAAGAGAAAAAGAATTGTAGGGCCAAAGTACCGTTAGGGGGTGAGGGACTAGCCTCATGAACCGCCCAATTTCCCCCTGGCATAGACTACAACCTCCTACTGCTAGCATTTGACGGATGCGCCGCTGATAGGCTAAGCCCGATAGGATGCTTATTTGATCTTATTTTGATGAATTTATCCTGGGAGAGTGGACACTTGCCACATATTCCCCTGGCTGGTGGCTTCCAGCGTGAAACGGTCAATAAACACCCTTACTTCGTACAGTAGAAGCAGGCAGGCAAGCAAGCAAGCAAGCAAGCATAAGAACTGATAGTACCTACAGTACCTACATTAGGTAGGAGATACCTATGTACTTACATGCACTTGCGCCTAAGTGCATACCTAAGCATACCTAGCAGTGCCCCCAACTTACTTCCTTCCATTTACCTGCCTACCAACCTTACAATAACTACCTACCTAGGTACACACCGCTACCTACCCAGGTATCCTTTGTGCACTAGGTAGGTAGGTTAGACCATATCAAAAGTAATAGATCCAGGTATACTAGGTAAGTAGCATGTTCAGTAGTATGCTCTGGCAGGATGTACATACTCAAGGTTAGTAGTAGGTAGTACACATTACTTACTTAGCTGTAGCGCATGCAATGTGCCGTACGCTAGCGCGCGCATGCAGCCAACCACATTTCTGGGCCATCGGGTGGCACATGCTTGCTACCTACCTACCTACATAGGTACATACATGTAGTATCTCTCGGCACCTGACCTGCTACCGCTATCCTGTATTTCAAGGTAGGTAGGTACCTATGTACTACAATGCATCTGCGCCATAGCAAGATCCAAAATTGGGTGAATGTGCTTACCCGTTGGGACTCCACTTTCGTCGCCAATCTTCTGACTTCCAGTAGAAGCGTTGGGGTCTTTGACTCGAGATTGACCAGTCGACTCGAGAAAACAAAGGTACTTCCAAATACGTGCAATTACCACCAAAATGGAAGTAGCTCTGCTTAAATCAATTTCGCTTTACATAACGATTAAAAAACTTGAATATAGCTAAGAAATTCAATTAGGCAACCACCTTCTAGCCCACTTACCCCACCCACTTCTACACCTTTAACACCTTCACCTTCAACGCCTTCAACGCCTTGACCTTCAACTTCAACACCTTCAATCTCCAACTTCTACACCTTCTTTTTCAATCGCTAACGTCGCTCAAAGCTGTAAGTATGTTAACAATCGATCTAGAATCATCAAAATCCTCCTGCGCGAATTGGCTACCTTAGCAGTTTTAGCAAGGGTGGTGATATTCTTGGCATTCAAGTAAGAAGTATGAATGTAGCGTGCATGTGTATAAAACAGGAACTACTTCTATTTTGGTGGGGATTGTACCAATTTGGAAGTACCGCCGGATTTTCTCGAGTCGACTGGTCAATCTCGAGTCAAAGACCCCAACGCTTCTACTGGAAGTCAGAAGATTGGCGACGAAAGTGGAGTCCCAACGGGTACCGCTCGCCGGTATACCTTATGCCGGCATTTACAGAGTATGTAAATACTTACCTACCTATGTAGGTAGTCAATGTACTTAATATGCATATGTGTACGTAGTAAATTCCATCTGATTTATGGCGCATATTTTATCTATTATTAACCACCTTCTAGGTTGATAATTCAGCTAATACTGCTACCTATCATCCTAAAGGATGAATTACACGTTACACCATTCTGCCTATGGAGTGAATGTATGAACTCAAGGAAGACTTGATAGATACTACGTACATACTTCGCGTCATTGTTTTCTGCATTGTTGAATATGTTTTATCCATAACTATCTTACAACCATGTTAAGTATCCTCTGTACTTGTCAGCAAGACCCTTGTGCTGCACACATCACCCATGTCGCCGCTCGCATCATGACATTATGAACACCTACGTCAGTGCATCTGTCCCCATTGCTGGATTCCAGTGGCAATGCTAGGCCTATGCGCAGTTGCCGTCATCAATGTGACCTGGGTAGCTATCCTTCCTCGCCTTCCAAAGTAGCAATCGTCCCTTGCCCCACGTACTATATCGCCCCCAGTAGAAGCTGTAAGTATCAGCAATACTTAGCTGATGAGTGAATCTCGACATACGTGGCGATATCACATGTTTTAGGTGCCCCTCTATTCCTCTGCTCCGTTTTGTTGGGGTTCGTCTTTGTGCTGCCGTAGGCGATTCTTGCTGCATCAAAAGTATGCAGGCAGGCAGTATACCGACTATGTAGGTAGTGTAGCATGGAAATTATCTGGCGCCGTTATCTATTTCTCTGCATCTTCTCATTACCGTTGCCCCTCGCTCCCACCCTCCCAAAACCAGTGTCACGGCAGACATGAAAAGCAGCATGCTAAAGAACTCCGCCTTGGAGTGGCTCGTTGTTTGTCTCATGTTTATCTCTAAGCCACGCATTCCATCCCGGCCATATTGCGGTTCTAGTCACGTGCTATCGAATTACATAGTCTTTGTACACTAATACCTAGTTCTTCTAATCAGAAACATCCTCTATCATATAGAGATATTAATGCAACAATAATAAATACAAATATGAGAATGCTAATACCTATCACAATAATGCTACTTTAAACATTTCTAGTCGCCTAGATACAGTCAAGTTACCAAGTCACTATACAACTTCTTGACCAAGTTTAGTTATATTGGTGCTCTAAAATACCGACTACCTTTATCTTCATTCCGTGAGATATCTTCTCAACCTTGTTTGGCGAGATATATTGTGCCCCCAGGCTGAGATCATAGTTCATGCCCAATTAAGAGGCTTAATCAGCTGTGTGTAACCGGCCTCAAAACCACAAGTCCACTACCTAGTAAGAGAATTACGACTTCTTTAAATTTTATCCTAGAACTGTCACAAGAAATTTCGTTCAATCCTAGCAGCTACCAGCGAAAGAATTCCGTCGTAACGCTTGGGTAATAATGCGGAAACCTTCTTGGAATCTTAAGGCACATTATATCGACCCTTACCCCCTTAGTATGATGATACTTAGAAGGGGAAGCAGAAAGTACAGCAACTTACTCTAGATAGGAGTCTCAGGATTTGGGTAAGAATGGGACAGTCGGCAGTCTCCTCACGTAGGTCACATAGATAATCTACACTCCAGTACGCCGCAATAGTGGTTGAATTTATAGTCTTCTACGCGCTATCAAAATAATAGCGTATTTACTACCATACTTCTACCATTGTCATTGATTAACTCGGTTAAGAATACGACGATGAAGATATCTTTGACCTAGTGTCACTACCTATGGGTTTCTTGTGCCCCCATAAATCCCTTACGGAGCAATAATTAGTAGAGCTGACACCGACATTCACAAGTAGTGGGTTTACATAAGAAACAATTGGAGTGCGCACCGTAGGCGGGATTCGGCGCGTGTTTTCGAGTTAGCAAGGATGATCGAGTCAGTGAACTTGACAAGGAAGAGTAACAACCTTGTCTCACACTCTCTCCTCTAACCACCCGGGTTTGCTACATATAGTGGGTGGACTTTTAGTCCTCAGCAGTACTGGTACTTCCGTAAATGGTATGTTACATGATGGTGTTCAGGTTGAGAGATGCAAATAAAAGACCCCACTTGACCCCGAGTTGATGAGATACAGAGGGCGGTTCACCAGTCCAATATCAATTAGTACTAGTTACTGTCTTTTATTTCGGCATCGATCACTGTTTTTGGGGGATGAGATTGATCATCTGATTCCGAAGCCGGGTAATAATCACGAGCACGATTATCACACTATTCCCCAATTAAATAGACGTGGGTTATTACGCCGATACAGCGTGGTTAGCAATGATAGCATGACGAACATAATTTGAATGCAAATATGTACATAGCAATACCATTGAGCCACTCCAATATACTTAACAACTCTAGGTCTGCCACATGTATTCACTTAAGGCCAGAACCTTCTCGCCCATCTGCCTCTTCGCAGCCGCGTTGACGCCTCTTTCAGGATCGGCGAGCTGTACACTATAACACAGCTCGATAAGTGCCTTGAGCTCGTCGTAACTGAACCTCTCTGCCTCGGGAATAGAGCTGGCATTCGCCTCTTGCTCCTTGTCACGTTTCGCTTTCTCTACAATTGCGTCGGCACCTTCTTGGAATAATTTGTAGTAATTGGAGGCCCTGGCCAGATCCACATCCGCCTCAATATTCTTGAGGTTCTGCTGTAATACCAATATGTTGAGCTGCATGCGTTCGCAGCCGCGTGTATTCATGGGTTGCACAGACAAGGCGTTAGACACGAGATAAGAATTGATGAGGAGTCCTAGGCCCGTACGGACAAAGGCAATTTCGCGATTACGAAGGAAGCGTACTGCTGTTTCATCATAAGCAATCAACTCAGCATTCAGGGACAGAATTTGCGGATCAGGCTCTTTTATCTCGCGATCACCGAGAACGTATGGCGCGGTCTCTGGTGATAGCGCCACGTGGAGTGACTGAATAATACGACTGCGAATCTCCATGTGGAGTGTTAAGAGGACAGTGCCTGCCAGCTCTTCATATGAGGAAACGATTCGGTCAAATGATCTAGATACGGAGATGAGCTATACTAATATGTCAGATGAGTCTAGGTGGGAGGACTTACTGAACAGTATCCTGTGTCATGGGGAGATACACAGGGCCTTCTTGTTCCCCATTAGCCTTGCTAGGGTCGTTCAGAAGAGTCCACCGTCGGCTTTGATCCTTTGGCATCGAAGGCTGTGAGGAGTCTGTATCATGCCTAGTGATATGCCGCAAGCCGACAATTTTAGTTGTAAGCCACTTCATACTAGTGTATAGTAGGCATAATGACGAGATCACATCCCGATCCTGAATGACGTCGCTGGGCTCTAGAGAGCGCTCATTCGTACGCATTATTAATAAGCCAATTTCTTTTTCTATCAGCTCAGGATCGAGACCGTCTGAGGTCCAGAGCTTTTGGATCGTATCTTGAATTTCGCTTTCTGTAGTTGCCAGTTCCGCCGAGAATCGTAAATCTTGTGATGTAGCATTAGTATCCTGGGCTTTCGCCACCAAGGATTTGAACCATGCAGAACATCTTTCGTAGTAGCGCATCATTTGTGATATAATAAGAGCGCTAAGAGCCTGGTCGTGAGGAATTGTACCAAGCATGCGGCAGAAAGCCGTGACGATGGTGTAAAATGCAGTGGTTCCTTTGAAAACTGGTCGGCGTGCCACTATATTCCAGCTTGGGTCTTGCTGGAAAGAATCAACCTCGCCTAACACGCTATCGCTAAGTTTGCCCAAGGTCTCATCTAGCTGGGGTTGGAAAACATTGACCAAGAAGTTATCAAGGAAAGACGTCAGCGCGCTCGCAGCCAAATCAGAGGCAGGAGGGACAATGGCCTTTAGCCTCTGAATGAAGATGAGGGTCGGCGGTAAGAGAAGACTCATGTTGAAAACGCTGGGTTCCACCAACGACTTGTACGAGCCTGGTATATTCTTGCTATCGATACCACCCAGTGCGCTCTTTCGCGATTCCTTCCCAACTAACGATGCCTTCTTGCCTAAAGATTGAGACTTCCGTGTGTTGGAAGTAAGGCCCGGCACGGCGGCTTGTATGATGCTATCCAGAGCTTCGTATTCGGCTGACATTTCAACAGACTTCTGGTCCGCCTCTGAGAATTTGAAGAGATTTTCCCTTTGCGTATCTATATTCCCATTCAGAGCTGGACCATTCCTTAGAGCTGAAGCAGACTGGTAGATATCTGCGTCCGTAGTCACGTAATTATGAAGAAGTGAACGTATCTCGTTTTGATAAAGGTTCCACAATTCCCTAAAACTTCCAAGGAGTTGTGAGCTATTGCCAGCGCCTTCTCTCCTGGCGAGAGATCTAACAGCCTCGTGAAAAACGCGGTGTCCTTCGGCAATAGCCTCGAATTTTCCGTATAGGGTCCACAACAGATCATATATAACATCAGCTCGCATCTGAGTCTCCCTACTGCTATATATATGGAGCCCTTGAGTGTTGCTAGATCCGCCACGGAGCGAGCTGGGGTGCCTTTGGTCGACATCGTTGATGGTTTCATTTACCACAGAAAAGAGCTCCACAGGAAGGCGCTGATTCAGAGTGTCCACAGCGCTTTCTAGTCTTCCCAGCTTGTTAAGAGATTCTGCGAGTAGAGCAATATACCAAGAGGTGTCTGCTTCTGGATTCTTCGAAGGATCTTCGGTGACGGGATGTTCTAGATCTAGGGTGTCAAGTACAACATGGAAAGGAGTAATGACGTCCGAATCACCATAATTCCGGTTATTAGCGCCCTGGTTCTTGGCCAGGCTCTGCCAGCGTTCCTGGCAATAAGGAGACTTGAGATAAAGATGTTCATGCAATTCTTCCACTAAAATATCCATCAATGCCGTCTCCTGGCTGGCTAAGTAGCTTCGAAGGTCGGACAAAGCGCCGATATCGTCCAGCTCGGGTTTCCGTAGTTTGCGCAATGCATTCTGCAGGACCTCGACGGCAGTTAGAAAACGCTTTTCAGATATTCGAGCCTCGAGCTGATCGGGCACAGTCCGTAGGTCCTCAAGTTCATTTAGAGTTTGTAGGACATCATCGTACATCTGGGATGACTTGTATAGTTTCCTGAGTTCAGGATCAGATGCGCACAAGCTGTTCTTTGAAGCGGCAAGAGATTCCTTTAGGGCGCGCACACGCTTTTGCGAGGCCTGTATGCTGCCCTGGATCTTGTGGAAAGTGCCAATTGAGCTATTGAAGCCTTGGTGGTGTTCATGCACGATACCTTTTAGAGAGTCCTGTAAATATAGGTGCGTCTTCTTGAAGTTGTCATACTCGTGAGCTCGCCCAACGGAGCTGTTGTCGAGCAGCTGCAAAGCCAACGAGACTGGGATGCAATCATTTTCGATCATGGAAGGCCACTCGGACTTGATGTGCTCGAGGACCTGGGTAATTTGCCGTTCGGCATTTGTTTCGTTAGCGCGCGGGCGTCTTGGGGAGGCAGCTGGTGGGGAGCGACCAGAGTCAAAAGGCGACCCTCGAGCCCGCGATGGCGTCGGGCCAGGAGGAAAATCATCGCCCTCGTCTGTGGTCCGGTAGGCCCCGTTGCGGTATGACCCGCCAAACCTGTTGGACATGGTTGTGGTTGAGTTGTTGACGCATTCAGGGGCTCGATCGAGGTGTCGCTACCGTTGTCGGCGGTTGAGTCGAGGCTGTCGAGCCGTCACTGTTGGCACGCTATCGCATGAGGAGGCCCAATTGTGCCTGTGTAGTCGGCTGGTGTTCCTATACTTTTCTTCCTCTCTTGCGTCTGCCGTAGTCCTCGAGACGCAGATTCACAATCGTATTGTTCCTATTGCTGTTTGACGTTTCCTTGGCTGCTTTGAAACCCTTAGATACGTAATGGAGCGCTTGAGACGTTGTAGGCCTAGGTACCTACATAGCCCTGGAGATAAGTATGTACCTAAGGTACTTGTGGTAGCGATGCGATTAAGTGTAGTACATACATACATAAACTTAGTTAGGTACCGCACACTGATTGTGCTGGTGTATCTATGTACACAGTACATGATTAAGATACACACATACGTAGAACATACTGTATGTAGGTAGGTAGGCAGGTAGGTACCTTAGGTACATACATAGTAGCATCTTAATACTTACAACATTGAGTACGACGCAAGTATACCTCAATGAATTACATGGTGGAATCTCCAATACTATATTAACAACGCCCTCTTGCTTGCCTGGCGCAGAGTTCCTACTAGATAGTTTTGTAACCAGCCTGGATTTCATCAGGTCTTGGTCAATTTCTCAAAAGCGGTTCTTCCTGTTGGATGCGTATGGGGGCGCACCAGACCACTAATCCGCCATGCCTACTCGTATCCCTAAGCCTGAGGATTTTACATATCTTGAGCCATCCCTCAATGTCTCGATGGTGTTCCCAGAAATCCCAGAGACAACAACATCAATCCTTGTCCTCTTTCACGGGCTAGGAGACTCCGAGGCATCATTTGCGAAATTCGCCAAGAACATCAACCTGCCAGGTGTTCTCGCTATCTCAGTACGCGGTATCTCGCCTTTACCGCCGGCTCTTCTGGGGTTGCCCGGATCTGAAGCAGGGCAACCCACGAGCCATTTTCACTGGGGGGATGACTTGACACTCTCGTCTGACACTGGTGATCTAGAACCCGACCCAGGTTTCTCAAAGGCGGAAGAACTAGTCTTGGGGAAGCTCATTCAAGGCACCCTGGTTGGCAAATGCGGGTGGGAAACCAACGATATCTTGCTCTTTGGATTTGGGCAGGGTGGTTCTCTAGCTCTCGGTCTTTCCTCGAAACTGAGGAAGGCAGAAGAACTTGTGGGCGTAACAGAGGGCAATAGAGAGCTGGGGCTTGCCTTCAAAGGAGCCGTGTCGATCGGTGGACAGTTGCCATCGAGTATGATACCTAGCTCGAGTGCAAGAAGCAAGGCTGGGACCCCAGTATTGGTCTGTCATGGAAGAAATAGTGAACTTCTCGACAGTGAGGCGATCGAGCTCTTGAATAGGGAGTTTGTCGATGTACGGGAGGTTAAGTGGATGAAAGCCGACGATAGTATGCCCCGGAACCGCCATGAGATGCTACCCATCATGCAATTTTTCGCCGAAAGGCTACGAGCGTGGTAAATGTCTTGGCATATTTGTAGCCAAATATCAGGTCGCGAGACTACTAGATGTCCACCAAGGGCTTGGAGCTGACGAGAAACTCATGTGCTATTACCATTACCTAGCAGATACCTATTAATTTCTTGGAAATGGGCGCTACTGGTACGTTTTACTCAGTGTGTACTAAGGAAAGTGACCGGTCCATCTCCGATAGGTCCTTGGCAACCAGGTCTCTCGTCTACACTCATCTTGTGTTGACACTTGGGAGCATGGGCATTTCGATGGCATATACCGGCTAGAGAAAACTCGACTAGCCGTATATATCTGGTCTACTACAAATTGAATGGCACGTTACGAATCAATCAATTTTTCATACTAGCTTACTTAGCAGAGCAGGCCCAAGGTCAACAGAGCCAAAGAAGAAGCACATGAGCTCGCCTATTTAATGGACGGTCCATATACTATTTGTGCCTACTTTTCTGTCTACCTGCATAGCTTTGACAGACAATAGCATGCAATCCCAGCACACTCAGCTCAAGCCTGAGGAATTGAATATCTACAATGCTCCAGTCTCCTTTTCGTATCTGCGCATGTGATTATCTGGAGAACTATAAAGGAAAGGCAATTACGAGCGAAAAAAAAAAAGATAATCGACGATACAGAAACCAAATTTGATACACACATGGTCACATGAAGAGTCATCTTGGCTGGTTGCAGTGGAGGTTTTACCTTTCACCAATGAATCGGCTCGAGCCTAGCATCATGCGGGTGGGTATATTGTGTGTTGACTGTGATGTTCATGTCTTTAAAAGATTAGAATTACACATGAGTACTAGGTGGGGAGAAAGTTCCCAGCGATAATGTCTGCACCTTCACAACCCGGTTATAAGTGAGGCAGCCCTTCTGGATGCACTGGCAATGCAATTTTGATAATCAATCAGATTCCCTCCCACAACGCCAAGGCTATGCTATGCTATATACTATGCTGGATGTAAGTCAAGTGTGTGTAGGCTTGCATGCATACAACTTATTCATTATTCGCCAACAAAATTGCGGCGCGAAGCGTTTGGCCACCGCAATGGTATTGTGGGATCGACAAATTCGCCATCTCTGAGCAAGGGGTATACAGAAGATGATGCATAATGTACTGGCTGCGCGGTTGGCTTCATATGGGGTGAATAGCTTATTTTCTCTTTAGTTACCTCAGGTATCTTGGACTCTGACTGAGTATCGTTCGATTCACCGGCGTCATTAGATCTTACGTCGCAAGGACTAAATGCTCCTCCTGATTCAGAATCATCGGTATGCATGGATGCGCCCCCGTCATTCTCGGATATCAGAACGGGATTCTGGTCAACACAATCATAAAAGAGCATGAAAACTCCGCCCTGAGCTAGGACCGACTCTTCAGTAACTTCCCAGACCGTTTCATCGCTCAAACGCCACCACTTCAAATCCTGTTCCGTCATGTTTAACTGTGACTCAGGATTCCCTTGCTGATTATGGCCAGCTTGATCTCCCTCTGGATGGGAGCTATCCAGAGCTGCCTCTACTCGAGTTGGGTGTTGCCGGTAGCAGACATAGTGCCCGTTCTCATGTCGACCCTGATGGGTAATGACTGCTCGTAGCTCGTAGATAGGACCACTAATCCTGGATGGTTTGAGATCGCCAGACACCATGGAACATTTTGGATCCGAAGTCCATTGCTCTTCAACGCTTCGAGTCGTCTGCTGAGAAGAACTGGGATCACTGCTATTTACATTATGTGACCCTGAGCTCCCAAGGCACCACGGACCGAGGTCTAGGGTACTTGGAAAGCGAACTGCTGCTAGGTTTTTAAACATCTGACCTGTGTTCTCATCGAATACTGAACGGTTGATATGGATGGCAAGGTTTGAGGGCGGACGACCTATCACCATTTGCTTTGTTTTGGTTGAGGATACTCGATGCTGCTTAGATATCCTACACTTGTCACTCAACGTCTGCTCATCGAAATCTTCATCTTCCAAGGCTTCCTCGACAGCCTTGAGCCGAGCTAGAGGTTCTCGCAGAGTTTCTTTCTCCGAGCCAACCTCCTTACTTCGGCCCACAATAATCTTCAAAAGCCGTTGGATTTTTAGCAGGGTGCACTTGGCACACTCAACGCCTTCAATCGATTCAAGAGCGGTGTAAGAATCAAGTCGCTCGTAAAGATCGTGAGCGCCTTGATCGACGCCAAGGTTCAGAGTGATACAATTGAATGGTATCATAGAGAGACCTTCCGAGTAATAACATTGAACACAGGCGACTCTTTGGGCTACTAGTCCCTCAAGGGGGTTCTTGACGGTTCTGATCTCAGATGCGGGTTTGCCCAGGGTTGAAAGAGACTGATATCCACTGTCATCACTGTGCTGACTCTCAGTGGTTTCGTCTCTCAGGCCAGTAACCTCCAGGCCTGATGGGCGATATTGCGTGGCGGTGACCCTCGTGACCTCCTTGTCTACCTCATCGAGAATCTTGGAGTAGTACTCCTGCGCGTCTTGTTGTTGCCATGTGTCAAGCGACTTCAGCTTCTTAGGCGTCCACAAGGTGGCCCCGTTGTTTTGCGAGTCTACCAACTTCGATAGTAACGCTCGCAGCGTCGCGACTGAGCTGGAATCGCCACTGTCGCCAACGCCTTCGGCATTTTCTAAGGCACCAGCAAGGTAAGCTGAGAAAGGTTTCAGGGAGGAGAGGCTCTGGAGTATGCTATTTTGAAAGCAAGAATTGTCATAATTCCCCAGTCCGGGTGGTTGATCGACCATCCGCTTTGGCTTGACACTCGATAAGGAGGAGATGCTCTTTCCAGCATGCGCGACAGCGTTTAATATACTACTGGGGCTGTCCATACCGAGGATACGGCGAAGCACGTCGCTCTTAGCAACATAAGAGCTGGGCCGGCTAGTTGACGTAGGCTCGGGGACAGGAAAAATAGGCGGATGAAGCCAGTGATCAATAGCATAGAGGAGCCTCGCGGGGACGAGTGCGACTAAGAGATCCCACAGAAGTTCACCGGAGTGCCTCACATGGGAAAGAGGGTCAAAAGGCTGTAGCGACTGGTAGAGGATGGTGAATATAAGAAGGCCGAAAGGAACAAGGATGCTTGGTTGCAGTAGGCGATCTGACAAGCTGCCACCGTGTGAGTAAGGTGTATACAGGCGGGAGTGGTCGAGCGGCGGTTCGGGACGGGTAGATTGCATCCTGGTCGTATTGGCGCTTTGGTCGAGCACTTGAAAGAGGAACGGCGCGCGGTGGTATTAGAGGTTGTGGTCGTAGTGGTGACTGGTGTTGGCGAGCTGGATGGCGGTGATGAAAAGTGGCACTAAAGACGGTGCAGGGAACGTGCAAAAGAGACGGTCTCACTGGAACGAATCATCGAGCAGCTACCGGTAATAAGCTATCTGTGACGAGACGAGAGGACAAGTCTATGTGCAGATTGACTGACAAGGCCATCGCGTTTGCTGGTTTGGATACGTCGTGGCGAGCGCATCCGTTGCGCGAGGGGACTGAGTTTTGTTGTAGAAGAGAAGTTGTCACAGTCTGTAGTGTAGAGTGTAGGGACCGGTAGGTAACCTCGGAAGTACATAGCCCACTAGGCATGGGTACACTGAGGTACCCAGTCTCGCCAGTTTCCCACCAGAACTCACCGTCTTTACTTATGGGTCCGTTACGGGTATACGAAGAAGCAAGGAACGTTGGCTTTTTTTAATTTAATATATAATCATTTCTATGGTACGGAGCTTTTGTTACGGACCATAGGTGGTGGTTTTGTCCAGCAGTGAAGATAGTTTTATCTGTACATATGACTGCCAAGCTGGGGCACAAGATACCTAGTGGCACGCACATGTGAGGGCCGCTTGTGACAACCACACGACCACGTACCTAATGCACCAGGCACAGCAGGTACCGGTAGTGAGAAGGCTGTTCAGATTGTTAGAAGCCAGGAATAATACCTCCATCTATGGCTCGTAGTATGTATGCATGATGTTGCTTGCATGTACAAGATGCGGAGCGCATGAACATCCCGACGGTAGTGGTTGTAGGGCTGCACCAAAGCCACGGGATGAGCACCGTCCTTGGATATGCCGCTATTTTCTCGATTCCTCTCGTGACAATCTGCTAATGCGGGCAACGTCCAGGTAAGGTAGGCGCTCGACATGCCACCCGATGTACGGCATACATGCCCTGGGTATGGATATTTCCTTGCCTATCCCGAATTTCCTGAGAGCATGCAGACCATACTTAGGTCTTCCCTTGGGGAAGCCCTCTAGGCCACATGGTAACAATTGAGCGAGCCCTCGGTTACACTCTGGTTATAACCTGGCCTGGTTACAGCACAGCTTGGTCCTTGTTTTAAATGTGAGCTGACATTCTAGATCTTGGATCTTGGAAGAGTGTGCTGAGTAGGCAGGAGTAGGCAGGGCAAAAGCGACATTAGCCCAGATGGAATAACCTTTTTTTTTTTTTTTTTTTTTTTTTTTTTTTTTCCTTAATTCGAGGGTTCTAGATTGTAGGCACCTCGTACCTAGGTACTCTTTCAAGACCACCTAGGTAGCATTTCTTATCAATAGCGCCCAGTAGGTTAGCGGGGCAGAGCAGTTGTGATTGCCAATTCCTCCTACCTTTTTCCCCCTCCATCGAATGCCACAAAGAATTTGACAGGGGCGGGAAAGTATCGCAAAGACAAAAACCCCATTGTATGAACCCAAGCTGCTCCTACCAGTCCTCATCTAGGAAATCCTAGGTATAGTGACAATGGCCAAAGGCGCTATATCAAAAAAGAAGAAAGGTACTGAAGTGAAAATGCCTAATCTAAACGCTGCTTTCAAAACTGACTATCCATCTCTACCAACGTCTAGCCCCGTCATTACACTCTCGTGCCGCGAGGCGGGCTACCTCTCCTAGCATCAACACCGACAAGTCGCTCAAGGACGTCCAGCCCCCGCCTGAGTCAGTTGATCATCGCCCCTCAGTGCTGGCGATACACCAAGGTGCCGGCGTTTCCAAGAAGCAGAAAAAAAGCAGGGCCATGAGCAGTAAAGCCCGGAAGCGGCATGAGAAGGCACAGGACCGCGCCGCCGCCATCATTGAGCGCACTGAGAAGAAGGTAGCTTTGAGCAAGGACAAGTCGAGGGCCATAGAGGGACGGAGAAAAGTGTGGGAAGAGATCAACAAGAACGTACCAATTGGCGGTGACAAGGTGCAACCGGGAGGCAATATCTCTGGCAACGGGGTTAGCGTAGATGAATCCGGGTCTGAGCTTGATGATGAGATGGGTGAAATGGGACAGCAGGGCGATACAGTTAACGAGCGCATCTCGACACGCGCTACAACAGACACCGTTTTGCCGCAGGATCAGGACGAAGACGATATTTCATGATGGCGGTAGGCCGGGCGGTTATCTCGAAAAATCGGTTCTGACTAAGAGGGGACTGGTACTACATCGGCGTTCATAAGGCGTTCTTGAGATACCTGGGTTCATTTTCCAGCTCGAGCTGGATTCATTCTGAAATTTTGACATTCGAATTATGATCCGTTGATGAATGGCGGCCGTGACATCGGATTTCCATTGTGTGATCTACAACCAACATGTAGGTACTTACTAGGTATGTACATAGGTACTTACCTACAATTTAGTGGGGTACCTATCATCCCGCTAGCCGCTAAGATAACAACAGCCCGGTCTTTCAAGGTTCTATCACCGAGCGTGCTTGCCAAGCTTCAACTTTCAGTCTACTTATGAATATTTTACATTCCCGTTTCCCCTACAATAAGCATCAGCCGTTCTTGCAGTCTTTCTCCTATTCTTTACAATAACAAGTACCAGTCAACAGTGGACTCTTCGAATCATAGCAAAAGAACTAGGATCCTTTTGTCATGCCACCAAAACGTATGACCGCAAACCCTGTCCGGCCTGCGCGCCATAGGGCAGGCAAAGCAACAGGCGCGTCGTCCGAATCCGAATCCGACCCAGAAACTAGCGAAATCGAGTCTGAACGGCAGAAAAGGCCAGATCACAAGATCGCACCTCCTCCAAAAGTCATGAGCGCCGGCCGAATTGTAAGCAAACTCGGTCAAGTCGATCTTAATGAACAGAGCCGTCAAGGGAAGGAAGCCGAAGACCGTCGCCTAGCTGCCGAGAGATCCGCCCGCTTGGCGGCCGAGGAAGGGTTCGTTACAGAGGAGAGCGACGAGAGGGAAAGCGAGGGTGAAAGCGAGGAGGGTAGCGATGACGAAGAGGCGGAAAGCAGCGAAGATGAGGTCCCGCGGAGACTCATGCTCAAACCAAAATTCATACCAAAGAGCCAGCGGAATGCGAAAAGCAAAGAGGCGGCTGCAGCGGGGACCGAAGGGGAAGCAGTTAGAATAGCCGAAGAGGAGGAAGCTCGCAAGAAAAAGGCCATGGATGAGTTAGTGGAGGAACAGATGCGCAAGGATGCTGAGGCGCGTGCAGTAGGCAAGAAACACTGGGATGATCTCATGGATGAAGAAGAAGACGTCGACACAGAGGACGACAAGGATCCCGAGGCCGAGTACGCAGCATGGAAGCTACGGGAGCTAAAGCGTATCAAGAGAGAACGTGAGGCCATCGAAGCGCGGGAGAAGGAGCGCGAAGAGGTCGAGCGCCGCCGCAATCTGACAGAGGAGGAGCGCAAAGCTGAGGACGAGGCTTTCATCGCCCAGCAGAAAGAAGAAAAAGACGCTAAAGGTAAAATGGCCTACATGCAGAAGTACTTCCACCGCGGCGCCTTTTATCAGGATGACGAAGCGGCCGAGTCGCTTGCCAAGCGCGACATCATGGGTGCGCGCTTTGCCGATGATGTGAAAAACCGCGAACTGTTACCTCAGGCCCTGCAGATGCGCGATATGACGAAGCTGGGCAAGAAGGGCGCTTCAAAGTATAAAGATCTGAAGTCCGAAGATACGGGCCGTTGGGGCGAGTTCCGCGATACGCGGCCTGGCAGGGACTTTGATCGCGGCAATTTCGACGACAGGTATAAATCCGACCGTTACCAGGAAAGATCTGGCCCTGGAGGTGCAAATGCCGTGCCGCTTGGTGATCGCAAGGGAGTCACCGCCCACCCCAGTGGTCCAAGAAATAGTGCAACCCGGAGAGAAGGTGATAGGCACTGGGATCGGGATAGTGAGCGAAGTCATGACCGGAATTCCTATATGCCACGTGACGAATCTTACGATCGGCGGCGGCACTCGCGATCAAGATCAAGGTCACCTAGGAGAGATGACAGACATCATGATACTAGCCGGAGGAAACGGGACTCCTCACGGGACCCTAGCCGATACGAAAGTGACAAGAGGAGGAGGATAGACTCCGGTAGACAGTAGTATTATCACGGATACAACCTCGCAATTGGCATGTATATAATAAGATGCTTATATAACTGCATAGCATGGATCCGCACGTCTATCAAGACTATTCATGATTTCCATACCGTTGTCACGTTGAATAAGCCGCTAAATCTCCAAGTCCTTTATATCCTCGTAATTTCAACTCTTGCTCTTTCAAAAATCTTATGGCCAATCACAGTTCCGCTGGCCATCTCCTCATCCATCAATTTAGGTGGGTAAAGCGTCATACGAGCATACGTGCCAGGGCCTCTTCGCTTGGAGAGATAGCCAGGGTTGATGACTAGCACACTTTCTACAACCTAGCGCGTGGGTTAGAGCAGGGCCCATAATCCTAGGGATTTAGATTTAGAAGTGTTGGCTTACTCTCGCGAATGGTGGCAACGCGCTCGGGACGACAATAACGTCAGGCCGGACATTGACCATTTCTCCGAGCTTTAAGTAACTGGTGTCTAGGCTCGGTCCAGTTGGAATACCCTCCGCTGTCCCGACCTTGGGCAACTTCGAGCGATCGACCGGGGGAAAGATGGGGAAGTAATGACGTTGTTCGATTATGTAACGCGATATTCTCGACATTAAATCAGGCGTTGCTGGCTTGCCGCCCACGAGTTCCTCGTGACGTAAATCCCATAAAATGTCCTGGGATGATATGCCCAATACCATCTCGTTAATAGAAAGTGTCATAGGGTTACCGATGAATTTGACAGTCTTAGGGAGGCCAAGGTCCCTCCTGGAAAAGTGTTCTTGAGGCCATGAAACGTGCTTGTCGATAATGTCGCGGACGGAAGGGATGAGGAGGATTGTGATGTGGGGGTTTGAAACTACGAGACGATTCAACATCGGTGAGATCAGATACTTGAACACCGTATTCATGGTTGCGGTGTCCGGTTCAGTCATAGCTTCTTCGGGAAGGTCAAAGTCGCCCGTAGCGACAAGCGGATGATCAACGTCGATGAACGGACCAGTCAGTACCAACACGTCGGCATAGGTATCCGCTGCCTGGCTACAGAGAGCGTGCAACGGCTCGAAGTCGAGATTATCATCAGCCGAGTAGGGCCCTGAGCCAAATATAATGTTCAACGGAGTTGGGTCGTCATCTGATTCCATAGCATCCGGGCTGCCGCGAAGTCTTTGTCTGTGTGCATTGATGGTTGCTGGCAGCGATGCGGCATTATGTAGCAAGGGGATCTCTAGCGCTTCACGAACAAGGAATTCTTGTCCTGAAGAATTGATACCCTTGAATGCTACAATCTGCCCCGGGAAGAACTGGTAACAATCTTTCAGCTTCTCAAGTTTTAGTGGAATCCTCCGACCATTGCCTGTGCGGCGTGATGTCTCCAATACGAGGGAGGCTACGTTGAGCCTACCCTCTGATGAGTCCGATGCTATGCGACCAACAGCAACAATCTCCGTCGTGCTCTGACTGGCGGCGCTGCCGAACTCTTCATCATCTATCTTGTGGTAATCTTTCACGAGGGCCATGAACTCGTCTATCCGGTCGTCTAGAATTTCCGATGCTTCTGATGTTTTCATGGCCAGGGTCTTATAGCCCAATTTCTTCTGATCAGAAGTAGCTGTCAATTTGATACGTGGCTCCGCATATGGCGCAATGGGGGGATCTGCCGGCTTGAGATGCTCATTCAGGACTTCTATGAGTTCTCCGGCATTCTGCCGACTATTGAAGGACATTACACTGAGCGCGATTAGATACATTGTGAGTGAGGCGGGTATGGCCGAGAACATCTTACGGGACTGCATTCATAGACTCAAGCTGATGCTCCAGACGCAAAGGGCCATCGCGACCAGGTGAACTACTCGGCACGTTGTTCTTCACCCTGGACATGGAAGGCGTCTCGAGAGGGTTCCTCTTCTTGACGGCACTTCTATTGAATTTTCCAGCAGCTGGCGTACTCGGTACCATCCCCTCCAACCTAAACCAAGATTAGCAGGGCATTGCCGCAGTGAGATAACGCACTTGGCGACGCACATTCCGAATACATCGCCGCCGTTTTTCGCAGCGGTGCGAGGCGTCGCCGCTGTGCGCTTCTCTGTCTTGAGCTGAACCTGATGGGATCTGTTATTTCGTTCCAAGGCATCTAGTAAGTCTTGCTTCAAGGCGCCTAAGGTCTCGACAGAGAGCTTCATCTCGTCCATGTCCATTTTGATACAGTAGGATTCCCACTTGAAAAAGAGGTCTTGGGGACTGAGCGAGTGAAGCTGCATAATGGATTTCAGCTCGACCAGTACATTGTGTTCAAGCGGCTTATCCCCAGTTGCGAAGCGCTCGTTCAATTCTTGTGTCTCTATGTCAGCCATAATGCCAACTAGATACTTGATGCCAACAATAATGACGATGATATGGCAAGCCGAGTTATGACTCCTCACACGGCCTAATCCAATAGTCAATACGCCCCTAGCAGAGAATACTTGGTGTGGTGATGGCAATTCGTTGTTGAAATTTTGAGGGCTATTGAGGCTGCTAACGCGACTGGGACGCGTCAATGCGTGTTAAGTGGTTCAAAAGTAGTCAATGAGATCGACAGGGTTAGTTTTCTTCTGGGCTCAGTGGGTGGCCCGCTTTGGCCCGCTTTAGTGTACACCCACCAGACCCTGGTCTACCATATGTACTAGGTACATACGTAGTATGTATGTAGGTACTAGGTACAGTATAGGTACATACCTACATAGGTAAGAGGTACTGCATGTTAACTCTTTTTCACTAAAACGTGTCTTACCTAGGTACTATGTAGAAATAACGACACATGTATAACTGTATTCTATGTGTTGTTCTACCTATTGATTTGTTGGCATTGCGCAATGTCACAATTGAATTTCCGTGAAACTCACATCCCACTAACCTGCCGGCGGCGTTCAGCAACAGCCCAGACCCCGGCACAGTCCCAATTGGACTGGCGTGCTTTGCACAGATCCGAATACGCTGAGATTTAGATAGTACCTTTACTACGTACAGTACTATGTAGAAACCTCAGACTCATCGAGAACCCGCCTGTAGCACCCCTTTACCGTCCCCTGACATGCGACTTACTCGTTATCTATGATTGTCACAGACACTCCCTCACCATCTACAACACCTTGTTACGCAAAGTAACTGTAGCCTCTCAGTTTCTCTTCAAATTACGCTTACCCCCTTAGCCAATGGCTAGTGTTGGCACATCGACGCCGCCCTCAGGCGTGAGAATGCTCAGTGAGAAGACGGGTGGCCCGCTATTAGTTCCTCTTGCGACGCCTCCAGAGACGAGCACTCCGATTGCAAACCCTTCACTCACGGCTGAGCAGCAATCCAAGTATGATTGGCTTCTCGAGAGAGTAAAAGGGTGGACAGAGGTCCCATCAACCAGTGGCAAGGCTGGAGCGCTGACCGACAATGAGAAGATATGGCTCAGCAAGGAGTCTCTCTTCAGATATCTTCGAGCTACCAAATGGGATCGGAACGAGGCCGAGAAGCGTTTACTAGAGACACTGACCTGGCGGAGGGACTACGGTGTCGATGACCTGACGGCAGACTACATTGGACCCGAAAACGAGACTGGGAAACAGGTCATCGTTGGCTTCGATAAACAAGGTCGTCCATGCCACTACCTCAACCCAGGACGCCAGAATACCGAGGTCACCCCGAGACAAGTCCAGCATATGGTTTTCATGCTCGAACGAGTCATCGATCTCATTCCAGCGGAACAAGAGAAAATTTGCTTGCTTATCGACTTCAAGACCGGGGCCAAGCGCACAAATACTGCTCCTGGTATCGGTCAGGGCCGTGAGGTGTTACACATCCTTCAGGCACACTACCCTGAGAGACTGGGGCGGGCCCTCATTGTCAACGGTGAGGCCGCATATGGATATGACCGTGTAACTTGAGAGCTGACACAGGGAAAACAGTGCCATGGGTTGTATGGGGATTTTTCAAGCTCATCACCCCTTTCATTGACCCCTTGACTAAGGAGAAGCTCAAATTCAATGAGGACATGACACAATATGTGACTCCAGAGCAACTGGCCAAGGATATCAAAGGCGGTCAGCTGCCTTTCGAATATGATCATTCTGTATACTGGCCCGCACTTATGAAGCTCAGCGATCAGCGACGTGCCGAGCGTTTTCAGAGGTGGGAAGCTGGGGGCAAGTTGATTGGTGAGTCGGAGGATTACCTCAAAGGCTATGCACCTCATGGCGTAACTGGTGGAAATACTGAGGCGCCAAAAGAGCAAGCAACGAGTGCTGATGCTTAGAGTCCATTGAGCAGAGGAGAATATATTAATATTTTAACGTACTAAAAGACATCTAGTTATAAGATTACAATCATACTCCATAGCGCACGGCTGATTCGAGCATAGAACGACGGTTAGTTGGATGGCATGCACATAAAGGATATATAGTGTATGAAGAATATAATTAATTCTGCATCGAATTATGCATTCCTGACATTGAATCGAGCTCTATTTCCATCCCCGTCTCGCTCTACCGGTGTACTATAAGCTGGGCAAATCTAGCTAGGTACTTCCATGCGAGAGACCCACACAGCACAGCTACAGGCCAATCATAAACATTCTGGCGTCAAGTTGGGAACTCCTTCCCTCGACATCAACCACCCAGCCGTATTTCGAACACATTCAGAGCTCCGGGCAATACAGTCAGACCACCAGCAAGTATTCAAGCATCAGCATTGCAAATGACCCAAGATTCGAACCTTGGAAGTCTCAATGTCCAATCTCCAAGCATCCCGGGGTGGTGTTAAAGAACAGTCGGGCCTGCGCTATCCGACCAATGGCAAGACCATATACCACCGACCGTTAAATCGGACCAAAGCGGCCGAGCTCAGCGGCGCAAGCTTCGCATACCTCTTTTCCGAGATGGTGAGCTACGCCTCGAAGAAGATAGAAAGTATCCAGGACCTTGAGAAGCGGTAAGTCGATAAGCCCCGAGCTCTTTGTCTCTCTTGTCCTGTCCTCGCCCCACAGTTACTCAACAGATCAATACGCCGACTCATAAACTGCCTTTTCTAACAAGCTATCCTTTTACGGCAGGCTCAACATACAAGGCCACCCCATCGGTCTGAAACTCCTTGACCTCCTCCTCTACCGCGAGCCGGTCCGGTCGCAGACACGGCCCCTCAATATCATTACGCTACTGCACTTCATCAAGATCAACGTGTGGCAGCACCTCTTTGGACAGGCGGCCGATGGCCTTGAGAAATCGTCAGACCCGTTGAAACCCGACGAATACATGATCATCGATAACGAGCCGCTCGTCAACCGCTATATCAGCGTTCCACGCGACATGAGCCAGCTCAACTGTGCCGCCTACGTCGCCGGCATCATCGAGGGTGTCTGCGACGGCTCGGCCTTCCCCGCCCGTGTCACGGCTCATAGCGTCGGAAAGCAGGAGGAGGGCGAGTTGTGGCCCGGCCGCACCGTGTTTCTAGTCAAGTTCGCGCCTGAGGTCATGGAGCGCGAGAGCTTTCTAGGCAAGGGTTAAGGCCGCTTCTTATCTAGGTAGATATGGCGAGAAATCTAGCGCAAGGTTGGTTTTCTATTGATTGACAATACAGCATGGCAAGGCGTCTTCAGGTTTGTGGCGGCGTTTAAAGGTTCACGGTTTCAAGGATCAGGTGGTGTTCAACTTAGCTAGGACGATATCATTATTGTACAGAGTCTGGAAATCACAACGTGTTGTGACATTGCGCTGTGCGGAATTATTCACGGGTATTAAAAACAAACACTCAGAACTCCTGTGTTTAAAATGCATCCCTCAAAGCCAAATACCCCATCCACGAGGACCAAGCTAATTGTGAACGACTCATTCACGATTTGGCTTCGAGAGCCAACAAGAGAGGGGAGGGGATAGCCCCAAGCTATGGAGTTCCTCCGAATTTCTTGTCATCTTGGTAATCCCTTGTACAGGTTCTTACTAACTGTAGTGCCTATACGGCCCGGCGCCGGCCCCTTCTTCATGAGCTCGGCAAGGTTGAGGTCTTTCCAGGCAGGTTCCTTGTTGCGCTGCGTTGCCTTCTGTATGCCGAAGGCGGCATGCTGATCGGGCACGACGTCATCCTCATCTTCGGGGTTGATGGGCTGGTGGTGTGGGGGTACGTAAATCTCGTCGTCGGGTAACTTGTCCTTGCAGAAGTCTTCGAAGAGATCGGCGTCGCGTGGCCTTTGCATGTGTACGTATGTGTAGCATCCGTCTTTATTCTAGCAAGCGGCAACAAGGGAGGGACGGGTTAGTTTATAGGCAGGATTCTTGAAAATCTACGGCAACTCGGCCGCTCTGCCTTCTCTGCGCCAGGCTACCAACTGATGGTGTTTTACATACCATAGCTGTTGCTCTGTGTGTGTTCACTTTGTCATGTATGTGTGGTATTAAGGACAGGGGTCTTTTCCCGTGTAGCAGAAAGAAACTTGTGATTTAAGCTTGGTAACGTAGGAATGGACTACAAATTGTGGTCATGTTTTGATTGGCATCATTCAGCAGGCAACGGCTCCGATTCCAGTGGGGTGTCCAGAGGGTGTCTAAAGATACAGTAGGTAGGTACCTATGTACATGCAAGAAGTGGGGCGGTTTCCAACCGATCACGAAGACAGTAATACGAATTCTCATGCTTGAAAGTTTCTCTCGATGCAAGGACACAATGGGATCTTGCGATGGTCATTTCTATAACCTCTAGAAGAAATGACTTACAGCTGATGTCGGCTTTGGTAGTCGAACTGTTGAGATACCGGTACACTCAGACCTCTGTGTGAGTGTTATGTCTCATTTCCAAGGTTGCTTGTGCATGTTGCCCCTTCGGTTCGCATCGCATATCGCCTCCTTTCTCCTGAGCAAAAGGTAGAATTGCGCCAATATCCTCCTGAAAAGTACCAAAATCAACTACCTAGGAAGTGATATCCACTAAGTTAAATACACACCCACCCCCAAGCCCTTGCCATCAATCCACCATCCTCGCTGTCCTTTGGCGATGCACTCGTCGCGCAATGGTGAGGCCATGTACTGGGCTGCGAGGAGTCCCGGAATGTGACTGCTCTCGCCTGCACGCTGGGGGCACACCAGCCCAGTGCAATTGCCCGACGTGATTTGGTAGCAGCCTTCTACAAGATTAAGATTGATATTCGCTTTAAGACCGGCAAACTGAGCAATCACGTCGTCGCAGTCCTCGACAGGCGGTGCTGGACCCTAGTGCACGAGGCGAACTTGTCAGTCGTTCCTTCCACGCATCATGCCGGCAGATGTCGAACACTCTCTGTGGGCAGCGCTACTTACAAATAACTCGGGGTGAGGGTCGTGGCAACGATAGACGGGACCATTGGGTGATTGAGAAATGTGCCTCTCGTGTTGCTTTACCTCGCGCCGGTGTATTGACCCGCCAGGGAGGTGACGATGAGTGTGTTGAGAGGAGACCATGTTACTATCAACGCGATTAACAGAAGTTGCCAGTACCAGGCCAAGATAGCCGATGAGGCAGGCAACGAGAGTTATGGAGGATTTAATGCGCATTGCAGTATTTTTCGAGGCGTGTTGGCGCTGGTCCAAGTATGTGGTTTTTTGGCGAGTCGTTGTCGATAAGGAGTTGAGAAGTTAAGTTGGTGGTTGTGGAAGAAACAAAGCTAGCTGCTCTGGAAAATTGAGTGCAAGAGTACCTAGTAAGGACTGTCACCGCAAACGAAGTTGGCAACAGAAGACAAGACCGACTGGTGATTGTGCACGGGATATTTGTGCGAACGAAGGCTCCGCGGGAAGAGGGCCTATGTGTCACTGTCTCTTATTGCGGCAGTCAACAAAAGCTCGCGGCAACGGGAGCAGCGGTAGTACCTTCAAATATCGTGTGACTTGCTTCGCGGGTAGCAGCTACCTCGTTCTTTACCCACAGGCCATGAAGTGTTGAAGGACTGTGAGCAATTCATATTCATTCACGATGCGGTGGGAAGGGTAATAACCCCCAGGCAAATACCTAGTCGACATCTGGGACTTATAAGACCCTGCTGCAGTAGGTTTGATCTCGACATTCTGCGTCCTAACTTGGCACACCCCGTGCTGTGCTCGATATTACACGGCTAGTCACTGTCCGACGCAAACATCCAGTACAACACGGGCTGTCACCTTGTCTGTGTTGATACTATAGACTCAATCAAGTTCGAGTCGTGATCTTCTTCAGGGTCGAAAGCCTTTACACGATGCTATGGACACGATGACCACACGTCTGGCTCCCACAGTGGGACTTATTTCCAAGCCATGGAATCAAGTGTACTTGCATCCTACACATTGGACCTGTCACGTGTGTAATATGCAGGCTCGGTAGCTCCCGATGATCTTGGGTGAGCTTCAATGTAGATTTAGGTAAACTACATACATACAGCAACGTCTCCAGGAACAATCAGCAGCAGGCGCTTACACCTTTGGGTATAATCACCGGGGCGTGACTCGACCACCATCACATGTTCACTACCACAAGATGTAACTTCAACCATGCCTCGGGCCTGCGTGTTCGAGATGCAATCGGTATGTGCCCCCGTTGCCGTTTAGATTGGTCGAGTCCCCCATCACTGCGTACTGCCCTCCAGAAACGCAGCCCATAAGAGTATTGTTTGCCCAATGTTGAAGCCATGAGGCGGTGCGGTTGACGGTCTTCGTGACGTAGGGTTGAGCGCAAAATCGGATGTTACAAGTGTCCTGAGACCAATTCAGACAGATGCCCGAATATACTTGGAACTCTTGGTCCTCAAATGACTGGAGCTGATCAAGTGCAGCCTGGCAGTCCGTGGCGTTCGCGTCTCTCTATTTCTCACCTTAGTTTAACCATTTGTCGGCGGTGGCACGTTTGGAGCAGCATTGGAGACGTACCCCATAACAAGTATAGGCATCTCTTCTTTCGAGAATGCGCCGTTGAAGCACGGCGGTGCTAGTCTGGGTGACCTGCGAAGAAACGAGGTACAGGTTTCCGAGAACTGCGATGATTGCAGATGAAGTGAGTGCTGCGAGTCTGATGCCTCCCATTTTGAGGGGTGCAAGGACAGCTTCACAGTGAATTACTTGCTGATAGTTGAAGGCGTAACTGGGTAAGGGCCGTGTTGTATATCTTACAGAAGTAAAAGATCAATATGGGATCTGGATTCAATGTGAGAGCCAAGTAAATCTGGGAGACTCTGGATACCAAGGAAGTGAGCAGACGGGCGTTGGTGAAATAGGAACTAAATGATCGAGAGAAGTTACAGTACACACGTCCTTGTGAGCTGTTATCGATCTCCTCATGACAGTAATCTCTCAGAGGATCAGAGCAGCGTGTCCCCGGGGTTTATCTTTGCTTCTCCGTGCCATCTGCATGCGGTCACAGACAGTCTCACTGTCGGCTTCTGTACCAGTTGTGCTTGTTCGTCAGACCCACGCACAGATCTGTTATACTTGAAAATTGGCTGACCAACTTGTACAATCTAGTGTTCATCTCGATTATGGTGATGCATTTCTAATACAAAGCAGTGCCTCCAGCAACACCTCTACAACCACTGTGGTAGCGATGGACACGGAATATGGGGTATCAGAGTGCGTATGATTTGAGCATCGCCAGTTAATTCATGCTGCCTAGGTTTGTAAGATACCTCTGTGACCCTACGTACCTGTGTTTGTTGGGACAGAGCTTTGTGTTCGTAATGTCATGTGGGTGTCATCATATTAAGGGAATGATCAAACGCTCTACACCGATACGGAAAAAAGAGACGAGATTTGGTTTTAAGTCTGTTCCACGGTGGTACAACCGTTTGCCAATCTCAAATCGCCATGACATAACAGTATCACGGACATCGAAGAAAGAGAAGCTCATGAGGAGGTAGGTGGGCCGAGTTTCCGACTGAGCCGTGGCGTCAGTAAATCCATTCATCACATACTTAGATAAGACATATACCATCTTGACTGACTGACTGACTGAACGCCGTCCCATATGCTATCGAAGTGGGATATCTTTCCAACGCTATCTGTCTACCCTACCTGCCTATTGTTCAACCTCAATATCGCCAACTGCGTCAGATGCTGTTTACGAAGCTTTCTTTGCCCCTATGCTTTAAAAGGCTGCTCATCACTAAATCTCATTGCATGTAAATGAAATAGCACCACCTCGGATGGACCAATTACATGCCAGCCTATCTAGTTTCATGGTGGGGATTTACTAGTAGTACGGTTGGAATACACGTAAAGTACACCAATTCCTTAGACAGACTCGGCGATGACTTGCTTGATTCCTGGTTGGAATATGTGTTCTAGATCTGGTGCCCTCAGCTGAGACTCGTACACAAGACTATCCCAGGGAGTAATAGCTCTGTGGAGGAAGGCCAGGTCGCAGGAACACAGACTGGGGATATCCTGGCCTTTCTAACGCTGTCGGAGAAAAGGCATAAAAACCAACAGAATCAGCAGGACGTTGTGGTGCCCCTAGTATCGAAGTCTGTAGGTCAAAAATAGTAGGTACTATGTAGCTACTTAAGTAAGCATGGAGTACTATGTATAAATTGCAAAGTAGCATCCCAATTAAACCAACCAGGGGTAAAGGTGACAAGGTCGAAAGCAAAACCCAGGACTCCACAATTTACCTCTTCCAGGATTTTTATACTATGTACATAGCTACCTACAGTAAGTACTCCGCAGGTAGTAAGTAGATTACTGAATACTTGTTCCAGTCCGTGAAAGCCCTACTGTACATAAGAATATAGAAAGCTTCCCTAATTTTCGCAGCTAGGGTTTGCTCATCAGACTGCGGTTGAATGCCTAAGTACATAAGCTACCAACCTACCTAGGTAGGTACCTACTACTGTAAGTAGAGTATACCTACCATGATATAGTATGTAGGTACCCAAGCATTTACATGCAGGTGTAGGTAGTTGCATACTTAGTTGTACCGTAGATTGGCGCGGGGTTTACGGTACCTTATGTAAAAGGCATTGCCTTTTCCGGTGCCGCTACACCTAGGTTCTAGGTTCCGATTGCTCGGATCTCAGAAAGCCGCGGTTCCTGTTGTTTGGGGCGGAATTGGGGCTCAACTGCTACCTACGAGAAGTACCTAGGCTCGCTAGGCACTTAAACTTGGCGCTAGGGCAGTTCTGGGCAGTTCTGGGCAGTGTACCTACTTGGTACTAGGTAGATTGCCAACGAACCCCCCGGTCCTGTCTAGTGCACAGATAGTGCATACAGCCCATAGCTTCCGGGGTTTCAACACCAAGCAGCCATTGGCTGGCCATTGGCAGCTTGCAGCAATCTTCCCGTTGCCGTCTCGTCCCTTTTCTGTTCTCTAGAGTACATAGTAAGTATATAGCCTGTACTTACAATAGGTACTAAGTACACAGTAGGGGGGGCGTCCCTGCGCTCTCTCTCCCATACCACTCTCTCACTTCGACTTGCTCACTCTTATTAGGTAGGTATCCATTTGTCTTCAATTGACGTGAATGATGGCTTTGCGGCGAACTTAGGCGTGCGCCAAAAGCATCAAGCATCAAACTTCAAACTTCAAACTCCAACTTCCGTACTTAGGTACTATATATATCTGCTGTGTACTGCAGGTATCTAACCTAGAAAAGTACTACTAGCGGGACGGACATGCTTCCATTCATGTAGGTATGTACAAGTACGTGCCCGTGCCATCATGTTCCTGGGGGAGCCTGTATCCGTCCAACGCTTAATCCAGCATTGACAACCTCCTTACTTGCTCAGACCCTTCCCTAACCTACACTAGGTGTCTGACTAGGTATATATTTACCACGTTTACCTACATACCCAGTGTTGACCTTCGGCCTGATTGGCAGTGATATGTAGCTAATGTACGCGCGGCCAGTGCGCATTATCACCACGAACAACTCACCAACGAACACCACTTGCCGCCAAAAGAACCAGCGATTGACTGGTGCTGTCTCCTTCTATTTCCTCGGGCTCGGACGTCCTACCAAAGAACTCGCAACTCCCCCTGCCCACCTACCCGCCTGTCTGCCTGCTTGTCTATCCACGTAGCTGCGTGGGGAGGTAGCATACGGGAAAACGCTGAAGATAACGTCAGAAGCGTATCTAGTCGGGGCCTAAGCTTAGAGACTTGAAGCTTCTTGTTTGTGGCCGTGTCCGTAGTATACACTGCCTAGGTCTTTTGCCCCTAGCCGATGAGAACTTTCGATAGCCATTCGCGCTTATCTTCTCGCGTCAAACTTTCTTGAGAAGCAACTTCAACTCTGGTACATTCCGTCCCCCCCCCTTCAGCTCTTTCGTCGAGCTGCTCGAACGCCACCGGCGCTTTCTGGTCCTATTCTGATGCTCTTGCTTACAGGCTTTTCTTTTCTGCCTCGCCGTCTCTCCCAGCTCGACACGGAACTCCACTCCACCAGATTTTGTCGCTATTCTGCCCACCCATTAGTTTTTCATTCTATCGAATTCTCGACTGCCAAATCCAGGTCACCTTACATTGTCATAGCTGTCTATCGCACTACCGTAACCTGAGATGTCGGTCATGGTTTCTTCGATCAAAGAGGAGGCCCGCAAGCCTTCACAAATGACAGTGACAACGATAGAACCTGTTCCAGATTCTGACAAGTCACGCACCCTCGAAAGACAATATGAGGGCTCAATCCCATTAACACCGACTTCCGCGCACACAGTCAGCAGCTTCGATGTCGATATTGAGGCCATGAAGTCCGCACAGTGTCAGGACAACCCCCGAGCGTCTATGTGTGCAAATCGGCTCCATTCGGATAGTAGAGTCTGGCCCGGTCAAGCTTACTGGAGGGAGAAGACCCGCGCTGCGAAGCGGAAAAACCGGTCCTGCCAGTGCCTCGCTCGCCTCGACAAACGTATCCAAATCGCGGTGAAGATCACCATTGTACTTGTGATTCTCGGTATCGCAGTGGCCGTGGGCTTTGGCATCAGTAAATCTCTAGGTGCACGTGTATGGCAACCTAAGGACGACCAGCGGTGAACAGCCATGATTACACCAATTTCCTACAGTCACCTGGGCTATGATACGATCGTTAACTTGGTAGCCGCAACCTGAACATCCTACCTACGGCATACAGCTGTGGTGCGTTACTCACATACGATTCCCTGGCGGTAAAATGACACCCTCGAAATGGCTTTCATTCCCAATTATTCCTCGAAAGGAACCTTGGTTGCGTTATATTAGTTACTTGAACACTGTGATGATACCCGTTGGAATTATTTGGCATATTCGTTTTATCATCATTATGCAGGCACACACAGTGGCCTTTAAGAACACCTTTTTGTGGGGGGAGGGGGCTCGAATAGGCGAACCGGCGCTTCGGATTTTAATCAATTAGCACCCTGGCTCAATTTGCTGACACGCCGTTTTTCTTTTGGCATGGAGGGGAAGATGGGCTGCAGTTAACGGTATGGACAGGTGCTGACTAAGCAGCGGATGTTGTATATTTGGGTGTGAGAGTCGGGACTGCGCAAGTCAATACCAAGCTCCAAAGAGACTATGCATGTCCCAGTGTGCCTACAGTCCGTGTTTATTGTGACTTGGCCATCTGTCTATGCTTCCAAGGTACTCATGCTCATGTATCTTATGGCGGATACTCTCTGGGTGTGAGAACTACCAGAGATTACCACGGTTGCATATGAGGATATGACGGCGTAGTGCCTCGCTAAACCAATATATAAGGTACTTGCCTAATACTTCATTCTTGGCTTCTCGTGGGATCCCCTGGTGTAGTCGTTCCGAGGAGAGAGAGGAAGTAGGTAGTGACTTCCTTATAGACATAGTCCACCGGCAAGTTCTAGTTATAACCACCCCGACATCTATTATACTGGTCTCTAACTAATACCTATCGCATTACTACCATTCCTATTATGGCTTTCTGTCTTTATTTCGCCCATGGATAGCTTATATATTTCATTATCTTTCATACTACGCTGCAGCGGCAGTCAGTTGCCGAATTTCATTGCCAGCATCAAAGCAGGTGCCATTGAATCGCCTTCCTCTTCATCTTCTTACTTGTCTATTGAAATGGTAATTGTGTAAATGTTATATCTGATTTGCAGGAAGTGCTTTTGGGAAAGAAACGAAATAAAAAGGGCTGGTGCCGTAGAATTCCAGCAGGTTGGTTGGAGGGAGAAGGAAGAGAAAACATTCGAATGAGGCTGAGTATCCGTCCATGTCCTTTTTTCGGGGCGTAATTGATAGGCAAGATAAGACGTAGATCGGTAGAAGCGTAGAGATGCTGTGCATGACATGTATGTATATAGATGTGTGTATATCCAAGATGGGAGAGAGAATCATGGCTACCTCACAATCTCGTGAAGGTATTCTCTCTTCATCCGCGTTCTGCGTCGCCATGTTGTGTATATGGCGACCATGACAAATATGAGTGGTATTGCGGCCAGTACAACGTACATTGCTGTCCAATTGCTGTCATAGTGGACTCTGGTTTGCGGGTAGTCCATCTTCCTTTGCCCGTACCCTTCTCTACCTCTCTCTCTCTCTCTCTCTGTGTGTGTGTGTGTGTGTGTATGTCTTTGTGTATGCGGAGTTGGTTGACTGTTATCGTGCTCTCAGTTGCTGGTGTGAAATGTGATTGCCTCTGAAGTGAATGCTTGCTACTGTTCAAATAGATTTGATATGCAGACAAGGCATGAAGAGAGTGTGTGGAAATTTGGAGTGTGAGCTTTTGTTAGGGATCTGACTAAGTAGAGTTAAACGCTCATGGGAAAGTATAAAGATAAAAAGGTATCAACAAGCATGTTCATGTACTTGCTTGCTATTAGAAGTTTATCAGAGAAGGTGAGGAGCCCCTTAGCGACGATGATCAACTTGTGACCAGAGCTTTCTTAGCTCCATTGTCGTGGCGAATCCTCTGCCCCCTTTTCTTTTTCCCTTGGAGATTAGCGGTGCCCTGGTGGTGCTGATACTTGGCTGTCAATGGAAGCCTATGCTCATTACGCTGTTCACATATGGCCATGCCGGTTTAATTGATAGTCGCCTAATAAATCATCTTGCTTGTCGGAGAGTAAGACACGGCCTAGATCTGTAGGCATAGCCTCTCTGTCAGAACGAAAGGCGCTTAGTCAACACTGTGGATTGCTGGTACGTCATATCTCCCACACACCCCCAGGAGAAGACAACTTTGGTCCTTGAATCTCCGAGATGCTTGGAAAGGCTACACTAAGATGACAGATATAATTACATTATTCAAAGTGGCTTCGACGGCAGTGGCCGACCCACACAGTCTTCAATATGCAATTTAGTTATGCCTGCTCCTGTGCTCAGAACGGGGATTGCTTATAGACTGGTGAGTTTTGACTGATAAGATTAGAGAGAATAGCTATATTAAGTAGGTAGTTACTATACATACTAGATTATACGACGACTTACTGGGACCACAGAGTTCGATACACATGAAGCTCATCACCACGGAATTAGATATCTGCAGATAATTGATGACATTCCCAGGAACTTGGCCAAAAGATATAAACTATCTTCAAGAGTTCTTTATTAAGGCATAGTATGCACATAAGCAGCGAGACACATTGATTTTCAACGCTTCAAACGCATATATATCCATCCTCGTATTTTCCATCGTGGCTCAAAGCCCTTTTTATTTAATACTAACTATATATAGAGGTAAAAAACTCAACCTATAAAATGCTAAATAAACAAAAAGGCTTGAATGTCAATACAGATATATAGAATAGAAGCTCGCAATTATTTCATTATATCCGCTAAATGCGCGGTACTTGTATCGTAGCTTAACTCGTCTAGTTGAGAGGAGTATCTAATCTGAAGATGGGGTATACACTAGATTCAACAACCCAAACGCCTGCCAATGTCAAATGCTAATAGTTACCGAGTAATAATGAGTGGTATCGGGGAGAACCGTAACCGTTCATTGTTCGTGAGATGACCGATGCGGCTCTTTAGTAGCATCACTGGAGGGCATTGCTGGCTTCTCGTCGACTTGGTGCATGGATCTAGCTGCTAGTGTCTCGCCATCTGACTTGCTGTCTATCGCATCTGCCATATCCGCAACACCATTCTCGACATCAGCGGGCTTGGTATCTGGTGCCTCCTTCTTTACGCTCTTCCACTCCATACAGGCGGCCCCAATCACAGAAAGCGCTGCCAGAACAAGACCGACCCGAAATACAGTCCGTAGGGACTCGTTGTACGCCACCAAGACGTCATGGCGGTATTGGACAGGGAACGCATCGATTAGACTTGTTGCACCACCTGACTGGATTAGGGCTGGAGAGAAGCCAGGCAACCCAGCAAGTCTTTGCAAAAGCTGGTTATTGAGCACGTTTTGGCCAACCGAAAGGAAGCTGCCGTATCAAAACAAGTTAGTCAAGTTCCTTATTATTATTATATGCTCTCTGAATTACGCAGAGCATGGTGATCACGTTTCTGGATCAAGAACTTACATAGCGCCCCCTAGGATTTGACTGAAAAACATAAGACTTGCCCCAATCGCAACTTCATTCTTGGGAAGGACTGTCTGTGCCGCGAGATTTGGAGCTTGGAAGCAAAGGCCTTGACCGAACTGTATCGATGAGCACTCTTAGTATTACTGATAACTCATGAATAACGTATGGGCTCGCGCTAATGGCAAGCTCAAGGGAAACTATGCGTCAAAGGGAACTAGCATAGGATTAATAGCAGCTTACCCCGTAAAGAATCTGGTAACCTATCCATTTGGGCATGCCCGTATCCAGTTGCAGCGTCGTTAGTAGCCCACCTCCAATGGCACATATTATCGTACCAGCAATCATACTATGAACCCATCAGATATTACCGCTGAAAGACATAACATCATACGTACGTTGGAGTGTAGTAACCAATTTTGGTGACGAAAATGCCGTTGGAGATAGAGGCGACAACGATGGAAAGCGTAGTGGGAAGCAGCCGAATGCCAGAGTTTACAGCAGAGACGCCCTGAATTGCTTGAAACCAGATTGGAAGGTAATAGACTAATGGTTCAGCTGGTCAGTATGAAAGCGCGCAGAAAGGCATCAAATGGAACTAACCAAAAATCATCATCTGTGAGCCAAGCACAATCGTCGTCCAGAATCCGGCTAGGATAGACCGCTGTTTGAATATGCGTGGAGGGATGGTTGCTGTTTTGGGCATGAAGGCCTGAACTAGAATGAACACAATACCCAGGAATATGCCGAGGGTCAGTAGAGCTATGACACGGCGGTCATTCCACTTCATGAAGTCAGCTGATGACGAAAGAAGGTCCCGCCCGCGGGAAAAAAAAAAAGGGTTGGGTTGGGTTGGGGGAGGGAGGCAACATACAGGATAGGTGAGGCCACCCCATTGTAAAGCAAGGAGAAGGGAGACGACAGCGGGCAGGAGAGCGATCGTGCCAGGGGCATCAAGCTGAGAAAGCTTGGTTTTGGTGGACGCATTGGTTTCTGGCCGAGCCGGAATACGGAGCAGGAATATGATGATAGCCAAGGCAACACCACCAAAAGGTAGGTTAATATAGAAGCACCAGCGCCAAGTCACGTTTGACGTGAATGCGCCACCGACGAGAGGCCCAAGAACAGAGGAAACGCCAAAGACAGCGCCAATCATTCCTTGCCACTATAGTTCGCTGAAGTCAGTAATTACTCTTTCAAGCAAAACGGGAGCAGGTTTCGGGAGTTGTGTATACTCCCAAGACATGGTTGTGGCTCTAACAGGCAATTATTGCCGTGGCGAGCGCTTGGAAGTTTAGAGTAGGAAAAAGATGACTGCAGGGGTAGCATACGAACGGTCGCCTGTGTAGGGGCACGGCATATACAATGACAACGATGCCACCGGAGAAGATGCCTATATTACACACACTGGAATCAGTAATTGCCGGATAGAGAAGGGGTTCAGCTCATGTTTGGGGAGTATGTAAGAGTGATGAGGCCCGAAAGCTGCCCAACGGGTAAAAATATAACTCTAAGAGAACTAACCTGCTGAGCCGACACCCTGGATTGCGCGGCCGATAATGAAGGCGACGGAGCTCGGGGCGGCACCACACAGTGCAGACCCAATCTCGAACAAGAGGACGGAGATGGCGTAGACGGCACGGATTGGATAGAAGCGATACAGCTTGCCGAATAGCAGTTGGAAGGCACACGAGGTCAACAGATAGGCGGAGCCGTACCATCCAACATCCGGAAGGGAATCGAACTCATTGGTGATGGCGGGGATAGCGGTGGTGACGATGAGGCGGTCGAGCGAGACGAGGAAGATGGAGATATACACAGACGACAAGATAAGGGCAAAGCGTAATCCCGTGGGATACTCGTGGTTTGTCTCGGCCGGCGTGAGCTCGGCTGTGTGGCTGTTGATGTCGTCTTGGCTATTGGCCGGCCCCGGGGCTTGGCCTAGGGTCGGCGGATCCTGGGTTTTCTTGTCCCGGCCGAACATATTGGAGGATAGCCGGTGGGCACGAGCGAGACGAAAGGGGGATTGGCTGAACGGGAAGGGAGGAGGAAAGAAAAGAGGGGAGTGAGAGGGAGAGGGATATCGGTAGATAGAGTTCAAACGAAAGGAAGGGCTTTGCAAAGAACAGCGTCGTGACAAAGTTATATAATATCGTATACTATGTCAGTTACCCAAGCCCAAGTCAGCACCTGTTACACCTAAAGTGTGGTGGGAAAGTTAGCGAGGAGATAAGGGGCTTATAGGTGTGGGGGGGGGGGGGGGGGGGGGGGGAAAAAAAAAAAAAAAAAAACAAAATAAAAAAAAAAAAAAAATAAAAAAAAAAAAGGGGGGGCCCCCCCCGAA